CCAAGCCGCAATTTGCCGTAGAAATCACTAATTTTAATAATAATAATTATTAATGATCTGTAGTTCACTTCTGCATTTGTTGTGTGTGCTCTAGCGCGCTGCATGCCAATCCCAGGTAGCAGACACTTCTCGGCATTACACCAGCAACAGCCAAGTCCTTTTCCTGCATGCTATGCAGACAGGAAAAGTGTCTGCAGACAGCTGTCCCTCAGCAGTCTTGTGCAACCCATGTATGCCCATACTGTCAATTTCTTATCCTTCCCCTGTCCTTTTGTTTGAGATTCCTATGTTACAAAATACATACTAGCTGTGCCTGCATGGCGAGACTATGCTGTTATCATATATCCTGATTATCCATCACAATAATGCCATTAATTTACACAAAACCTGTGAGCACTGTGAAGACCGAGGTCAAACGTAATACCAATAATCATTACATCTCTACTCCGTTCCCGTTCGTATCCAGGCACCACCACCTCGAGTCTCTGCAGGACTGTGGCTAAGTTTTCTTTAAAATTTTATCCATGCTAAGGTTTCGACAGGTACATTTCTTATCAGTATCACCAGCTTATATTCAAGGTATTATAAGTGCATCAGTCTCTAGATCTACTCTCAAACCTGACCCGATATACTTTCAATGTTCACAGGATGTGTCTTTCTTAGAAGTGCACCATTTGATGTTTTCTTCAGCCAGAAAGTTCTGCCCTTTCTCTTGTCTGAACTCTGATTTTTGTAGCCCAACCTACAGTAACTCTTAAGCATCCAAATATAAATTAAAATAAGGAGGTAGATTGCTGAATTCAGAAATGATGGATATGATACAACCACTAAGGAAACACTAACGAGTTAATGGTATAAACCAGAAAACATGCATTACCTTGATGCTTCATTTTTTTAAAGATAAGAATAAAATGGACAGAAAATTGAGTTGTAAAAATTACAGACAACATCCAACAAGAATGATAAGGTCAAAAAAGTGCCAGATAACAGGGGAAAAGGGACCCAATGAAAAGAGAGAAACGCTGGAGGAGGAATGCCTTTAAAGAAACCAGACTGAATGAAAAAGGAAAGAAGCAAACATACACATTAGAAGGTGACAGGAGATGACCAGATGAGAAGGCTGGGAGACAAGACAACATATAGAAGGAGAAGGTAAAAGAGGTGATAAGCAGACCTATCAGAACTAGCACTAAACATTGTAACCTAATTCAAGCCGTGAACTCTGTGTAACAAACAGATTAAAGTATTGCACCACATTAACCGAACGAGGGGACATGCAACCCTCCTACAGCTGTCAACAGACAACACCAGATCCCTCTAAACTTTCCTCTTCAGAGCTGTGATTCGGTTTTTGATGTAGAATTTAATAGCCAACCAATTCCTGTTTTTGAGCGCTTCTTTCTCTTGTTCAATGCACTTATCGCAGTCGCGTTTCCCTGTAACACGGCATGTGGTGATGAAAGACATCATGTGTTTCTCAACGGCCAGGATCTCCTCTTTCCCAAGGCCTCTTTTTAACAGGCTACCAAGCTGTAAATAAACAAAAACATAATCAATTCTGTTTTTTAACCATGGAGTGATTTAGAAGCAATTTAAGTAACATAGGTGAATGAGAAATCAGAAACTTCCCCCTCCCCCCAAAAAAATCTTAATCACAAATGTGTGTCTGCAATCCACATTTCAGCACATGCCAAGAAAACACACTTACAACCACACCATAAACTAATCTGATTTCAGACCGGTCTCAGAGAACTTGCCTCTTTCCGTTTTTGGTGATCTTGGTTGTTTGGTGTTTTGAGGTGCGGTGGTGCTCTGCTGTGGTGATGCATCATCATGGTTCACATCAGATGGTGCATCCTCGTCCCTCTGACTAGATGTTAACTTACTCCCTACAACAGAGCAGAAGAATATAGACTTTATCCACCACAGTTCACTAGCTCCTTTGTGCAATAGGTGAAAAATCAGTTGGATATTGTGACTGTGGTCATGCTCTAACTGATTGTGAAGCACACGTGACACCAGCCATTCAACCCCTTTATGTTTAAGTTTTTTGATTTAATATTTGTAACCAAGAATCTCCAGAAGTTAATCAAGTTTCTCAGGATGATGAAAATTGTTTCCTTGAATATTTTTTTTAATCAAATTTAGTTTAGTAAGTTCCTAATGACATATTAAAATACATTATTTACATTATTTAGGGGGGTATTTGTCAATTTACCTGCTAAATTGAAAGATTTGGGATTATCTGGTTAACAGGAAATGCTTTTTTTTGAAGTACCTCTAAACTGAATTCACAGGAAGTAAGGCACTTCTTGTCACTTGATGTTATAAAGTCAAGTGTAAAACTGAGTTATAATTACTTTCATCCATTAACTTTAAAATGTTAGCATAAAGGTTGACTTTATACATGTTGGTCATAATTTGAAGCTCTTCACTATGAGGCACAGGTTAACAAACCCCACAGACATATTGGAAGTCTAACGACTACAGACTGTAGCATAACAGTGATCTCCCCAACTCACAAACATTTCAAGATCTCTGCTGACTGACTGCAGTATTGATCCTCCATGCTGATAAGAAGGGTAAAACTATAAATCTAAATACATGTAACCCTAACCTGAAATTAGCTCATAAACTATTTCAATTCACATAAACTGAAAAAAATATTAACTCAATAACTCTTAACTAGCTCTTTGACACAGCTAAATAGTGCTGTAGAGTAGTGTTGTAGTTTCAAGCCTGTGACATAAATACAGTTGATGGAGTTGATAAATACTTACTATTGTTTTTCTGTGCCATTAAGCACATTTTGAGCTGATATTGCATTAAGTAAATCACATAACCTAACTTGTTCCCTTTTTGTTGAATGTGAACAAATGCTGTTGTAAGGTGAATCACAGGCCTCAAAAACTACAATTGACTGAAAACCATTAACAAGTACTGCTCCAAGATGGCGGTGGTCTTGGAGCATCCTGGGGTCATGTGGCATCTTGTGATTATGATCTCTGTGGATACACCACCCTGGTTATATCCTAACCTAAAAGAGGTAAACCCACCTTCCCTATTGCCCCCCCAACACCTCTAACACCATGCTTGTGCTTGACATGCAAGTGCTTATAACAGCAATCTAAAAGCTCAAACTAAACTTGGTGCAGGGATTAAAATGAAGCCATTACAGACATTACATGGTCACCTCTCCGATGTTGCAAATGGACATGAAGACCGATGAGCTTTAAAGTTAACAAAAACATTTTATGACCAGTTGTTGACAGGCAAAAGCAGGCTCCAAATGGATTCTGTTAACTGATATTGCACATGGATGTCTACAAATATGTGGATGTCTACAATTTTATATGTGGTCACATATAAAATTGCATGTAAATACCAACCTTCAGAGCCCGACTCGCATGCCTCGTCAGGAACGCTGTCAGGGTGCACATTCTCTGTATGGGGGTGAGGGAGAATGAGTGTTATTCAAGATCATTTGTTTTTGACATGCCCAGTAAACATAATTACAAAAAGTGCATTTCCTTCAAAAGGAGACAAGAGAGATAGACAAATAGTACCCTCCGGGTCAATGTTGATGTCATCTAAGGTCTTTCCCTTGAATTCTCGCAGGCATCCTTTCTCCAGAGCCATTAGAACTTTGCTTATTTTAGCAAGCTGGAGGGTGCCTTCAGGAAGCCTATAGAACTGCCTATGTACACATATGTCATGACCGAGAAAATCAGCCAACTGGTCCAACTCTGTGTTGCTGAGGTTGAGAACTTGTGAAAGAGTTCCTGTTTGTTTGCGAAGCTTTGTGGAGGCGAGACTTTTGGGACTTTTTGCACCACAGATCTTTGCAAAATGTTGAAGGCAGTCAGAACCACGGAGGCATGTAAAGGCAGATGGTCTAGCAAAAAAGTACCTGTTCTCTTTAGGAACCCCACATTCCTGCCGTTTGCTGCTAAGTAAATCCAATGCATGCTGCATTGCCGGGGTCAGAAGAACGGGAACCTTTCTTCCTCTTTTTCCCCTGATCTCAATCCATGAAGTGTTGGCAGAGTTTCTTCTCAACAGGTGACAGGGCATCAATCACATCATCTTGAGGATCTGATGTACTGTTAGACAAATATGCTGTCATGGGCATTTTTGACACCTCCCCAGCTCTTCGACGATTTAAAAGGATGACTTGAGTCTACATGACCTTGGTCAGCTGTGACCATGTTTGCAGGGATGTCTTAGTGGATAGTTTTGAGCTGTAATGTTGCTGTTTCTCATCCAAATAGGAGTGGAGAGTTTGGACATCCTTTGTGAAAGGAAGCAGCAGAGGGGTGTTCCACCTGGCTTCCTGCAGTGTCCTCAGTGATGCAGCCGAAACCATTTCATTCCAGCGAGTTTCGTACACTCTGTGAAATGTACGTGCATCTTTGGCAGCACTGTAATTGTTTTGTACATTTGCACAACTTTCAACAAGCATTGATACCTTTGTCAGGCTATGTCCAATTTTGAGGGCCAGACTTGTAAGTGTTGGTTGCACTATCAAAGCCTGCCACCTCTTTTACAGCCTGAATAACTTGCATGAAGTTGGATGGTCTGATGTGGTCTCGAATGGTCTTCATGGAAGTGGTTTTTCTGGAGCACAGCAGAAGTCTTCCAAGCTCTCTTAACTTCTGCCGGATATATTCATGTTGTACAGATGGTCCCCGTACTCCAGAATACAGGCATCAGATTTAACTGCTGAAAAAACCTCATCTTGGACCATGTTGTTTAAGAGTTTCCAGTCCTGTTTGACGCCAGGTGGAGGAGGTGTGGTAAATGCACAAAGGGCCTGGACACGGGTTTTACCTGGTTTGTGTGGTACAGAAGGCCTAAGCTTGCAAATTTGCATGTGCCGCCAAAGGAGCTTTCTGGCAAAAAAGCCTTGACAATATGCACAGTGTAGGAAATCCAGTGCACTGGAATCCTGCCTCGGCTGCTTGCGGGGAACAAGGTTACCGACCCCAGAGTGTAGTACCTCAACGTTGTGTGAAAAGTTGCCCGTTTCTCAAAAGTTCCAGATGCATTCGTCTTTCTTTGGAGCCTTTTTTGAAGGCAAAAGCCTGTGCAACCTCTGACTCATCTATATGTGCTTGCTCTAAATGTCTTGCAATTTTTGCAACACCCAATTTGCAGTACAAACAGTACTGCTTCTTGTTATAAAGTCTTGACCCATTCTCTTTTTTGCAGAAAGCGGGTATGGAAAGTGAACCACCAGAATCATTATCATTTGTAAGAATGGAAGAGGAACTGTCAGGAAGACATTCCTCCTGGTCCTGGTCCAAATTCACCACTGAGTTTTGGGAGAGGGCATCAGTGTCTGCTACAAAACTCTGGTTAGATGAGTCAGCATGGCTGGCTAGTGTTGAATGATGAACCACACTTCTGTAGCATTGCCTTTTACGCATCAGACCAGAGCTACTTCTCCTAACAGGTGAACGCCCTCTTGTAACAACCTGCTGTGAAGAGGCTTCAGATCTTTGGGTTAAGAGAGAAAAATCTGTGATGACATCTTTTATCTTGAGGAGAGGGTCCACAACTTCCAGGACTTCACTTCTGCCAGAATCATCAGAGTCCTCACTTGTCTTAGGAATGTATTCCTCTTCACTGTCAGCTTAAGTGGTGTCAAAAAGCTCTTCTGAATCAAAATGAATCTGGTTTTTCATCTAAAGAAAACAATCAAAATATGATAGACAGTAGACACAAGACCATTCACTGCACTGTGTGTGTGTGTGTGTTGTTTACCAGTATACTTTTGGTCCTCCTGAGCCTGGCGACAGAAATATGGTCCTGCTCTGAGAGGCAACGTTTAGATTCAGGATTTGAGGACGGACTCTGGGGTTCATCAGAATCTGTGTAGTTTACTAGAGGAAGATTCAGCCCATATTTTTTTCAGGACAAGCTGCATCTGAGTCCTAGAGAAAATAAAGACAAAATGAAATACTGAAGCATCTCATCAAGGTAAGAAAAAAAGGCCTATACTCAAAGCTAATTAAGATCAACCAGATGGTAGCCCTTTTTACTGAAATGTAAGCATTTGTGAGGAAAAGTTAGATTAAATTTATGGTCACAACAGAGAGAAAGTTTTACCCAAAGTACAACTATCTACAACATCTTATGTAAATGTACTACTGAATATTACACGTGACCACTAATCATTTGTCTTGATAAACTGATGAAAGGTTCATTTGAGTTATTCTAGTTAATTATCCTGGTAAGTGAGAGCAAATTATTAAAATGAAAGACTTATCACAATTATAACTTGTTTCTGGGTCTTGTTAGTCAATATGAGTAGATCCATTGCAGTTCTATGTCAGTTAGATCTGTGGCTGATAGGGGTAAACAAACAAACAAAAATATTCAATAAATACCACAATGACAATCAAATTAGAAAAAAGATTCAATCACTCAAACATTTGCAATTTTGATAAACAAGAATAGGTAACAGGAAATACTGGCAGAGACTTAAGTCTCCCAATCAAACAGCTGGAGTGACTGGTAGGGTCTTAGATCATTACACAGTGAGGAAGACATAAACCGCAAATGATTTATTTTTTTCGTATGATATTTAATCTCTCATTAATGTCAACATTGTATCTGACTTTACTTGGACCCCACAAACACTGTAAACCTGACAAGTGTGTTTGTTAGACATCTTAAATGACAACCTGACTGGACCTCACAACTCAAAATCAACCCGAGGGAGCCTGAAAGCAGACACACAGCTGAACTGACCATCATAAAAAAAGTCAGATACATTTAAAGGACCTGAGTTTTTACAACTGCAGCTTCAACACTTTAAGACCAGACAGGATGGTCCGCTAGAATAAATACCTCTGTAGATCTGTAGATGTAGTGTAGATCCCTCACGAGACTCCTTTGCGGTCCTGGAGATCTCAGCCTTAGATGTTTCAGCCACAGCTGATTGTCTGCCGTTCTAAGATTAGGATGAATGACAAGTGTGTTTGTCAGATTGCTAAAATCACAACCTAACTGGAGCCCATTACATCAGATCAACTTGAGTAAGCTCTGAAAATGTACTTCATTTTTGTCAGTAACAAAGACTTAGACAAACCTTTTTCCTCCTAGGCTAGTCATCCTGTTTTTGGACTTTCCTGCTTCTCAGGATATACATCCTATAAAGGAAAATTTATGGTTTCAAGTTTGGATTTTTTTTATCTCTATGGACAAACATGCCAGGCCCAGTTCATGTCTGCAGTGTCATATAACTACTCAATAATGTTTCTAAAATTACATTCATTGTAAACTTTACAACCATTTGACTAACCAGTGAGTAGTGACCATGTTGTCTGACACAAAATGATGAACTTGCTCCTGCTGCTTCACTGTGAACGGTCTGTCATTTACTTCAATTAAAAGCGCACGGTGCCTAAGATGGCGGCTTTGCTCTCACTCTTCGCACATTTCCCCAGATATGACCGTGTTGTAAAAGAATAAGATTCAGACAAAGATGAAACAAAATCAAGTCACATTTTCGGTGTATTTCACAGTCAAAAACTTTGACAAAAAGTTACAAAGAGAACACAATGCGACCGTGAGACCGCTAGTTCTGCCTAACGAACTTTTCTAGCAGCCAGCTTTCTGTGTGCATGCCACATAATGCCATGTGTAAAAACAACAGGTAACTTTTTGACAATAAAGTAATCACTTACCTAATTATTTTATCAGAATCCCACTTACCTTTCAGTTAAATCCTCTCCTGCTGCAGCTGAAGTCTCTCCTGCAGTCAAGTCTTTCTCAATCATCTCCGTACCATCAGCTGAGGAGCGCTTACTCTGTATAGTCAGCACGTCCTGTGCGGGTGGTGCTGCTTTAATCACAGAATTTGTGTGTCCGCCTGCCAGACATTTGTTATTAAGGCAGCCCGCTTCTTTTGTTATAGTAGAAGTGTGTGTTTATCAGTTTCAATTTCAGTAAATAGGAACTTATTTATTTAAAAGGATGATTTCATGTTTCTGACAATTAATCACTTTGTCTTGCCCAGCCTGCCTGTACTATCTCAAACAACAATAATCACCGTAATAATAATAATATTCTGACTGCAAGAATCGCAATTCTTCTACTGTTACCACTACTGCTTCTATTATCATTTTATTATTATTATTGCAGTACATTTTACTTGTGTTACTTTAAAAAAAATACCGAAAGATACGTGTCACAAAAACTCATGTTATAAAAGAAGAAAAAAAAACAAAGCTTGGATAAAATGGCATCATCATTGATTCCAGAGATGTGTTTTAGAGGAGAATTGGATTTTGGCAGATCAGTTTTCTGTTGGAGGTTGAGGCTCTTTCACCACTGGTCCTGCAGACAGGTCAGAAAGGAGTGTGAGAGTTGAGCAGGTCAGTAAGATAGGATTAGGACCTTATCAGTAAGATAGGGTCCTGATCATGGAGAGCTTTGTGAGTGAAGACTGTACAGTGAGAAAGTCTTTGGATTGGAGACTAGTGGAGGTTCTGGAGTAACAGGAAGATTTGCTAACAGAAGTAAGAGTGTGTGAGAAGGTGAGCAGCAGAGTTCTGGATATACCAGGGTTTATTGAGGACTTTGGGTAATGAACTGTTCAAGATGCTTTAGTACGCAATTCTGGATGATATGACAGCATTATTAGGGGATAATGCAGGTGAGAGAGTGGCTGAAAGAGCTGAGACAGGGATGAACTTGAGGAGAGGAAAGGATAGCCAGGAGCAGCAGCCTGTTGTTTCTGCTACCTTCTGTAGCAGCTAACATTAGCTGACAAGTCAGCTACCTGGCTATGTACACTGCTAACTGTTTTACAGATTGTTCACCCAACAGCAAAAACACAACTGTTGTGTACTGAGGAGTGGAGAGGATAGCCAGAAGCAGCAGCCTTTTGTTCCTGCTACCTTCTGTAGCAGCTGACATTAGCTGACAAGTCAGCTATCTGGGTATGTACACTGCTAACTGTTTTACAGATTGTTTTGCATTACAAATATCTGATGAATATAAAGAAAATCAGGTCTTTATTTACAATGGACCAATATTATTGATTCAGTATTAGTCTATTGTAATGCCATAAATTACATTTGTAAAAGTCATTCTCAGTACAAAATCATGTTCTTGAGCATATGTTTCTAAGAGTCAAAGAGCTGCAAGTTTTTAACTCATGATGTGCGAGAGCATAAACATCAGTTTACCAGACCAACCAAATCTCTTCATATGTGTAAATGTCCATCTCAGATATGGGTTTGTCTCACCTTTTTCAATCTGAATATATGGCTAACCCCCTAGACAAAGTGGCAGCTGCCAAACTCATGACACCAATAGGTGAGCCAGAGGCTAAACAACGTTTACTGTTTAAATCTAAAACCAGACTTTAAGTTAAGGCGATGTAATATAAAATCTTTATTAAATTTGTCATACATTTGCAGTTCAATTTTGTCTGATCAAAAAATAGCATCATGAAAAATTGTGGTTTAACTTTACATTTCAAATAACTGGTCAATATAAAAAAATCTAAATTAATTCATAATTAAAACTAATGCAGAATATTTTACACATGGTTGTCTTCTGATGTGATTGACTTTATTGTTCTAGCCTCTTCTTTTAAATGCTCCAGTGTTTTTTTTACCATATTCACCATATTCTGGTGGATGACTTTAGAAAAGCAGTAGCCACAAGAAGGCTTGTGCTCACAAATCACTTAATATTGGGTGCCAGGGACTAATGTTTTGGGAAATCCCTTAGAGCATTTCTATAATCTAAAGGTTCACATTCACAAGCTATATATAACCATGATGCTTCAAACCTTCAAACTTTTGACACTAAATCAAATCAGTTTACCCTTGATTCAAAAAGGTTACCTTGGCAAATTAAAAAATAAATAAATAAATAAGCAAAGTCTAAAAGCATTTTTTCTGTTTTTATCATTATGTTGCTGACTTTTTTGTTGTAAATCTGTTAGTCACGAGCAACAGATGAATATGGCTCTACCTTACCTTGTGCCATGATCTATAACTTCTAACTTCTACTATATCCTTTCATTCAAGTGGAATTTTCTGCAGAGCTTAAGGAAAACCCTTCGAACGGTTCTCTAGATATTGTGTTCAGAAGAAGAAAACATTAATTTAAAAATTAAAAAATAATAATATTTTAATTTAATTAATCAAAATTCATTATTTATTTTGATATATACGGATATATATACATGTGTATATATATATATATATATATATATATATATATATATATATATATATATATGAATCAATAGTTATCTTAAGTTAAAGAAGCTAGCTTAATCTCAGAGGGCTGTTGCATAGCATATTTCAATCAAGTATGTGTACAAGTGTGTATGGCTGCAGTATCACTTTTCACCACTAGGGGTCAGTACTGAGTTACCTCCCACATACACACTTTAGCACACAAATGTCGGTAAATGTGTATTCTGGGGTGACCCCTGAAAATTTGACAGGGCATTATTTTAACCATTTTATCACTGAATAATAGGTTACTTTTTGTGGGGTCCAGGATTTGGGTCCCCACTGTATTTTCAGTCCCCACGCTGTGATTGGGCTATCACATCTCGGTACCAACAATGTAGTAAAGACAAACCAAACACACACACTCACACACACACACTGTACCACTCACAACATTACCTTTAGTGAGGTTACGACATAGGAACATTTAATTTGAATAAAACGGTTTGTTAATTAAAAATATGTTTCCTTGTCTCCGTCTCTTGCATTTTATTCTTTTTGGGACACCTCGTACCTTTTGTGAGATAACTCCATGAGTATACAAGCTACCAATACACACTTGATATTGCTGGATTTAGCAGTTTTCAAACAAGCCATTATATGTGTTGTTATGGCTTTCCATTACAGAGTCACTGAAAAGTAAAGAGAATACTCTACATAGATTTACATTCTCGCCTATTGTAGGTATGTGTTAAAATGACTATATCTCCTATTTGTATTCAGATATTTACATTCTGTTTTTTCTAGAATGTGAAGGGATATCCTGGCTTCCATTATGCCAATTTATAGACCTGGGGCCTCATGTATCAACACTTGCGTGGAACTCATACCAGAAACGAGCGCACGCAAGGTCCGTCACGCTGAAAAAAATCTGTATGTATCAATGTGTGCGGGCGCCGAAATCCACGTGTGTTTCCTTGATAAATCCCAATCAGCGTGGAATTGAGCGCAGATGTCGGAGTGACTGGGCCCGTCCCCGTTACGCCCTCCTATAAATATGCAGATTTATTTAAATAGGGTCTCCCTGTCCTCGCACGCAGGCAAAATGACAAGAAAAACTACATTTACGGCGTGCGAGGTGGAGGTGCTGGTGGCGGAGGTGGAGGAGCGACAGCGTGTTTTGTTTGGCAGCCTGTCCAGTGGCGTCAGTGCAAAACAAAAACGCTTGGAGTGGGAGAAAGTTTGCGAGAGGGTGAATGCGGTGGGTTCCGAGACACGCACCCCCGCGGAGATTAAAAAAAAGTGGTCGGACCTCAAGGTGGAGGTCAAGCAGCGTACAGCTGCCCTCCGGAGGAGTACCGGCCAGACAGGTGGGGTTCCGGGGGAGGAGACCCTCACACCGTTTGAGCAGCGGGTGGTGGCGATTATTATTATAGGGTAAGTGGCGTGTCACACAAATGTCCACATGCTTTGTCATCCCACTGAGCAAAAGACGTATATTAGACGTCTAGTCTAAGTTTATACTTCATTTCAACGTCGGGATTCAGTCTATTTTTAGACGTGATTTATACTTCGCCCTTAACTTCATTTTTCAATAACTTTTTATGCAATAAACAACTGTAATGTGCATAACTGACCTCGAAATACTGGATTACATTACCTATGATACTGTGGAGAGAGATGTAAACGCAACAGATACACAGAAGCAGGAATTGAAATGAACTAATATTTTTATTGTGTCACAGAAATTAATGTGTCGGCCGTGTCGCCGGCTTGCGGAACCCCGGCCCGCGGCAGCCCGTCCGCCGGCTCGGAGTCGTCGGCCAGGACCAGCGGCATTCGGGCCACCCCGGCCCCAGCACCAGCATCAGCACCAGCGCGCCGACAAGCGGTGGAGCGTCCACCAGCCGCGGCGCTTCCGCTGGACCACCCGGACGCAGTGGAAGGGTCCTCGCGGAGGGGGTCCTGCAATCGCAGGAAGAAATCATCAGGGGGATCGCGGGGATCAACGAGCGGCTGGACCGGCTCGTAAATTTCCTCGAGCGTCTGGTGGAGAAAATAAATTAATTTGGCTCATTGAACTGTGTATTCACTTCTTACCCATTCACACTGTGGCGATGAGATTCTCCCGCGCGAGGACGGCGGCCGGCAGGGATCAGCTCGCATCCCTCCGTCTGCTGCTGGTTCGTCATGTGGGGCGACGTGCTGCCCGGCCACGGGGATGTGGTGCACGCTGGTCACATAGTGAGTCACCAAACACCGCCACACAGCGTCGCCAAAGTGCGAATCACAGTCAACGCAAATATCCAGCTCAACGCCAATTTCTACACCACCTCCTGACTTTGCGTTGATTAGCGCTGGAACCGACGCTCGTTTCGCGATGATAAATCTGGACGTGTGCGCCGATTTTGGCGTACGCAAGGTTTTCTTGCGCCGCAAGCGTTGATACATGAGGCCCCTGGTGCTTCCATAGTGAATCTACATGGGTTTATATGCTTCAATCACCAGACAGACTTTATTTTTTGTCTGTGGGTGTATAACAATATAGATTAATTTTACCACTTTTGCAATAAAATATTTTTTTACAAGAATCCATTTCATGTATGGGGGGCCTTAAAGATGAGGAAAAACTATGTTGTGTTTGGTTCTAACTCTGGTAGGGGTATCTCATGTTTCTGCGGCCCAGGTCACAGGCCTAATCGTTATGTATCCAGAGGACAGTCTGACAGAGGCACTGAGAAGAAATACAGGTGGAAAACACAATCGCAATCAAAATGTTGAGTTAAAGCTGCTTTTCTCTGAGTGTGAGAAGAACAGAGGGTCAGAAAGTCCTCCTCCAAACATCGACAAAAACAGGCAGAGTGCTGCAATACAATCAGTACATTTACACAATCTTTAAAAAGATCACTTTATTGCATCAGTTTGACTGAAATCACCTCAATGTGTTCTAGTCTGGCCAGCATCCTGACAGTAAAGTCAAACTTTAGATAAGGCTGGATCAGGATATTTAACTAAATCTTGTCCTTGTCTCAGTCCACAAGCACTCAATGGAGGTGAACCATCAAATACTGTTTTGTGTGGTGGATATTTCAAAGGAAATAATGTAATAAAAGTTTTTGGTTAAAAAAAAAAGAGCTGGGCACAGGTCACTTAATCCATTATTCATTAAATTTTTATTTGACCTCAATCAAATTTCTGATGTGCATGTTCATTCGAAAAACCTTAAACTGCTGCTAAATGTGGTCTTCAGGTCTTGGTACAACAATGAAAGTGTACTAGCTTTGCCTATGGTCAGTTAGTTCACAACAGAAAGGAAAAGGATCTAAACTATGCCCTAACATAGTCTGACAGATCACAGACTACTAGAGGAAGATATTACAACCTTTGAAGGTTCAAAGAGAGTACAAGCTGTTGACCTTTTACCCATATAATGTGCTTTGGATTAAATCTTGGATCATGGAGACGTTTGCATCTCATTTGCAAGAGGCAGCCGACTGTTGGATTTGAACAAGTTTGGTTAATTTTTAAACAAAACTAATGGATTCACTTCTTTTCAAGTGATTCATGATTAACTGTGCCCACCGTAAAAAAAAAAAAAACAAAAAAAACAAACAAAACCTTTTTACCTTTAATTACAGACTTTGGGCTCTATTTTCGTGCCTCGCCAGCGGCTTGGCACAGGCGCGGCGTGTGTCAGGTCTGCTACGCCGATAAGGTGTGCCCAAGCAAACTTTGGTATTTTGGTGAGTGGCGCAGCCTGGCATAAGTATTCCCACTCCCCAACTTCTTTTCTCTCTATGGCGAAAGTCGTAGAGAGGGAGGAGATAAGGTTTGGAGTGGGTTTAACACAGCCGAGACCTGTTTTGGCCAATAACATCAGCTCCTTTTTCTCATCTTTAAATCCGCCACTGGTGAGGCATATTACAATTTTTGTGAAGTAGTCAAAGAGATCAAGAGATGGCTGAAGACAACAATGCCACACGATGGCAACAGAAGGCAGCTTCTCAACAAGTGTTGCTGTAAGCGCTGCAGAGGAGATTTGGTGTGTGTAATGTTGGATCCACTGGTAAGACAAACATCCTTTTCCACAAATAAAGACACTCACATAAAGTTACATATATATAACCTCACGTGACAAAGGTGGGATGTGTGCACAGATCACAACATAAATTCCAATAACGGCATTAAAATTGGAACTATCTGTGCGTAAATGACGCATCGCGCTCCGTGGCCTGGCTGTTTCTTTCATTGATGTTGGCATATAAAATAAATTTGGCTCACGCAACCGAATATTATAATATTTGTATGAAGGCTTAAAGTTAATAACTCATCTGATTACTAAAACAAATCAGGACAGGGAGAGGACACGGGGACATGTCCAGATCAAGCTGTGTGAGAAATAAGAGGAAGAGGAGGAAAGAAATAGGGGGGAGCCAAATCAAATATCTTAACTTCATCATGTGTGTCTATTGACTAGATATTTAATTTAATTTAATTTAATGCGGTTTCAGCTGTGTTAAATCGGTCAGGTTGAGTGTCTAAATGCATGCCAAACGTGCTCATCAGATCAGATATAGATCAGAATATATATCTAGAGATCTAAATGTATGTGCTGACTCAGAATATTGGCTGTTGTTGATCTTTTATCACACTGAAATGTGCCTGACTCTGTGGAAACTTGCGGTTGAGGCATCAGTGGCGTATGCTGATACGCCACCAGTCTACCAAAATACCACTAGACCAGCTGCGCTCTGCCTGCGCTGAAAGCTGACCAGGTTTGAATCAGCGACCTTTCAGCGCACTTTTCACGCCGGCGGCAAGCAGGAAAATGTCACTGCGCAAGCTGATTCCGTTGACACCTCCCCCTGCTGCGCCACCAGCCCGAGCTTGTCGGACCTCGGTGCACCTTAGTCTACGAAAATACCAAACTGCCTGTGCACCGGGCTCCGCCAGATGAAAATACCACTGCGTGGGGTGTGCCACCCTCCGCTGCGCCGCCGACGGGCACAAAAATAGAGCCCTTTGTGACCTTTCTTCAAACAATTCAGGTGTCAATCTGAGGGTATAAGTGACAAAACCAAGAACTTTAATTCGGCACACTTGGATTTTTGGACCATCACAGCCTTTTCATCACCTACCTGCTCAAGTTCTAGTAACTGGAGCAGTCCCAGTAATTTTAATTCATCAGGCACTGTAAGCTTAGACAGGTTTAGAAATACCAAAATACCCTGAAGACTGCTCACACTGAAGCAGGACTTTCCTAAATGTCTACAGAAGGAGAAACACACTGATTTTTTGTTTTTTTCCTTTGCAACATATTTATTCTTGCCAGTGTGACTCATTTGAACATTATTTTCTAGTGAATGTGTTTTATACAGCAATAGTTTAGAAATGTATATCAGGTACATGCTCCGCTTAAAACCAGTCAATTATTCTTAATACACTGGTACCTGGCTGATAGAATCCACTTAGTAAAACTGAACAATCTGCCTCTGCATCTCTTTTTGCCCTCTGGTTACAATAACCATCGATGTAACTTTGGTTGATTATTATTTTTATAGTTTCATTTAAAACGTCTGTTGATTTATCATTGAACATTTTCTCTAAAAGAAACATGACCACGAATCATTGGCTGGAGTTAGATAGTCTGTTACTGCACCCTGTTGTCTAGTTTGAGGCATTACAACAACAAAGTCCACTGCTGAATTCCAGTGATAGGATTAAAAAATATAAATTCTCAATTATAGTGTCTGATAGGGACTGTAAGTGGATTGACAAAAGAGTTAAATGTTAAAATGCAGAAACAGTATTGTCATATATTTACAGTTTAATACAAACCCAGTTAATGTTTATCTGACAAATAAAAAAAAAAATTAATGTAAAAAGGACCACTCGGCTCTATAATAACCAGCTCCACCAGAAAAAGGTAAATACAGTCAGATAACAATTTCACCCAAAAGGTCAAATTTAGCTCCTAATTCAGATCATTTATTGGATTTACCTTTAACTTCTTATGGTGATGAGTGTAAGTATTGAAAATTACTCTCTAAACCCTGACTAATAACAATAATGATTAAATCATTATTATCGTCATCATCACCATCATAATTGTCTCCATTGCCATTATAAATAAAACACTACAAAGATAAAACTTAAACCTTATTCTTCCAGTAAAGCCTCATAGAGTCAGCACACACTCTAGAAGCTGCCTTTTGTTATAGTCAATACTCTCACAGATTTGATAGATTTGTTTAAAATGTTCACATTGTTTTTCTTTTTTAAGGCCCCAGTAAAGAAAGGAATGATACATCCCCACTCGCTTTGCTGGTTTTGGTCACAGGGTGGCAGCATTGAGTAATTTACTGTATCAGTCTAAACAACACGGAGGAACAGATCTGTGCTCCTCTCATGTGAAGTGATGCATCATTACACTGATTTCCTTTAATTGCAAACACTGAACTATGTTAATATTTTATTGGCACATATTAGAAATCAATTTTTTAAAAAAATTAATCACCTAGGAAAGAAAAAAAAAACATTGTTGAGAGCTTTTGACCAATCAGAATCTAGTATCCCACATAGCTGGGTGATATGTGAGAATGCAGAGTAATATTTAGGTTTTCAATAAATGAAACAGAATATTCTTAGACGGTTTTATTGGTTTGAAGCCAGCAGTGTTTATACAAAAGCAGTGAGTGGTTAAAGCACATTTATTAAATGCTTATAGTGACAGATGTAGACATATCCTTGACACAGGGCTCAGAAAAAATATGTATCCAGTGAGGAAAAAAATATTTGATTGTAGGAAATTGTTTTTTGTTAGTTACAAATTACAGGCAAACACAAATCAAATCTTTATGTAAAAAGTCAGCTGATAGGCAGGTTTAAGGTTAGTTTCGCTTTTGCAGTTTGGTTTGTTTGAAAGAGATTTACTCCTAATTCACAAAAAAAAAAAAATTGTTTTCATAATACAAAAAAAACTTTTCAGTTTCACCTTTGGACATGTTGTCTTTAACTGAATATGCTTTAAATGTTGACAATCTTTTTTTTTTTTTTTTTAATTAGCATCAGACACGGCATCCTAACTTTGTTGGAGTTAGGGTTGTACACTGTAGTAGCTCAACACTGTTATACATTTAACTACTTAGTTGGGTTTTCCTCTGCTGTCAAGTTTGAAGTGGTTGTGTGTTTGTGTGGCTGCACAGTGCTGTACATCACATCTGTTGTGGCTGTTGCTTTCCTCACATCATCAACAGTGTAGTAAAAATGGTATGAGGCTCGCTGTAAGGAAAGAAAAACATCATCTGTAATATCAGATCACTGACATGTAGGATTGATAAATATTGACTCTTTTTGTCAAACTCACAGTCTCTCTTTTAAACTTGCTCTTCTTCATGTCTTCAGAACCTGTACCGGAGTAAGACTCTTATTACACTTATATCACCAAGAGGTGGTCCACTAAATAATGACAACACATCTGCAGTCCACCTGATAAGATTCAGACGTGTTAGTCAGCATAGTTTAAACTTGGATTATGTGTTTATTGGACTTCATAACATTAAGTTTTGTGACATTCACAGATAATTTAGAGGGTGGGAGCTCAAAGGACAAACGGGGGCACATAACCTACACTGAATCATCTCCATATAATGACACCTGATTCAACACATGCTGTGCTCAAACCATTTATTACTTGAAAAAAAAGGAAGAGAAAAATTGCCATTTGACATGTTCTCAATATCCCCTCATGTTGATTTCTGATTATTTATCTATTCATTTTTTTCCGCTTATCAAGGATTACGTCAATGGGGGAGCAGTCTCCCTTCATTTTTTTTTTTTGTGTAAATGCACAATTATATTATTTTTATGACACTGAGGACAGAGGTATAGTACATTCATTACTCTATCATATTACAGCTATGGAGTTATGAATGTGCCCGTACATGAACTTGACTATGAGTTACTGAAAGACAACTCAACAGGGCACACCAGAGGGCTCAAGCCATTTGCGACTACTGGTCTGAGAGGACATAAACAAAAAGCATGTCAGATGATTTGAAGGTTATTAATGGGTTAATTGTGAGTCAAAGAAGCGCAGAGAAATCCATTGGACTAACTCAGGTCACCAACGACCAGTGGACAGAACACACCATCAGCAGTACTTCTGATCATTTTTTCCTTTGTTTGTGGGCGTAATAGTCCTGGACTTCATTTATTCATTTATTTCAGGAGTTTCTGCATTTTCCTACAAAATTAACTTCCCTCTTTCCAATCATTTTGACCTACATTTTTGATGCTGCCTATTGGCAAAGACCCACTGCACAGATGTGGATAGCTGCGGGCTGAGTCCATCACCTGTTGTTATTTTTTATTTATTTTTTTTTTTAATCATTATTTTTTTATTTTTTTATTTCTGCAACTGTTCCTCTGCTGTTGTGTTGCCTGTCATATACCTTTAACCTTCACACCACCTCTGCCTCTAATGTGCACGCTTCCTCCATATTATTTACACTTTCCCAGACATGCACAACAGACTCTCCAAATCAATCCTTAGGCAGCCATCACACTGTTAACAGCAAACACATCTGTGGCCCAATAGTTATGTTGTCCATGCTAAGACACAGAGCACAAGTAGATTTGCTTTGTGCCACCCAAGTCAATAAGGCCTGGTTCCGCCCCAGATGAGGTTTAGGCCCTACCCTCAGTATCCCCTGACAAGGTGATGAGGCTAAAAGACTGAGTGCAGGGCAGTGGTCACAGTCAATCAAGGTCAGCTTTTTAGACTTCTAAATTAAAAGGAAACACTTTCGGATGATTTTCAGAAAGAGGCATGTTAAGTGTGGCCCACCACCTGTGTGTGTTACCCTTTGTTTAAATGCAAGTCTTTGTGTTTTTTATACACGAGCTGATGACTACCACAGCAGTTACTCTTACAGATGTGAACAAAGACATAGAGAACACAGTTTTGTGCTGTTTGGTTCTTTTTGATTAGACTGTTTAACTACTTTTATGTAGTCAATTCTTCATCGAATGTCTGTGCAAAGCCAAATATTTCCCAAACTAATATCATTCAATATATTTCTGTAAATCCTAAAGACCCTGTTTGATTCTGAGAATTTTTGTTAACTCAGGTACAAACAATATAGACAGCAGATACAGTTCATATTTGTCCTTTACCCTGTTAGATCAGTTTTCATGAATGAAATTGCACATTCAGGTTTAATAAAATACAGTACATAAATATGTTCAAACTCACCAGCTCCTCTTTTTTTTTGATGAATTGCTGAAATCAGCAAGATGGCGCCCACAGTTGACCCACAGCCAGCAGCGATTGCAACATACTTCCAGATCGAGGATTCTGCTTGACCACAACAGAAACCAACAGCAAGTGTCAGTTCAGCTTTGCCTTCTCTCACAGGAAACAACAACACAGTGACACCATCTTAACACTGCAAGACATGGTGCTGGAATATATAACTTTAAATCAGGAGATAACAATGTGGAAATAAAGTGAATGGGAAGGATTAGTCAGTCATCTTTGTTATTAATCCCATAGTGTGACACTGTAACATAATGTGGTTTTTAAAACCAAATAAATTGATTGCAAATGTATCTTTATGTTTATCCTGACCTGATGTGAAAGCACTAAGCCATACTCACTGGAAGCTGTTTCCATCCCAGTTACAGGGTCAGAGACATCTTCAGGATCAGTCACAGTAACTGTCAGGCCTATGTGCAAAGCAAATACACATTTTTCAAACATCCACACTGATTGTTGTCAGCGTTATTTATGCAGTCCAAAGATTATTGATCTACCTGTCAACTTCTTTGTGGATGTTGGTTCCATCGCGGTCGTACTGGTACCTGCATCTGCTAATTCCAAAAAGCCTAATTGCATCAACACTCTATCTCTCTGGACAAATGTGAAGAAGCAGCAGTCAAGTCAAGCACCAAGAGTGGATGGTGGTGCTTCATAATATTCTTGCATCCTCTTTGAGAGACATATGTTTTAAAATGTAAAAGTGTTGACCAATCTAGGTAAAAGGACAAAATCTACAGCTGGAAAAAAAACAAAAAAACACTGCAGAACATTTACCTGGCTGATCTTACAAAAATACATCATTATAACATTGGTTTAGATGATCAGTCACTTACTTTGAACAGTTACTGAACAAATGTTACTCTTTGGAGACTAAGAATGTACAAAGTAAAAACATTTAACTTTGACCTCAGCAGGTACTCTTTGTTGTCCTGTTTTCAGAAGTACACTTCCTGTCAGCGTCTGCAGTCAAGATAAAGTCCTCACTCTTCCATAACTTAGAGTGAAGTAAAAACACTGGAAAACACTGTTGCTAAAGCTGGTATAAATAGAAAAGCAAGCAGTCAGCAACATTCATCTCTCGAGGGGCTGTCTAACTCTGTGGTACGGTGTGTTTGACCATAATTTAAATTTATGCTGGAATATCCCTAAAGTGAGTGGGAAGAATAAGTCAATTATCTTTCATCATTTAATCACAGTGTATGACACCATCACTCTTTCATTCTATCATCTTTTTATTGAAAGTCTTTTTTTCGTTTGCTTGTTTCATGGATCAAACAATCCTTGATTGTTTGATTACAAGGCAGGTTAACTGTGAGATGAATTCCCTTTGGGGATTATTTAAATTGTCTGAATCTGAACTGTAAAATAATGTGGTTTTAAAAACCAAATAAATCATATATATTTATCTTTATGTTTATCCTGACCTGATGTGCAAGCACTAAGCCATACTCACTGGAAGCTGTTTCCATCCCAGTTACAGGGTCAGAGACATCTTCAGGATCAGTCACAGTAACTGTCAGGCCTATGTGCAAAGCAAAAACACATTTTTCAAACATCCACACTGATTGTTGTCAGCGTTTTCATGCAGTACAAAGATTATTGGTCTACCTGTCAACTTGTTTGTGGATGTTGGTTCCATTGCGGTCATACTGGTACCTGCATCTGCTAATTCCAAAAAGCATATTTGCATCAGCACTCTATCTCTCTAGACAAATAAGAAGAGGCAGCAGTCAAGTCAGCCTCTGCTTTCCAGAGTCTGTCAGAGAGGATGTTTCTGACTCACCTAGAGTCTTTCTGACAGTGGGGACAGTCAAAATCATGACCACTAAATGATGTAATTTGAAATAACCATTTAGGCATAAGTGCTGCCTGTGTGAATTTTAAATAGACAAGAGTGGATGGTGGTGCTTAATAAAGTTCTTGCACCCTCTGTGAGAGACACTGGGTCTAATTTTTGAAAGTTTTGCCCAATCTAGGTATAGATTTTACAAATACACCATGATATCATCAGTTAAGATAATCTGTCACTTACTTTGAACGGTGATGGAGCAAGTGTTACTATTTGGAGACTGAGAATGTACAAAGTAAGAACATATTTTTAATTTTTGGTCTTTTTACTGTTGAATTGGATGTATGATAAAAATTCAGTTTCAGATTTAGTTGTACTTTGTACCAGAAACTCAGGACATGATGATAACAGTGTCCAAAACCCTTGTGACAATCAACACACGGACAGTTTCTACAGGTCGCTCTAAAAAGCAGTCTACTCCAGAAGACCCATTTCTCAACATCACTTTCCATTAAAACATTTTTCATGACTGATTCAAAACAGAGGGGGAGGTCTGGTACAATACTGCCAACGCTTCTTTCAGTCACACTGCCCCAAAAACAATGTATTCTTGCTGATAGAGGAACCAAAGCCACTTGTATGAATAACTACATTGATACAACTCACATTGTATGGTAATGGAGACTGCGTCACTGTGTGAAGATGGAGAATTCAAGTCTTTAATCCTCACAGTGTAAAAACATTTCACCTCGACCTCAGCAGGTAATTTATGATGTGCCATTGTCAGAAGTTCACTTCCTGTCAGTGTCTGCAGACAAGATAACATCCTCATTGTTCCTCCACTTACAGTGAGGTAAAAACACTGAGACACAGATGATGGAGTCTGACAGTTCAGAGTAACTGAGTCTGTCTCTGTTATCACTGCAGGATTTACTGTCAGTGTAGGCCGAGGAGGAGCTGAAAAGCAAAAATAAATAAATCAAATACAGCAAAAAGCAGCATGAAATTTTGAAAACTGTCAAGAAGAATTATGAACTGAAACAGTAAAAATTTACAAATTTAGAACAATAAGTGAAGTCACATATGAATAACGGTGAATTCAGTGGACATGATTATTTTTTAAAAAATTATAAATTTAGAAATATTGAAACTCTCTCGTTGTTCTTTTGTCCAATAAGAGTTTACCCTTAACAAGCAAACCTCAACCAAAAAGCCAATCTATAGCCACAAATAATGCTCAGAACAGCACCTAACTTCATTAACAGTACATATAGGGTCCCAGCCATAGCACTAGCCACCAAACATCTTTTTAGCTTTGCCTGGTGTCTTTAGAAAAGAGACCAAACACAACTCACCCACTCTCCTCCAGCAGCCACTTGTTTGTGGTGGAGCCCTGAGGAGTTGATCACCGAGTGCAGCAGAGTTTTACAGCTCAAGAACATTTGCTATTATTGCTTCATGCAGACACGTTAGTTCTTCTGCTTTAGTGTCTTAGTCTGTTTGTATTTCCATGAAGTAATAATTATAAATTTTCCATTGCACTTGGTGATCGAGTCGTCAGGGCTCCCCCACAACCAAGCGGCTGCTGGAGGAGAGTGGGTGAGTTGTGTTTGGTCTCACTTTAGTGTCTAACTCAGTGTTACGGTGTGTTTGACCATAACTTAAATTTATGCCAGAGTATCCCTTTAAACCATGATTTCAGGTGGCTATCCAAATCTGCATTTCAATGAAAATTCAGTTGCGGAGTTCACAGGGTTTAGTGTTTGGACCAATCTTTTTCATCATGTATGCGTCATCTAGGTATCATTATCAGGAAACACTCCTTAAATTTTCAACTCTATGCTGATGACACTCAATTATACCTAACACTGAAACCACTAGATTAACCTTACTTGGTAAGGGAAATTTTGACATCAGGACTATGGCCTACACCCCCACTCAAACTTTTAATGGTAAGCCGGACCATGCAAGCCTACATATGCCCTATTTGTACTTCTTAATTGATTGATTTTATTGTTTTATTTTTAATTTTTGGTCTTTTTACTGTTGAATTGGATGTATGATAAAAAATCTGTTTCAGATTTAGTTGTACTTTGTACCAGAAACTCAGGACATGATGATAACAGTGTCCAAAGCCCTTGTGACAATCAACACACACGGACAGTTTCTACAGGTCACTCTAAAAAGCAGTCTACTCCAGCAGACCCATTTCTCAACATCACTTTCCATTAAAACATTTTTTCATGACTGATTCAAAACAGAGGGGGAGGTCTGGTACAATACTGCCAACACTTCTTTCAATCACACTGCCCAAAAACAATGTATTCTTGCTGATAGAGGAACCAAAGCCACTTGTATTAATAACTACATTGAAACAACTCACATTGTATGATAATGGAGACTGCGTCACTGTATGAAGATGGAGAATTCAAGTCTTTAATCCTCACAGTGTAAAAACATTTCACCTCGACCTCAGCAGGTAATTTATGATGTGCCATTGTCAGAAGTTCACTTCCTGTCAGTGTCTGCAGACAAGATAATGTCCTCACTGTTCCTCCACTTACAGTGAGGTAAAAACACTGAGACACAGATGATGGAGTCTGACAGTTCAGAGTAACTGAGTCTGTCTCTGTAATCACTGCAGGATTTACTGTCAGTGTAGGCCGAGGAGGAGCTGAAAAGTTAAAAATTTAACATAAATCAAATTCGGACAAAAGCAGTATGAATTTAACAGAAATTTGAAGTAGAACAGTAAAAAAATTTAAATTTACAACACTCAGGTAAAGTAAAAAATAAACAGATCAGACTGACCTTCAGTTTGAGTCCCACTGAAGGAATCTGTTAAAAATACAGAATTGCAGTGAGATCAGTGGACATAATTATGACTCCAAAGTTTAAAAACTCTAATTTCAGAGATATTGAAACTCTCTCTAGTTGTACTTATGTGCAATCAGAGGTTAAAGTCCTTTTGAGATGGATATACTGTATGTTTTATAACAGCATTTAAAACAGCAGAGTAGGGAACTTCTCTCAGCCTTTTTTGATAATAATAATCACCTACTTTAGATTATCCATGACATACATAATGCCTGACATGACATATGAATGTAATCTTTCCAGGTGTAACCCTTCAGTAAAGTCTATAAAGATAATGGAGTCACCAAGAAGAGTTTGAACTTACACAGGATGATAGAGAAGAGCAGATGCTTGGCCATGATGAAACTGAACACTGACACTGTGCAGAGGACTCTTGAGCATCTGACTAAGTGGTTTTTTAATTATGTCTATTATCAGAAATGAGACACTACAGAAGGGTTTCAATATTATCTACCACAATGGAAACTCACCTCTGAGTACGTGACACACAGTGAGTGAGAAGAACATCATAAAAATAAAGCTTTCTAATGATCTGCTCTCAGTAAACCAGTGGTGTATGCTACGTGATATGCAGGTATGCGCCATAAACCCACTAGAAAAGTTCACACATTTCTGTTTAATCACTAGAAAATGTGCAAAGGTACGTAACAACCCAAGTTCTGACCACAAATGCACAGCTATTTGCAGTAAATTATAACTTTTTAATTTTCATAACATCTTCATTTAAGACATTTTTTAAGGACCTGACATTCTTAACTTGATTATAGCAGACACAGATTATAGCTGATGTCCAGCACTGTTCCCGAGATCCAGGATTAAAGCTGGACTTAGTTTCTGAAGTGTCAGGAGGGCAACGACTAGGAGTCAAGCCTGTATGGTTGAGGTCAGAAAACTATTGTAGAGGCGGTAAAACAGTTCATGGTGATAAATATGGTGAAAAACATTCTAAGATGAAAGATATTGTTCAGATAGATGATCTGTGTTGATAGCAGATGAACTTACACTAATAAAAAGGAGCCGACGGTGTGCCTTGTCTCTGTCTTTTATGCACAGAGATGCACCGCTAAGCTGTCATGTCTGTGTTTTTGCTGATATGGTAAAATTGAGTTCTTTACTTGATCAGAGGGCTTGGAGATACATTTCCTTGTCTCTATGCATCACAATACTGCTCACTGCTTTCTTCTCATGAACATAGCTGGCCTCCAAAGCTGCAGCTTGAGAGGTAACCAAGCCTTTTGCGCTCAATCTAAATTAGGTAATCTTGAAATTACGTACTTGTCAATTACGGGTGGGCTATACAGTCTTTAAATATAACTTTCAGTGACATTGACCTTGCTGTGTGCTTTTTGAATAGAAAAACATGGTCAGTTGCTCTTGCTTACACTGCTTGGTGAAATAACGTTTTATATTGTGTATATGTTGGTTAGTAATGTGTACCTTCGAGGTGTATGTATGTTATTAATTTCAGACATTTACTTCGTTAGAGCTATTGAAGGAGATAAACAATTCTCAGCTTTTGTTTGCCTTTCATACATTTTTTGTGCATTAAACACACCTGGTCTTTCAGAATGTACGTGTTTGGTAGGATTTGACAAAAATCTAGGCTACACCACTGCAGTAAACAGTTATTTCCCAAATTTGTCCCTATTAGAAGTTCACTGAATACTCATAGCTTTGGCTGCACTAATCTTGTGTTTTTCCAGCTGATTGGAGAAATATTTTGAAATGGAGTCACAAATGAATAATTTTTTGGGACATGCAGCAGGGATCAGTTTCTTTCTGTTTGTTGGCTCCTCTTCTGAAGTGTATTTTTTGTGTTTTTTCTTTTGTGTCTCTGTTTGTTAATTGTATAAATTAGTATAAAGTGCATATTTTTGGTGCTTTTAGTATAAACATGAAGTCAAAATTGAACTGCATAAATCAACACTGTAGCATCAATAAAAAGATCAAAATTGATTCACACAACGAACTTTGTAAAAGGCCAATCTCTCCTGAAGATTCTCTGCCCACTTTTTTACTCTCATCTGGCACCATCTCTTCATCATTCTTGCTGTGAGTTACACCGTTAAACCTCCCTGTCCCAGACAACCAAGACCCCTTTCCTCTGGTCAGGGAGACAACTTAATCACTGACTTTCTTCTAACAATCATTAAATTAAAAATGAACAACTTTAGAGCTTTGCTAGATTGTGTTTTTTTTTCTTAATTATTATTATTTTATTAACTCTCCCACCATTTTTATAAGCTATTGGGAACATTTTGAACTTTAGAGAACATCAGTTTTAAACCAAGTGCCAGGCTCCTCCACACCATACTAGTGTGATGGATATCTGGCCCAGTTCATGAAACCCTTCCTGAGCACACTTCTGGATAAACTGCTGGACATGCAATAATTCTACTTAAACTGTAACTGATTACTCATTACAAGTAATGGATTAAAAGGAACATCATCAAAGGTTAGAGATTTCATTAACTGAGCATTAATACAGAATACTTAGATTGTACAATGAAGTTGGTGGATTTCTTCCTCTCATAATCTTTTTCAAATTAACACACAGATCAGCCATCTTGGTTAGCTCTTTTTTTTTTATTTATTATTATTTATTTATTTACTTTTTATTATGACATTATGTTTACATTAATTCCGAGACAATGCAACTTCTGCACTCCTACAAGTCCAAACAGATAAACCTGAGGCTGGAAAACCATTGTTCTTGTTCTCACATGGTACCATCTGCTGAGGGGACCTTGTCTAGAGCAGGCTGGTGAGCTGTGTTGTTAATCTGTGGAAAGAAACGAATATCACTTAGGTTACTAAGGTGGCATGCATTTCCCTATAAAAGCAGCTAGCTTTAACCCCAAATGGCTTTAGATATAGACCAAAAAATAATGATAGAATAGATACATAGATTCAGCGAACTAAAACAGTAGGCTAAAGATTTCAAGAATTTCCATTAGACTCCATGTGGTAGTCACTGAAGACACAACAATCTGTCTTGGCCATACAAATGGAAGCACATTACACAGTGACTGGAGCCCAAAATCCAGGAGCATCAACACCTGAAACAGAGGTTTAAATGTCTGCCAGTATAAAGAGTTTAAAGTGGACATTCAGCAGAAGTAAAGCAGCTCACCAGTCTTCCTTTTATAGGTAACGATACTACACGTTTCACCGTAATCATCCTGCAGTTAAAGAGGAAGGAGACAGTTTTTAAGATAGTACATTAACCATCATGAGCCTTATAATTGTCATCATCCTCATCATCATCATTGATTTCATCACCATTACCACCATCATCATCATTATCATCACCATCATCTTCATCATTAACTTCTTCATTATCATCATGCTCACATATTTATTTTGACCCTCTGGAAATCATTACTGCCGGGCAAACTTGGAATTTTACACTAAATTGTGTTTATAACACTGACACTGTCTTTGACTCCGACATGCATATGTACTTTAGAGAGTGTGCACGGTGAAGTTTGATGACATTTCAGGCTGTAGTTTTGGACTATAGAGCTGAGGTGAAGCAGGTGTGGAGACAGCAACAAAGGTGTCCTTGTCATCAAACAGCTCCACACAATAACAAGCATTGTGAACTCTTACTACCATCTCATAGTTTCATGTGCTTAATAGCAGCACATTGTCAAAACTTGGGTGCTGGGTGTAAAATGATGACTGTGTAAAGTGGATGATAGATTGTGCTTGCACACCAGATGTACAATGATGCTGTGATTTTCAAGACTGAATAACTGTAAAAATCTTTAAGATTACTAATATCTGACAATAAACAAAACAATATAAACGTGATGATAGTGACAAGCTTTGTGCAGGAAAATGTTTTCCATCATAAATGAAGAAAACATAGACTTTTAAATGAATATTTAAAAAAATGTTCTGACTTAATCAGACTCAACACCTCTTTTTTTTGAAGAACTGCAGAAATCAGCAAGATGGCACCCACAATAGACCCACAGCCAGCAGTGATTGAAAGGTACTTCCACATCCAGGATACTGCTTTACCACAACAGAAATCAAAAGCAAGTATCAATTCAGCTTAGCCTCCTCTTACAGGGATACATGATAACACAGTAGCTGCATTTCCATTACCCATAGATTTGAGCAAAACCTAAATATCGCTGTAGAAAACTGGTAATGGAAACACCTAAATTTCAAAAAACCTCTCAAATATCACTAAAAAGTTTTTACGCTCTCATGAGGTGGTTTTTCAGACGTGTCGATATAGAAGTATATCGCAAAAGTGTAATGGAAACACTATTCTCACAATTCTCTGTCACCGGACGTGACGTAGCGGGTCTTGTGACCAGTTCATTTCAAGCAAAGATTGTGCGGTATGTGTGGACGGGGGAGGAGACGGAGTTATTTCTGAAGTTTTGAATTGTATTTGTATTTTTCTGAAGTTTTGAATCCACAATTCGTCTGTGAATTCCTTATTAACAATCCTCTCCCATGTTGGCGTGCAAAAAGGCTTAAGGAATACGAGGTCGTACGGGCAGGAAGTTCACCTCGTTGCTAGGCAACGGCCATTCAAACGCGGCTTGCGAGAGGCAGACGGCTCGCTTATGCACTGAACACCATTCAATGGAAACACCCGCAAATCGCAATTGTACTTTGTCGAAATTTGATAAACAACGCTTTTATTTTGCGAAAAAATGTAATGGAAACGCAGCTACTGACAACATCCTAGCACTGCCATTCATAGTGCTGAAATGTATGTGTAAATCAGGAGATAACTAAATGGAAATAAAACAATTTTTTAAAAAAAAGGTGGGTGGGGGGGGGGTATGATAAGCCATGAATTACAGGGATACGCAATTCACAATGCTCTACATCTCCACGCAAAAACCTCAACCAAAAAGCCACTCTATAGCCACAAATAATGCTCAGAACAGCACCTAACTTCATCAACAGTATATATAGGGTTCCAGCAATAGTACTAGTCATCAAACTTTTATTTAGCTTTGCCTGAATTCTTTAGCAAAGAGACCAAATACAACTCACCCACTCTCTTCCAGCAGCTGTTTGTTTGTGGGGGGGGGGGGGGCTGACAAGTCGATCACCGAGTACAGCTGAGTTTCCCAGCTCAAGGAAGAACATTTATGGTCTTTTCTTTATGGAAATGCAATTAGACCAAGATGCTAAGGCAGAAGAACTACTGCATCTGCAGTGCAAAATTATTATTATGATAATTATTACCTCATGGAAATAATACGCTGCACTAAAAAAAAGTTTGATGGCTAGTACTATGGCTGGGAATCCTATATGTACTGTTGATGAAGTTAGGTGCTGTTCTGAGCATTATTTGTGGCTATTGAGTGGCTTTTTGGTTGAGGTTTGTGTGTGGAGATGTAGAGTGCTGTGTATTGCTATTGTGCAGTTGTTGCTGAAGCTGGTATAAATAGAATAGCAAGTAGTCTGCAACATTCATCTCTCGAGGGGCTGTCTAACTCTGTGGTACGGTGTGTTTGACCATAATTTAAATTTATGCTGGAATATCCCTAAAGTGAGTGGGAAGAATAAGTCAATTATCTTTCATCATTTAATCACAGTGTATGACACTGTCATTCTATTCTATCACCTTTTTATTGAAAGTCTTTTAACATTTTCATTCATTTGCTTGTTTCATGGATCAAACAATCCTTGATTGTTTGATTACAAGTCAGGTTAACTGTGAAATGAATTGCCCTTTGGGGTCAATAAATTTGTCTGATTCTGAATCGGAACTGTAACATAATGTGGTTTTCAGATCCAAATAAATCAAATGCAAATGTATCTTTATGTTTATCCTGACTTGATGTGAAAGCACTAAGCCATACTCTCTTGAAGCTGTTTCCATTCCGGTTACAGGGTCAGAGACATCTTCAGGATCATACACAGTAACTGTCAGGCCTATGTGCAAAGCAAAAATACATTTTTCAAACATCCACACTGATTGTTGTCAGCGTTTTCATGCAGTACAAAGATTATTGGTCTACCTGTCAACTTGTTTGTGGATGTTGGTTTCATCACAGTCGTACTGGTACCTGCATCTGCTAATTCCAAAAAGCATAATTGCATCAGCACTTTATCTCTCCGGACAAATTTGAAAAAGCAGCAGTCAAGTAAGCCTCTGCTTTCCAGAGTCTGTCAGAGAGGATGTTTCTGACTCACCTAGAGTCTTTCTGACAGTAGGGACAGTCAAAATCATGACCACTAAATGATGTAATTTGAAATAACCATTTAGGCATAAGTGCTGCCTGTGTGAATTTTAAATCGACAAGAGTGGATGGTGGTGCTTAATAAAGTTCTTGCACCCTCTGTGAGAGACACTGGGTCTAATTTTTGAAAGTTTTGCCCAATCTAGGTATAAAAACAAAGTTCACAGCTGAAAAAAATCCACTGCATGCCATTATTTCTGCTCATCTTTTACAAATACATCATGATATCATCAGTTAAGATAACCTGTCACTTACTTTGAACAGTGATGGAGCAAGTGTTACTCTTTGGAGACTGAGAATGTACAAAGTAAAAACATTTCACTTTGACCTCAGCAGGTGATCTCTGATGTGCCATGTTCAGAAGTTCCCTTCCTGTCATTTTCTGCAGACATGATAATACCCTCACTATTCCTCTACTTAGAGTGAAGTATGAACACTGAGACACAGATGATGGAGTCTGACAGTTCAGAATAACTGAGTCTGTCTCTGTAATCACTGCAGGATTTACTGTCAGTGTAGGCCGAGGAGGAGCTGAAAAGCAAAAATAAATAAATCAAATACAGCAAAAAGCAGCATGAAATTTTGAAAACTGTCAAGAAGAATTATGAACTGAAACAGTAAAAATTTACAAATTTAGAACAATAAGTGAAGTCACATATGAATAACGGTGAATTCAGTGGACATGATTATTTTTTAAAAAATTATAAATTTAGAAATATTGAAACTCTCTCGTTGTTCTTTTGTCCAATAAGAGTTTACCCTTAACAAGCAAACCTCAACCAAAAAGCCAATCTATAGCCACAAATAATGCTCAGAACAGCACCTAACTTCATTAACAGTACATATAGGGTCCCAGCCATAGCACTAGCCACCAAACATCTTTTTAGCTTTGCCTGGTGTCTTTAGAAAAGAGACCAAACACAACTCACCCACTCTCCTCCAGCAGCCACTTGTTTGTGGTGGAGCCCTGAGGAGTTGATCACCGAGTGCAGCAGAGTTTTACAGCTCAAGAACATTTGCTATTATTGCTTCATGCAGACACGTTAGTTCTTCTGCTTTAGTGTCTTAGTCTGTTTGTATTTCCATGAAGTAATAATTATAAATTTTCCATTGCACTTGGTGATCGAGTCGTCAGGGCTCCCCCACAACCAAGCGGCTGCTGGAGGAGAGTGGGTGAGTTGTGTTTGGTCTCACTTTAGTGTCTAACTCAGTGTTACGGTGTGTTTGACCATAACTTAAATTTATGCCAGAGTATCCCTTTAAACCATGATTTCAGGTGGCTATCCAAATCTGCATTTCAATGAAAATTCAGTTGCGGAGTTCACAGGGTTTAGTGTTTGGACCAATCTTTTTCATCATGTATGCATCATCTAGGTATCATTATCAGGAAACACTCCTTAAATTTTCAACTCTATGCTGATGACACTCAATTATACCTAACACTGAAACCACTAGATTAACCTTACTTGGTAAGGGAAATTTTGACATCAGGACTATGGCCTACACCCCCACTCAAACTTTTAATGGTAAGCCGGACCATGCAAGCCTACATATGCCCTATTTGTACTTCTTAATTGATTGATTTTATTGTTTTATTTTTAATTTTTGGTCTTTTTACTGTTGAATTGGATGTATGATAAAAAATCTGTTTCAGATTTAGTTGTACTTTGTACCAGAAACTCAGGACATGATGATAACAGTGTCCAAAGCCCTTGTGACAATCAACACACACGGACAGTTTCTACAGGTCACTCTAAAAAGCAGTCTACTCCAGCAGACCCATTTCTCAACATCACTTTCCATTAAAACATTTTTTCATGACTGATTCAAAACAGAGGGGGAGGTCTGGTACAATACTGCCAACACTTCTTTCAATCACACTGCCCAAAAACAATGTATTCTTGCTGATAGAGGAACCAAAGCCACTTGTATTAATAACTACATTGAAACAACTCACATTGTATGATAATGGAGACTGCGTCACTGTATGAAGATGGAGAATTCAAGTCTTTAATCCTCACAGTGTAAAAACATTTCACCTCGACCTCAGCAGGTAATTTATGATGTGCCATTGTCAGAAGTTCACTTCCTGTCAGTGTCTGCAGACAAGATAATGTCCTCACTGTTCCTCCACTTACAGTGAGGTAAAAACACTGAGACACAGATGATGGAGTCTGACAGTTCAGAGTAACTGAGTCTGTCTCTGTAATCACTGCAGGATTTACTGTCAGTGTAGGCCGAGGAGGAGCTGAAAAGTTAAAAATTTAACATAAATCAAATTCGGACAAAAGCAGTATGAATTTAACAGAAATTTGAAGTAGAACAGTAAAAAAATTTAAATTTACAACACTCAGGTAAAGTAAAAAATAAACAGATCAGACTGACCTTCAGTTTGAGTCCCACTGAAGGAATCTGTTAAAAATACAGAATTGCAGTGAGATCAGTGGACATAATTATGACTCCAAAGTTTAAAAACTCTAATTTCAGAGATATTGAAACTCTCTCTAGTTGTACTTATGTGCAATCAGAGGTTAAAGTCCTTTTGAGATGGATATACTGTATGTTTTATAACAGCATTTAAAACAGCAGAGTAGGGAACTTCTCTCAGCCTTTTTTGATAATAATAATCACCTACTTTAGATTATCCATGACATACATAATGCCTGACATGACATATGAATGTAATCTTTCCAGGTGTAACCCTTCAGTAAAGTCTATAAAGATAATGGAGTCACCAAGAAGAGTTTGAACTTACACAGGATGATAGAGAAGAGCAGATGCTTGGCCATGATGAAACTGAACACTGACACTGTGCAGAGGACTCTTGAGCATCTGACTAAGTGGTTTTTTAATTATGTCTATTATCAGAAATGAGACACTACAGAAGGGTTTCAATATTATCTACCACAATGGAAACTCACCTCTGAGTACGTGACACACAGTGAGTGAGAAGAACATCATAAAAATAAAGCTTTCTAATGATCTGCTCTCAGTAAACCAGTGGTGTATGCTACGTGATATGCAGGTATGCGCCATAAACCCACTAGAAAAGTTCACACATTTCTGTTTAATCACTAGAAAATATGCAAAGGTACGTAACAACCCAAGTTCTGACCACAAATGCACAGCTATTTGCAGTAAATTATAACTTTTTAATTTTCATAACATCTTCATTTAAGACATTTTTTAAGGACCTGACATTCTTAACTTGATTATAGCAGACACAGATTATAGCTGATGTCCAGCACTGTTCCCGAGATCCAGGATTAAAGCTGGACTTAGTTTCTGAAGTGTCAGGAGGGCAACGACTAGGAGTCAAGCCTGTATGGTTGAGGTCAGAAAACTATTGTAGAGGCGGTAAAACAGTTCATGGTGATAAATATGGTGAAAAACATTCTAAGATGAAAGATATTGTTCAGATAGATGATCTGTGTTGATAGCAGATGAACTTACACTAACAAAAAGAGCTGACGGTGTGCCTTGTCTCTGTCCTTTACGCACAGAGATGCACCGCTAAACTGTCATGTCTGTGTTTTTGCTGATATGGTAAAATTGAGTTCTTCACTTGGGTTCGGAGATACATTTCCTTGTCTCTATGCATCACAATACTGCTCACTGCTTTCTTCTCATGAACATAGCCCAGCTGGCCTCCAAAGCTGCAGCTTGAGAGGTAACCAAGCCTTTTGCACACAATCTAAATTAGGTACTCTTGAAATTACGTACTTGTCAATTACGGGTGGGCTATACAGTCTTTAAATATAACTATCAGTGACATTGACCTAGCTGTGTGCTTTTTGAATTAAAAAACATGGTCAGTTGCTCTTGCTTACACTGCTTGGTGAAATAAGGTTTTATATTGTGTATATGTTGGTTAGTAATGTGTACCTTCGAGGTGTATGTATGGTATTAATTTCAGACATTTACTTTGTTAGAGCTATTGAAGGAGATAAACAATTCTCAGCTTTTGTTTGCCTTTCATACATTTTTTGTGCATTAAACACACCTGGTCTTTCAGAATGTACGTCTTTGATAGGATTTGACAAAAATCTAGGCTACACCACTGCAGTAAACATACAGTTATTTCTCAAATTTGTCCCTATTAGAAGTTCACTGTATACTTATAGCTTTGGCTGCACTCGTCTTGTGTTTTTCCAGCTGATTGGAGAAATGTTTTGAATTGGAGTCACAAATGAATCATTTTTTTGGGACATGCAGCAGGGATCAGTTTCTTTCTGTTTGTTGGCTCCTCTTCTGAAGTGTATTTTTTGTGTTTTTTCTTTTGTGTTTCTGTTTGTTAATTGTATAAATTAGTATAAAGTGCATGTTTTTGGTGCTTTTAGTATAAACACGAAGTCAAAATTGAACTGCATAAATCAACACTGTAGCATCAATAAAAGGATCAAAAGTGATTCACACAACGAACTTTGTAAAAGGCCGATCTCTCCTGAAGATTCTCTGCCCACTTTTTTACTCTCATCTGGCACCATCTCTCTATCATTCTTGCTGTGAGTTACACCATTAAACCTCCCTGTCCCAGACAACCAAGACCCCTTTTCTCTTGAGAGCTGTGAAGGAGGCAAAGTCCAAATATTTGTCCTCTGTTATAGCCAACAGCTCCAATCATCCGACAGTACTATTTAGCACGATTGACTCTGCTATTAACCCATGCTCTACTGTCCTGTCTGATGCCTCCTCCTCCACCTGTGAAGAGTTTGCCTCTTTCTTCATAGACAAAGTGGCATCAGTCAGGCAGAATATCAGTTATATGTTAACGTCCCCCAATGATGTGTGTACTCCTCCTGCACTATCTGCTGTTTTTGAGAACTTCGAAACAATTTCTCTGCCGTCTCTCACTAAGGTGGTTAGTGGCTTAAAACCCACTAACTGTCCCTTAGACATTATTCCAGCCAAGTTTCTAAAGGAGGTATTTAGTTCTGTTGGATCAAGCTTGCTGTTTTTTATCAACACCTGTCTTAGCTCAGGGTCTGTCCCAGCTGCTTTCAAACATGCTGTGGTTAGGCCCCTCCTCAAAAACGCATCTTGACCCCACTGTGCTGTCCAATTTTAGGCCTGTCTCCCACCTGCCATTTCTTTCTAAGGTTTTGGAAAAAGTTGTCTCCTTTCAATTGCATGCATTTTTAGAGGTAAATTCTGTTCTTGATAAATTTCAGTCTGGTTTCAGGTCTCGACATAGCACTGAGTCAGCACTGTTAAAGGTACATAATGATATTGCCCTGTCCGTGGATGCTGGAAACCCCGCTGTGCTGGTCCTGCTGGACCTCACAGCGGCTTTTGATACAGTCGATCATGCAATCCTTGTATCTCGCCTTGAGCAGTATGTAGGCATCCGTGGCACCGCTCTCAAATGGTTTAAGTCGTACCTGGCAGATAGGAGTTTTTCCGTGATGATTGGTGACCTCTGCTCCTCACAGGCGCCTCTCTCTTGTGGGGTGCCACAGGGCTCTATTCTTGGCCCTATTCTGTTCTCTTTGTATTTACTACCCCTGGGATCAATTATAAGAAAATACAATCTGTCTTTTCATTCGTATGCTGATGACTTACAGTTATAGTTGCCCATGCGACCCAACGAGAACAGTGCACTTTCTCACTTACTGGACTGTATTACTGAAGTAAAACAGTGGTTGGCTCTGAACTTTTTGCACCTAAATGACAGCAAAACTGAGTGTATTTTATTTGGCACGCCATCGATATCAAACGTTTCGATTACAGACTCTGGAAATCTGGCGCCTTTTTTCAAGCCACATGTAAAGAATCTGGGGGTAACATTTGACAGTGGACTTAAGTTCGATAAACAGATTAGATCTGTCGTCAGTACCAGCTTTTTTCAACTGCGTCTCCTGGCCAAAGTGAAGTCCTTTTTAAGTCGGCAGGACCTCGAGAAGGCAATCCATGCCTTCATCAGTTCCAGACTGGACTATTGTAATGCCCTTTATGTTGGCCTCAGCCAGTCTTTAATCTCCCGTCTCCAGCTTGTACAGAACGCTGCTGCACGATTTTTAACGGGCACGTCTTGGCGTGAACACATCACCCCTGTGCTGTCTTCGCAACACTGGCTTCCAGTTTGTTTTAGAATTGACTTTAAACTTTTATTATTTACTTTTTATGCTATAAATGGCCTGGCCCCCTCCTACCTGTCAGAGATTTTAACTGTTCGCGATCATGGCAGGGCCCTCCGTTCCTCCGGTCAGCGCCTGTTGGAGGTCCCGAGGTCAAAACTCAAACAGTGGGGTGATCGTTCTTTTGCTGTTGCAGCTCCTAGGCTGTGGAACAGACTGCCGCTAGATGTACGCACCACCACTGACCTCAGTTTATTTAAATCAAAGTTAAAGACGCACCTTTTTAGACTTGCTTTTAACTCTGACTAGGTAGTCCTGTACTTATAGGTTTTTAGCACTTCTACATACTATTTTATTGTATTATTTTATTTTCATATTCATTTTTATTATTTCATCGTTCTTGTATTATTCTATTCTATTGTATTATTTTATAATGGTATTTTTTCTTGTGTTATTTTATTGCTTTTATGTAAAGCACTTTGGGTACCATTTGGGATATTGTAAAGTGCTATATAAATAAAATTTGATTGATTGATTGATTGATTGTCAGGGAGACAACTTAATCACTGACTTTTTTTAACAATCATTAAATTAAAAATGAACAACTTTAGAGCTTTGATATATTGTGGGTTTTTTTTTTATTATTATTATTTTATTAACTCTCCCACCATTTTTGTAAGCTATTGGGAACATTTTGAACTTTAGAGAACATCAATTTTAAACCAAGTGCCAGGCTCCTCCACACAATACGAGTGTGATGGATATCCGGCCCAGTTCATGAAACCCTTCCTGAGCACACTTCTGGATAAACTGCTGTACATGCAATAATTCTACTTAAACTGTAACTGATTACTCATTACAAGTAATGGATTAAAAGGAACATCATCAAGGGTTAGAGATTTCATTAACTGAGCATTAATACAGAATACTTAGATTGTACAATGAAGTTGGTGGATTTCTTCCTCTCATAATCTTTTTCAAATTCACACACGGATCAGCCATCTTGGTTAGCTCCTTTTTTTTTCTTAACATTATTTATTTATTTATTTTTTATTATGACATTATGTTTACATCAACTCCGAGACAATGCAACTTCTGCACTCCTACAAGTCCAAACAGATAAACCTGAGGTTGGAAAACCATTGTTCTTGTTCTCACATGGTACCATCTGCTGAGGGGACCTTTTCTAGAGCAGGCTGGTGAGCTGTGGTTGTTAATCTGTGGAAAGAAACAAATATCACTTAGATTACTAAAGTGGCATGCAGCCTTCAGAATTTAATGCCACACAGGGCTGAATAACTTGGGTTTTTAAGATTTACTACCCATAATTTTACTTAATTTGCAATGAATGCATAAGCCACATAGAGTCTCATTGATATCTGTGCTTTTCCCTATAAAAGCAGCTAGCTTTAACCCCAAATGGCTTTAGATATAGACCAAAAAAATAATGATAGAATAGATATACAGATTCAGCCATCTAAAACAGTAGGCTAAAGATTTCAAGAATTTCCATTAGACTCCATGTGGTAGTCACTGAAGACAAAACAATCTGTCTTGGACATACAAATAGAAGCACATTACACAGTGACTGGAGCCCAAAATCCAGGAGCATCAAAACCTGAAACAGAGGTTTAAATGTCTGCCAGTATAAAGAGTTTAAAGTGGACATTCAGCAGAAGTAAAGCAGCTCACCAGTCTTCCTTTTATAGGTAACGATACTACACGTTTCACCAGAATCATCCTGCAGTTAAAGAGGAAGGAGACAGTTTTCAAGATGGGACATTAACCATGATGAGCCTTATCATCCTCGTCATCACCTTCATCATCATCATCACCATCATTTTCATCATAACATCGTCATTTTCATCGTCATCATTTTGTTCATCACATCATCATCATCATCATCATCATCATTATTATCATTTTCATCACATCATCATTGATTTCATCACTATTACCACCATCATCATCATTATCATCACCATCATCTTCATCATTTTCTTCTTCATCATCATCATGCTCACATATTTCTTTTGACCCTCTGGAAATCATTACTGCAGAGCAAACTTGGAATTTTACTCTAAATTGTGTTTGTAACACTGACACTGTCTTTGACTCCGACATGCACATGTACTTTAGAGAGTGTGCACGGTGAAGTTTGATGACATTTCAGGCTGTAGTTTTGGACTGTAGAGCTGAGGTGAAGCAGGTGTGGAGACAGCAACAAAGGTGTCCTTGTCATCAAACAGCTCCACACAATAACAAGCATTGTGAACTCTTACTACCATCTCATAGTTTCATGTGCTTAATATCAGCACATTGTCAAAACTTGGGTGCTGGGTGTAAAATGATGACTGTGTAAAGTGGATGATAGATTGTGCTTGCACACCAGATGTACAATGATGCTGTGATTTTCAAGACTGAAAAACTGTAAAAATCTTTAAGATTACTAATATCTGACAATAAACAAAACAATATAAACATGATGATAGTGACAGGCTTCGTGCAGGAAAATGTTTTTCATCATAAATGAAGAAAACATAGACTTTTAAATGAATATTTAAAAAAAATGTTCTGACTTAATCAGACTCAACACCTCTTTTTTTTGAAGAACTGCAGAAATCAGCAAGATGGCACCCACAGTAGACCCACAGCCAGCAGCAATTGAAAGGTACTTCCACATCCAGGATACTGCTTTACCACAACAGAAATCAAAAGCAAGTGTCAATTCAGCTTAGCATCCTCTTACAGGGATACATGATAACACAGTGACACCATCCTAGCACTGCCATACATAGTGCTGAAATGTATGTGTTTAAATCAGGAGAAAACTAAATGGAAATAAAACAATAAAAAAAAAGGTGGGGGGGTATGATAGGCCATGAATTAAAGGGATACACAGACAGCCCCTCGAGAGATGAATGTTACTGACTGCTTGCTTTTCTATTCATACCAGCTTCAGCAACATCTGCACAATAGCAATACACAATGCTCTACATCTCCACACACAAACCTCAACTAAAAAGCCTCTCTATAGCCACAAATAATGCTCAGAACAGCACCTAACTTCATCAACAGTACATATAGGGTTCCAGCCATAGTACTAGTACTAGTCATCTCACCCACTCTCTTCCAGCAGCTGTTTGTTTGTGTGTGTGTGTGTGTGTGTGTGGGGGGGGGGGGGGGGAGCCCTGACAAGTCGATTACCGAGTACAGCTGAGTTTCCCAGCTCAAGGAAGAACATTTATGGTCTTTTCTTTATGGAAATGCAATTAGACCAAGATGCTAAGGCAGAAGCACTACTGCATCTGCAATGCAAAATTATTTTTATGATAATTATTACCTCATGGAAATAATACGCTGCACTAAAAAAAAGTGTGATGGCTAGTACTATGGCTGGGAATCCTATATGTACTGTTGATGAAGTTAGGTGCTGTTCTGAGCATTATTTGTGGCTATTGAGTGGCTTTTTAGTTGAGGTTTGTGTGTGGAGATGTAGAGTGCTGTGTATTGCTATTGTGCAGTTGTTGCTGATGCTGGTATAAATAGAAAAGCAAGCAGTCGGCAACATTCATCTCTCGAGGGGCTGTCTAACTCTGTGGTACGGTGTGTTTGACCATAATTTAAATTTATGCTGGAATATCCCTAAAGTGAGTGGGAAGAATAAGTCAATTATCTTTCATCATTTAATCACAGTGTATGACACTGTCATTCTTTCATTCAAATCAATCAATCAATCAATCAAATTTTATTTATATAGCGCCAATTCACAACAGTTGTCATCTCAAGACGCTTTTCAAGGAACAAGAGCAGGTCTGGACCACGCTCATTGTTTGATGATCAAGAACCAACCTAAGATGGGTTTTGGCCCATCTCAACTAACATGAGTTACAGTGGCAAGGAAAAACTTCCTTTTAACAGGCAGAAACCTTGGGCAGGACCAGCCTCATGCTAGACAGCCACCATGCCGCTGCTGGGTTGGGGAGGAATGTAGAGAGAAGAGGGGAGAGGGGGAGAGGACAGGGGGAGGGAGAGAGACAACAAGATAGGGGAAAGGCGAGAGAGAATTAGTACGGAGAGGGAGGGGGAGGGAGAGAGAGTAGGGAACGAGGGTGAGAGAGAGACAGGAGGCAGCAGGAACAACAGCAACAACAACAACAGCTCATGTAATGGTGAAACAAAAAGAAGTTCAGTTTACAGGTTTAGGATATGAGTGATAATGGACAATGTTGAATTAATTGAGTGTGATTACAGTTAGCAGGCTTAATCGTAGTCAGTTCTATTTTGTATTATTAATGTCAATAATGACAGTGAGGCTGATGTTCATGTCTGCAGTAACAGTAACAGCAACAGTCCAGAGGAATCAGAGAGAAGATCATCTTTTTATTGAAAGTCTTTTAACATTTTCATTCATTTGCTTGTTTCATAGATCAAACAATCCTTGATTGTTTAATTACAAGGCAGGTTAACTGTGAAATGAATTGCCCTTTGGGGATTATTTAAGTTGTCTGAATCTGAACTGTAAAATAATGTGGTTTTAATAACCAAATAAATCATATGCAAATGTATCTTTATGTTTATCCTGACCTTATGTGAAAGCACTAAGCCATACTCACTGGAAACTGTTTCCATCCCAGTTACAGGGTCAGAGACATCTTCAGGATCAGATACAGTAACTGTCCGGCCTATGTGCAAAGCAAAAACACGTTTTTCAAACATCCACACTGACTGTTGTAAGCGTTTTCATGCAGTACAAAGATTATTGGTCTACCTGTCAACTTGTTTGTGGATGTTGGTTCCATCGCAGTGGTACTGGTACCTGCATCTGCTTATTCCAAAAAGCATAATTGCATCAGCACTCTATCGCTCTAGACAAATGTGAAGAAGCAGCAGTCAAGTCAAGCACCAAGAGTGGATGGTGGTGCTTCATAAAATTCTTGCATCCTCTTTGAGAGACATATGTTTTAAAATGTAAAAGTGTTGACCAATCTAGGTAAAAGGACAAAATCTACTGCTGGAAAAAAAACAAAAAAAACACTGCAGAACATTTACCCGGCTGATCTTACATAAATACATCATTATAACATTGGTTTAGATGATCAGTCACTTTCTTTGAACAGTTACTGAACAAATGTTACTCTTTGGAGACTAAGAATGTACAAAGTAAAAACATTGAACTTTGACCTCAGCAGGTACTCTTTGTTGTCCTGTTTTCAGAAGTACACTTCCTGTCAGCGTCTGCAGTCAAGATAAAGTCCTCACTCTTCCATCACTTAGAGTGAAGTAAAAACACTGAAAAACACTGTTGCCAAAGCTGGAATAAATAGAAAAGCAAGCTGTCGGCAACATTCATCTCTCGAGGGGCTGTCTAACTCTGTGGTACGGTGTGTTTGACCATAATTTAAATTTACGCTGGAATATCCCTAAAGTGAGTGGGAAGAATAAGTAAACTATCTTTCATCATTTAGTCACAGTGTATGACACTGTCACTCTTTCATTCTATCATCTTTTTATGGAAAGTCTTTTTTTCGTTTGCCTGTTTCATGGATCAAACAATCCTTGATTGTTTGATTACAAGGCAGGTTAACTGTGAAATGAATTCCCTTTGGGGATTATTTAAATAATCTGAATCTGAACTGTAAAATAATGTGGTTTTAATAACCAAATAAATCATATATCTTTATCTTTATGTTTATCCTGACCTGATGTGCAAGCACTATACCATACTCACTGGAAGCTGTTTCCATCCCAGTTACAGGGTCAGAGACATCTTCAGGATCAGTCACAGTAACTGTCAGGCCTATGTGCAAAGCAGAAACACATGTTTCAAACATCCACACTGACTGTTGTCAGCGTTTTCATGCAGTACAAAGATTGTTGGTCTACCTGTCAACTTGTCTGTGGATGTTGGTTCCATTGCGATTGTACTGGTACCTGCATCTGCTAATTCCAAAAAGCATAATTGCATCAGCACTCTATCTCTCTGGACAAATGTGAAGAGGCAGCAGCCAAGTCAAGCACCAAGAGTGGATGGTGGTGCTTCATAAAATTCTTGCATCCTCTTTGAGAGACATATGTTTTAAAATGTAAAAGTGTTGACCAATCTAGGTAAAAGGACAACATTTACTGCTGGAAAAAATCCACTGCAGAACATTTACCCAGCTGATCTTACACAAATACATCATTATAACATTGTTTTAGATGATCAGTCACTTACTTTGAACAGTTACTGAACAAATGTTACTCTTTGGAGATTGATAATGTACAAAGTAAAAACATTTAACTTTGACCTCAGCAGGTACTCTTTGTTGTCCTGTTTTCAGAAGTACACTTCTTGTCAGCGTCTGCAGTCAAGATAAAGTCCTCACTCTTCCATTACTTAGAGTGAAGTAAAAACACTGAAAAACACTGTTGCCAAAGCTGGAATAAATAGAAAAGCAAGCTGTCGGCAACAATCATCTCTCGAGGGGCTGTCTAACTCTGTGGTACGGTGTGTTTGACCATAATTTAAATTTATGCTGGAACTTCCCTAAAGTGAGTGGGAAAAATAAGTAAATTATCTTTCATCATTTAGTCACAGTGTATGACACCATCACTCTTTCATTCTATCATCTTTTTATGGAAAGTCTTTTTTTCGTTTGCTTGTTTCATGGATCAAACAATCCTTGATTGTTTGATTACAAGGCAGGTTAACTGTGAAATGAATTCCCTTTGGGGATTATTTAAATAATCTGAATCTGAACTGTAAAATAATGTGGTTTTAATAGCCAAATAAATCATATATCTTTATCTTTATGTTTATCCTGACCTGCTGTGCAAGCACTAAGCCATACTCACTGGAAGCTGTTTCCATTCCGGTTACAGGGTCAGAGACATCTTCAGGATCAGTCACAGTAACTGTCAGGCCTATGTGCAAAGCAAAAACACATTTTTCAAACATCCACACTGACTGTTGTCAGCGTTTTCATGCAGTACAAAGCTTATTGGTCTACCTGTCAACTTGTCTGTGGATGTTGGTTCCATCGCAGTGGTACTGGTACCTGCATCTGCTTATTCCAAAAAGCATAATTGCATCAGCACTCTATCTCTCTGGACAAATAAGAAGAGGCAGCAGCCAAGTCAGCCGCTGCTTTCCAGAGTCTGTCAGAGAGGATGTTTCTGACTCACCTAGAGTCCTCTTGACAGTAGCTACAGTCAAAAGCATGGCCAGTAAATGATTTGAAAAAAACATTTCGGCATTAGCGCTGCCTATGTGAATTTGTATTTCTTTCTTAAATTTCTTTTAATGTTTTAATTTTTTATTTTTATTTTGGGGTCATCAGACAGAACAAGACATAAAACAACCACAAAATTAAAGATGACGGCAAAAGTTCGGGAGGTAGAGCAGTCAGCCAATAACCAGAAGTTTGGCGGTTCATATCCTGCCCTGTGAGTGAATGAATGCTGTAAAGAGCTTTGAGGTCACTGACAAAAAATGCAAAAAAAACTTGATGCATTATTATGAAAACATTATGCATGCATATATAAAAGTAAAGTTAGGGAAAAAGGAAAAAAAAATCCAGAGGAACAGACAAAATAGCCTTGACAACAATAATAACAATAATGGTCAAACTAATGGAAATAATAAGACTCTGTCCTTATATATAAGGACTAAGTAAAACTAATAATAACAATAGAATAATAATAATAAAAATATAATTAAAAAATAATAAATAAGAATAAACCAAATAATCAATAAATATAAAAATTGGCAAAATAATTTCAGTTTGTCCCCCAAAAATAATAGTAGTAATAATAATAATAATAATAATAATTATTATTATTATTATTATTATTATTATTATTATTATTATTATTATTATTATTATTATTATCATTAAAAAAACAAATACAAGAGTGACAATGTTAATTATTATGACATAAACAAACATCAAATTTATATATACATATATATACATATATATATATATATATATATATATATATATATATATATATGTATAGACACCTGAACTACTGTATTTTTCGCACGATTAGGTGCACTTAAAATCCTTTTTGGCTTGTCAGAGCACTGCAGCTACCATAGCCTTGCAAAGTTATTGAATGAGTTAAACAAAGTTTGACTTATATGACTGTTTTATTTGGCTTAATGTGCTTTATAATCCGGTGTGCCTTATAACCCGGTGCGCCTTATGTATGAAAATAGAAGCGAATAGATGCATTCATTGATGGTGCGTCTTATAATCAGATGCGCCTTATAGTGCTAAAAATACAGTATATATATATACATATATAAGTAACTCCGACAGAGCTTGGCAGAATGCTTAGGAAGGTGTTCTACAAAAGATGGTTTGGCCCCCTCAGTCTCCAGACCTTTCTCCAATAGAGCATGTGCGGGATGATTTGGATTGATCGGTCAGAAAGGCCCGTCCCACGAATCAGCAGTCTCTTTTTAATGAACTTAAGAAAGCTTGGAATGCAATCCCTGGAACATACCTTAAAAAACTTGTGGAACAAATGTATATGCCAAGCTGTTGTTAAAGCCAGAGGAGGTTACTTTGAAGAAAGCAAAGTCTAAGCAACAATAACTCAAATACCTAATAATTATAGTCAAAATGTCTTCTGATAAGTTACTCTTTACACAATAGTCATGTTTATTGTGTTGCAAATTATATTTATGAAACTATGATCTTATTTTTTAAAAATCTGATCTTGCTTCCAAACTTTCCGCCTGTAGTGTATATACAAAAAAAGTATCATGCGGAAGTATGTGAAACAGGTGGTTGTAGTTGTTATTTGTGTCAGGTCTGTTGGAGATTTGGAAGAGGTGACAAAATGGAGAGCTGTTCAATTGAAGCATGATGATTGGATAGTGGGATGTTTTCCAGTGATATATAATCAATAAGTGTGTCTTTCCATTCGGCCAGGGTTATGTTTTGTTCTGTTTTCCAATTTTTGAGGATTGTTGTCTTGGCAATAGTAAAGGCTGTGAGGAGAATTTTATTGGTTGAAGCTGGTAAGTTTGTTACTGATGTACTGCCAAGTACACAAAGTGATGGGGATAGAGGCATGTGGCAGCCCATAACAGTAGACAGTGAGTGTATGACATATTTCCAGAACTGTTGTATTGGTGTGCAGTTTCATATTGCATGAATATATGTGTCTGGTTTATTCTGAGTACAGTTAGTACAGGTGTCTGGGGTGAATTCCATTTTATACAATTGTGCCCTGTGGTGCGTGTTCTGTGTAGTACCTTGTATTGTATAGATATAGATTTGTATTTTTGAACATTGTATAGATGTTTTGGCAGCTCTTGGTCCAGAAGTCAGCATTAGGAGTGATTGAAAGGTCTTCTTCCCATTTTGTTACTGGAAAAGCGATAGATTTACCTGTATATGATGTGATGCTGTATAGTTTTGACAAAAGTTTTTTTTAAGATTGAAAGTTTACTAGGTCTGTAACTGATGACGGTGTTCAAGATTGATGGTTGAGGTGTTGTATTTGGCTTGAATTAAAGATTTGAGTCTTAAATATTCCAGATATTGGTCACTCCTGATGCTGTACTCCTAGACCAGGCAATGAAATGGGATAAATGTATTTTTTTGGATAATGTGATGTAAATGTTGAGACCTCTGTTTGCTCATGAATGGAAATTGAGTGCTTTTTCTTTTTTGTTGCTTATAAAGTCTTAGTTGTTCCAGAGGGGGTGAATTTGGATGGTGCCAGAGTGGAGTTGGTGATTTTGTGGAATTTCCACTAGGCTGTCAGAGTTGTCGATATTGTGTTTTGGAGTAGGGCTGGGATCTTATGGACTGGCAGAAAAATGGTAGATCTGAAATGGGTATATTGTTATAAAGTGTCTGTTCTATGTCTAACCAGTAGATATCTGATTCTTGGGGGTGGGTCTTTTTAAACATGTACTGAAGTTGGTTCACCACTGAGTAATGTTGAAAATTTGGTGCCGCCAGTCCTCCTAGGGATTTAGATTTCTGGAATGTTGTTAATTTGATTCTTAGGGTTCTATCTTTCCAGTAAAGTTTTCTAATAATTGAGTCAAGGGGCTCTATTTTGGTGCGCGCCGGTGAGGCGGCGAAGGGCAGCGAGCCCCGCGCAGTTGTATTTTCGTCTGGCGGAGCCCAGCGTAAGGCCAGTTTGGTATTTTCGTGGACTGAGCCGCACGGAGGTGAGCCGAGATCCGCCAAGCTGAGCGTGGTGGCGTGGCAGGGGGAGGTGTCGACAGAATCAGCAGGCGCAGTGACATTTTCGTGCTCGCCACCGGCATGTAAAGTGCGCTGAAAGCTCGCTGATTCAAACCTGGTCAGCTTTCAGCGCATGGCGGAGCGCAGCTGGTCTAGTAGTATTTTGGTAGACTGGCGGTGTATCGACATACGTCACTGATGCCTCACCGGCAGGTTTCCACAGTGTCAGGCACATTTCAGTGCAATAAATAATCATCATCAACTATTAATCTGAGTCAGCACATACATTTAGATCTATATAGATATATTCTGATCTATATGTGATCTGATGAGCGTGTTTGGCACGCGTTTGGACACACAACCTGACTGAATCAACACAGCTGAAACCGCATCAAATTAAATTAAATATCTAGTAAATAAACACACATGATGAAGTTAACTAGATATGTAATTCGTCTCCCTCCTTTTCTTTCTTCCTCTTCCTCTTATTTCTCGCGAAGCTCGACCTGGACACATCTCCGTGTCCTCTGTCCGTCTTGCTGCTGCTGCGGCTGAACAGATGATTTGTTTCAGTGCTCAGATGCGTTATCTACTTTAAGCCGCCATACAGATATTATAATATTCAGTTTTGTGGGCCAAATTTATTTTATATGCCATCTATGAAAGAAAGAGCCAAGCCACGGAGCACGATGCGTCATTTACGCACAGATGGTTCTGATTTTAATGCCATTTTTGGAGTTTATGTTGTGATCTCTGCGCTCAACCCACCTTTGTCACGTGAGGTTTGAATATGAGCAACTTTATGTGAGTGTCTTTATTTGTGGAAAAGGGTGTTTGTCTTACCACTGGGTCCAACATTACACACACCAAATCCATCTGTGCTCATATGAGAGAGTGTGGAGGACACTTGTTGAGGAGCTGCCCTCTGTCGCCATCTTGTGGCATTACTGTCTTAAGACATCTCTTGATCTCTTTGACTACTTCATGAAAATAGTAATACGCCTCGCCTGTGGCGGATTTAAAGGCAAGGAGAGGAGCTTATGTGATTGGTGAAAACAGGTCTCGGCTGTGTTAAACCCACTCCACGCCCTCTCTCCTCCCCGTCTACGACTTATGCTGCTGGGAGGAGCTGAGTTAGGGAGGGGGGATACTTAGGCCAGGCTGCGCGGCTCACCAAAATACCAATATGTGCTTGGGAACACCTTGTCAGCGCGGCGGATCTGACTGACGCTGCGCTTGCGACACCCAGGGGAGGGTGGGTTGTGATGGTATCACTGAAAGACAGTAGTTTATTTTGGGTAGAATGGTCATTTTAACTTCTGCTATTCTGCCGATTATGGAGAGTGGTAAATTCATTCAGTGGTTGAGATTATCAGTTATTGTTTTGAGTAATGGGGTGTAATTGAGGTTGAATAACTCTAACACCCTGGAGGAGCCCATCAACAGAGGGTGCTGTTCTCGGAGTGGCTTCACCCAGCAAGGAGGAAGACTCTGTCCATTCTATATATACAGTCTATGAGGCTGCCACATCCCAGTTGTTTTTTTTTTTTTGAGGATTTATGCCAGTTTATGGAATAATTGGATATGTTTGAGTATGTTTCTATGGGCTTTATTGTTTCATGTATTGATGGGTATGGGTTTTGCCTAGTCCCCCGGTGTAGTGTGAAAGGTTGTGATGTTAGTCCATTTGTGTTCACTGTGGCAGTAGAAGTGGTGTGTAGTATTTTAATCCAATTGATAAATTGCCAAATTTTTGTAAAGTGCAGGTGAGAAATGACCATAAGTAATACGGTTTAAAGAACAAATAGATTGATTGCAAATGTATGTTTATGTTTATCCTGATGTGATGTGTTAGTACTCACTCACTTGGTCTACCTGTCATCTTCTTTGTGGATGTTGGTTCCATCACAGTCGTACTGGTACCTGCATCTGCTAATTCCAAAAAACATAATTGCATCAGTACTCTATCTCTCTAGACAAATAAGAAGAGGCAGCAGTCAAGTCAGCCTCTGCTTTCCAGAGTCTGTCAGAGAGGATGTTTCTGACTCACCTAGAGTCTTTCTGACAGTGGGGACAGTCAAAATCATGACCATTAAATGATGTAATTTGAAATAACCATTTAGGCATAAGTGCTGCCTGTGTGAATTTTAACTAGACAAGAGTGGATGGTGGTGCTTAATAAAGTTTTTGCACCCTCTCTGAGAGACACTGGGTCTAATTTTTGAAAGTTTTGCCCAATCTAGGTATAAAAAACAAAATTCACAGCTGAAAAAAATCCACTGCATGGCATTATTTCTGCTCATCTTTTACAAAAACATCATGATATCATCAGTTAAGATAACCTGTCACTTACTTTGAACAGTGATGGAGCAAGTGTTACTCTTTGGAGACTGAGAATGTACAAAGTAAAAACATTTCACTTTGACCTCAGCAGGTGATCTCTGATGTGCCATGTACAGAAGTTCCCTTCCTGTCATTTTCTGCAGACATGATAATACCCTCACTATTCCTCCGCTTAGAGTGAAGTATGAACACTGAGACACAGATGATGGAGTCTGACAGTTCAGAGTAACTGAGTCTGTCTCTGTAATCACTGTAGGATTTACTGTCAGTGTAGGCCGAGGAGGAGCTGAAAAGTTAAAAATAAATAAATAAATAAAGCAAATACAGCAAAAAGCAGCATGAAATTCTGAAAACTGTCAAGAAGAAATATGAACTGAAACAGTAAAAATATACAAATTTAGAACAATAAGTGATGTCAGATATGAATAACGGTGAATTCAGTGGACATGATTATTTAAAAGAAAATTTGAAATTTAGAAATATTGAAACTCTCTCATTCTTTTGTCCAATAAGAGGTTACCCTTAACAAGCAAACCTCAACCAAAAAGCCAATCTATAGCCACAAATAATGCTCAGAATGGAAAGGACAAAAATCTACTGCTGCAAAAAAATAAAAAAAATCCACTGCAGAACATTTACCTGGCTGATCTTACACAAATACATCATTAAAACATTGGTTTTAGATTATCAGTCACTTACTTTGAACAGTTACTGAACAAATGTTACTCTTTGGAGACTGAGAATGTACAAAGTAAAAACATTTAACTTTGACCTCAGCAGATCTTTGTTGTGCCATTTTTAAGAGGTACACTTCCTGTCAGCGTCTGCAGTCAAGATAACGTCCTCACTCTTCCTTCACTTAGAGAGAAGTAAAAACACTGAGACACAGTTAATGGAGTCTGACAGTTCAGAGTAACTGAGTCCGTCTCCTTGATCACTGCTGGATTTACTGTCAGTGTAGGCCAAGGAGGAGCTTACAAGTTAAGAACATGTCTGAATTAAACAACAAAACCACTAATAATAATACGTAGTTCAAACACTGCAAAAAATATTTTACAATGGCCTTCCACTGTAATTCATTATTGTGCTGTGTATTCCTCCAGCCTTAAGCTGTGATGATTTTATGAGCCACTTTAATATGAAAATCTTGAATAATGAAAAGAAGATGAAAAACAGAACTTTATTGTTTCTATCCTATATTAGAGACAACATTAGTCATCAATTGTCCCTGCAAGCTTTAGATTACCCAATCAGTTCTACAATTATGGACACAGTTGTGAAACTTCATGTTTACCTAGATTGTTTTTATCGAATGACCTTCCTGAATAAAACTCAACTGGCTACTAAGAAAGACTATCAATTTGTCTCTCAGGCCATATTCTCACCAAGCTGCTAATTTTCTGTTATCAGCTCTACTTTAGTCAGCATAATTTATATGTCTTAAGAGACAGCATAAGTTTCATTTTTTTTAAGTAGCTGTAATAAAACCTCTTATTTAAAATCTAGCTCTACATTCAGGCATTTTGGCTAACTATGAGCCGGTATCATACCTCCACTTTATTTTGAAATTACATGAGAAGGTTGAAGCCAATGGGCACTGTGACTTTTTAGCGGCAACACTTTATCTGAGGAGGTTCAATCAGAATTTAGAGTCCAGTATAGTACTGAAACTGCACTACTGAGGTGAGTATCGACTTAACAATGGCCGCTGACAATGGTCTTCTTCTTCAGCTTTTGAGGCTTGAACAACCAATAGGTATTACATTCACTCTTTTAGCTTGGTTTAAATCAAATTTTCAGGTAGGTATGATGAAGCTGAACACTGACACTGTGCAGAGGACTCTTGAGCATCTGACTTAGTGGTGTTTTAATTATGTCTATTATCAGAAATGACACACTCACTGATAAACCACACATCTCAACTGTCTTTTTATAGTATCATGAATGCAGAAGTGTTTCAATACAATCTACCACAATGGAAACTCACCTCTGAATACATGACACACAGGGCTCTATTTTCGAGTACGCCGGTGAGGCAACGGAGGGGGGCGAGCCCCACGCAGTTGTATTTTCGTCTGGCGCAGCCCGGCATATAGCCAGTTTGGTATTTTCGTGGACTGAGGCGCACGGAGGCGAGCCGAGATCCGCCAAGCTGGGCGTGGCAGGGGGAGGTGTCGACAGAATCAGTGGCACGTGTTTGGACACACAACCTGACTGAATCAACACAGCTGAAACCACATTAAATTAAATTAAACATCTAGTAAATAAACACACATGATGAAGTTAACAAGATATTTAATTTGTCTCCCTCCTTTTCTTTCTTCCTCTTATTTCTCGCGCAGCTCGACCTTGATTTGTGTCTGTGTCCTCTCTCCGTCCTGCAGCAGTTGCTGCTGCGGCGGCTGAACAGATGATTTGTTTCAGTGATCAGATAAGTTATTTACTTTAAGCCGACATACGAATATTATAATATTTAGTTTTGTGAGCCAAATTTATTTTATATGCCAACATCTATGAAAGAGAGAGCCATGAGGCCAAGGAGCGCACAACTCATCTTTGTCATGTGGGATTTAAATATATGCAGCACATACATTTAGATCTACAGTACATCAGTATATTTTGATGTATATCTTAGGAGCGCGTTTGGCACGCCTAATTGCCACTCAACCTGACCGACTAACACAGCTGAAACTCTGATGCAAACTAACTACTTCACGTCTCTCTACCAACCACAAACAGCTTCGTCATCACAGAGAGAGTCTATATTTGGCATGTCATCTCAGAACACTGAGAAAAGAATCAACGCACACTGAAGCAAAGTAAGTTATGACCGTTGTTCTCAAGATTTACCTGCAGCATGTGATCTCACATAGCTACAAATGTAATAATTTCCATGCTTAACATTATCAACAAAGATGGAGTACATATTTGCAAGGAGGTGGAGGAGAAATTACAGGGCGAGGGTGATTCATCACAGGGCATCATATTTAACCTTAACAGAGCAGGAATGCAGGTGGGCCACATGGATAACGCCTCCAACACCGTGTTCAATGCAACTGCCTTTTAACAATGTACTATTTTCCTTGACACAGGAACAAACTCTTATTTCTCGTGCAGCTCAACCTGGACATGTCTCCGTGTCCTCTCCCTGTCCTGCTGCAGCAGCTGAACAGATGATTTGTCTCAGTGATCAGATGAGTTATTTGTTTTAAGCCTACATACGAATATCATAATATTCAGTTTTGTGATGTTGGCATATGAAATAGCCAGGCCATGGAGTGCGATGCGTCCTTTACGCACAGGTGGTTCAGATTTTAATGCCATTATTACCTCCGCCAAGGAGGTTATGTTTGTGGTAGCATTGGTTTGTTTGTTAGTTTGTTTGTTTGTCTGTTAGCAACTTTACGGAGAAAACTAGAAAAGCACTCAGAGAGCGCAGACCTTTGCCAAGCAGCTCATGTCCCCCTTATATTGTGATTCACACCAAAACTTTTACTGTTACGTGTCTTTTATTAACTTTTATTTGTGTTTAAACTGGTATTTTCACTGTTCATAATGTTCCTAAAACAACAAAGCTCATATTAGATAAATAAATGCATGATTTATTATGCAATATTTGTGAGCGTACAATTCCTTGTATCTTCATTGGTTATCTTTCAGCATTGAAAATTCCAACGACACCCTTATTTTTGTGTGTTCTGAATCACAGTATCCAGAATTTTGTCTGGATCAGGATCAACCTTTGACACCTCATAAAACTCATTGAGATCCTTTAGTGTAATTTTTTACTAAAGGCTCTGGCCATTTTTATAGAGTTAAATGCAAAAATTCCAAAATTTGCCCTATCTCACAATGATAAAGAATCCTTCAAAGAATTCCTGGATCCAGAAGGCGATCCAGATCACCACCAAAATGTAATGGGATCCTCCTGGGCCAGAGACGCACCTCTGGTGAAAATTTCAGGTCAATCCGTCTGTAACTTTCTCCGTAAAGTTGCTAACAGACAAACAAACAAACAAACAAAAGCCACCGAAAACATAACCTCCTTGGCGGAGGTAATAAGGGTGTCGTTGGAATTTTCAATGCTGAAAGATAACCAATGAAGATAAAAACATGCAACTACCACCATATTGTAGCCAAGACTCTACTAAATCGGAAATATGCAAACGGATTAGACGTATGTTCAATAGGTACATCGCTAGATCCAGAAGAAAACCGCCATCATGGAAACATCTATTTTTGCGAATAACTAATGTGGTAATAGTGACAGAAGCCTAATTCCAAATGCTATGACTATGTTTTCATGGTCAAAGAATACAATAATTTTGAAAAAATGAATGTAGAAGTATTAGTTTCAGATGAAAGTCAGGAATACACAATATCAGTAGTACACAAAGTGTGGGCACTACAAATAGCAAAATATTGTAGTTAATTTCAGTGGTGCAAGCAACATAATAAAACACTGAAATCATTGCAGCATTATAATAATAAAGATCAGTGCACAGCTGACTACATGCTGATTTCGCAACATGACTTAATGCAAGAAGGAAAATGTAGCAACCTTTGTCATAACTACACAGCACACTGTGAGTCCACTGTCTTCAATAGACTACCTAATGCTGACGTCAGCACTGCACTAACAACAATAATGGTGGTTTTACCTCACTTCTGCTCTTAAACTAGAACAGTGAGTTATTCACTGCACTGCACTTGAAACAAGGAAAAAATTTACTGATTATATAAATGGTGTCACAATGAATTGGGAATTTAAAAAAAAATGTAAAACACTGTCCTCAATAAACTACCTAATGCTGACGCCAGCATTGTAAGAAGAAGACAACAAGAAGATGGTTTTACCACACTACTGCCATGAAACTACAACAGGGGGGATTTCCACTGCACACTACTGCAATGAAACTAGAACAGTGGTTTTTCTCTGCACTTGAAATAAGGAAAATAAATACACGGATACTATAAATGATGTCACAATGCATTGGGAATTTTGAAATCTATTTTTATTATTCTTATTACAACAGTATTGATGTCAGATACTATAAATGATATTACAATGTATTGGGAATTTTGAAATCTATTTTTAGTTTTCTTATTATAATAGTAATGATGTCAGCATCCTGCAATGATATATATGATATGAAGTGGCAGAACTGGATGCTTTCTCATTCACAACTTTATGATTGCAAGAAGAACGCAACACGGTGGACAACAACACAACAGACAACAACACAGTGGGCAACTTTTGACAGAATTTTGCATCATTTATACACCAAGATGCCTCGTTCCAAGTCTAGATCTGCACAGCAAAGAAGAAGAAAGAGTGCAGAGCGCATGAAACAGATGCGTGCTGAAGATAGAGACAACAAGAAAAAACAACGGTCAGAAGAGACCCCAGAAGCTGAAGAGACACGCCGTGCTTCTGTAAGGGCAAGTATGCAGAAAAACAGAGCTGAGGAGACCCAAGAAGCTGCAGAGTCACACCTTGCTTCTGTTAGGGCAAGTATGCAGAAAAACAGAGCTGAGGAGACCCCATAAGTCGCAGAGTCATGCCGTGCTTCTGTCAGGGCAAGTATGCAGAAAAACTGAGCTGAGGAGACCCCAGAAGCTGCCGAGTCATGCCGTGCAAGTGTTAGAGTTGGAATGCAGAGACACAGGGAAGTAGTGACCCCAGAAGCTGCTGCAAAATGCAGAACAGTAGAAGGTGAGAGAATGGAAATTCGCAGGGAAAGAGAAAAGAGAAGAGAAGTTACAGTTTATGAGAGTTCTGCTACTTTCTTATCCAAGGTTAAAGAAGGCCCAATTCACGCCTGTTGTTCCTGTCACCATCTTTATTATCGATCTGCAGTGCAAGAGATAAAGATTGACAAATACCCAGGTAACGAAACCATAGAGAACTTACTCAAGTCCAGTGATGATGTGCAGATCAATGGTAAATCTTGGGTGTGCAAGACTTGTCATAGTGCACTGAAGCTTGGACGAGTTCCTACACAGTCATGGGGCAATGACCTTCAACACCGGAGCTTGCAGAACTGAGACCTCTAGAGCTCAGGCTGATAAGTCAGAGAATACCGTTTATGAAGCTTGTTGGAATGCCAAGAGGAGGACAGAAAGCTATCCATGGAACTGCAGTGAATGTACCATCAAAACTACAGCCAGTTTTTATCCTGTTGCCCAGGCTTCCAAGTACAGCTGATGTAGTGCACTTGAAGCTCAAAAGAAAACTCAGCGACACGGGGCACTACATGCATGAATACATTCAGCCCAAGAAGGTGATAGAGGCACTCCAATGGCTACAGCAAAACAACCCACTCTACAAGGACATCACCATCTTCCTTGATTGGGAGCGTCAGTGGGAAGATGATGACCCTGACCTGTGGGAGGCCATAGCAAACGCATGTCATGAGGAAATGGAAGTCAGCCATGAAGATGAAGCAGATACAGTAGCTGACAACAGTTTATCTGTATCCTCCGCCCCACTGTCACCTCTACCCACTGGGGATGATTATACAATTTTGAGCCATCTGGCGAAGAGACGAAAATTGCAGCTGAAAGATGTACCTGGTGATGGAAACTGTTTTTTCCATGCTGTATCCATCTTCCTACCGGCAGCAGGAGTGCAAGCAATGACTGGTCCAGAGATAAGAGCAAGGATGACAGACAGTTTGCCCAGCTGCTGATGCGAGTTAGGACAGCTAGCTGCACTCCAGCGGACATTGCTTTGTTGAAATCAAGGGTTGTTGTAAAGACAGACGCCAACTACCCAAATCAAGCATTGCATGTCTTCAAAACCAATAAAGAAGTTGATGACCGCAACAACGAACATCTAAGAAAACTGCCAACACAAGTGTTTGACATCAAAGCCATTGATCAGAAAAAAGATGTCCAGACAGGAATCATAGATATCAACATTTCTGCTAAACCGTCTGACACAGGAGGATTGAGAGAGACAGTCTCAGTTGCTGTTGGTGCCAGAGTGATGGTCACAGTCAACATCAATGTGTCTGATGGGTTAGCCAATGGTGTGTGTGGCACTGTTGTTGGAATTGAGCACACAGGAAATGATGTCCATGTGTTATTGGTAGAGTTTGACAGTGAAAGAGTTGTTAGAAAAGCCACTGCTGGAAGCCAGTATCGACGTACGTTTCCTGCAGCAGTGCCCATCAGTAGGCAGGATGTACAGTTTTTTGTTGGACGAGGAAGACGGTCAGTAGAAGCAAAGAGGAAACCGTTTCCCCTGTCATTGGCTTGGAGCTGTACCATCCATAAGGTCCAGGGAAAGACGCTGGACAAAGTGATTGTGTCCATGGAAGGCAGGGGGAGTTTTATGCCAGGCCAGGCCTATGTCGCCCTGAGTCGTGTAAAGAACTTGGCTGGTCTATTTCTTCTTGGATTTGATGCAGCTGCTATTCGTGTCAATCCTGCTGTGGTAAAGGAAATGACCCGTCTCAGACAGAGAGTGCTGCCCTCTACTGTCAACTCTATTGATGAACCTCATTCTCTCAACATTCGTCTGCTTAATGTTCGGTCTTACCTGGAACACTTAGAAGATCTCAGGGCTGACAACTCTGTAAAAAATGTTGATGTCTTCTGCTATGATGAATATTTCCTGAAACAACAGCAAGATATTGACTTAGTTATCCCAAATGCACAAAGTTTCAGAGCAGACAGAAGTACTGCAGTTGGGCAAGGGGGTGGAGTAATGACAGTTGCCAGACAGGAGGTTTTGCCAACGGATCTGCAGTTGGCTATCACTGGAGTAGAATATACAGTAGTGTCGGTAAAAAAAGGTGGCACACAGATCAACATAGTGACTCTATACAGGCCACCTTCTACACCCCCTGCTGTCTTCATCCAGGCATTACAAGCCCTCATAAGATCACTTCCAGATGATACAATCATCCTGGGAGATTTCACCTTTGACCTGCTACAATCATCTCATCACAACATCATTTCATTCATGGAGAAGCATGGTTTCAATCAAGAAGTACAGGTTCCAACTACCGACTATGGAACGCTTCTCGACCATGTGTATATCAGAAATTATTTGGGAACAGAGGTCAAAGTTTTGTACACTTACTTTTCTGACCATGATACAGTGTGTGTTTCCTTAAAGATTTAATTTTAACATTTCCTTCACACAGTAAAGCTTTTCTTTTTGTTTCATTCCATATAATGCAAATCTTATACAGTAATTGTCTTGTGTAACATGTATGCAATTCCTTGTTATTAATGTGTCCTGTTGTTGTTGTAAGTGTACGCTTACAAATATCGCATAATAAATCATGCATATATGTATCTAATATGAGCTTTGTTGTTTTAGGAACATTATGGACAGTGAACATACCAGTTTAAACACAAATAAAAGTTAATAAAAGACACGTAACAGTAAAAGTTTTGGTGTGAATCACAATATAAGGGGGGACATGAGCTGCTTGGCGGAGGTCTGCGCTCTCAGAGTGCTTTTCTAGTTAGGTTTGTTGTTGAGATCTGTGCACACAACCCACCTTTGTCACATGAGGTTTAAATATATGCAACTTTATGTGAGTGTCTTTATTTGTGAAAAAGGGTGTTTGTCTTACCAGTGGGTCCAACCTTACACACACCATATCCATCTGTGCTTATATGAGACAGTGTGCAGGACGCAGAACACACACAACTATTAAACAACAACATATGACAATAGAAAATAAAACAAAATAAAAAGAAGACAAGACATAAATTTTGCAGGGGTATACACGTCTCACCTTTCACAGGTCACCTTTTTTTTTCAATTTATACAATAACCATTTTCCCATCTTTTTTGAAACAAATCCTCTCTTATTTTTAGTTTGAACGTTAAATACTCCATGTCCTGAATATTGTCCACGATAGTCCTCCACTGTTCATAGTCCGGGATATCTGTTTTAAGCCAGTTTCTGGTGATTGCTTTTTTCCCAGCAACCAGAAATATTTTGAACAAATATTGGGCTCCTGAGTGTATGACTCCTTCCATATGACCCAAATATAGAACAAGACACGAGCAGGGGAACTCATATCCTAGAACTTCACATATAACTGAATGGAGAACCTCCCAGAAAGGCTGAATCTTATCACAACTCCAAAAGATATGTGTATGGTTGGGAACGATTTGGTCACACTGTCTCCAGCATGTTTGTCGTGTCTTAATTTGTTTACTTTTAATTTGGGGTGTGATAAAATATCTTATTTGATTCTTCCATGCAAATTCCCTCCATCCTTTTGACTGCATTGTTGTTTGATGTACATCCCACATATCAAACCACATCTCATCTGAGATTTCCACATCCAGCTCTCTTTCCCATTTGCTTTTAACATACATCGTTGAGTCTTTTTTCGAGTCCATCAAACACACATACAGTTTTTAGATACTGCCCGGGTATAACCTCACCATGTGCCCGAGTGAAGAGTTTTATTACTGGATGTATTTCATTTTCTATTATTTAATTTCTTTGTCATAGTAATCTCTCACCTGTAAATATCTAAATAAATCTTGATTAGCCAATTCGTACTCATCTTTCATTTCCTGAAAACTCTTCATTTCACTCTTATGGATCAACAGGTACATGGCAGTCACACCCACTCGAGTCCATTGTCTAAATCTAAGATCCAGCCTTCCTGGTTTAAATGCCGCGTCATATGTAATCCACTTCAATAAACCAAGTTCCTTTCCTAACTTTAGCTTTTTTACAACCAAATGCCCTATACTTAGAGTATAAGATGTTATCACGTCTAAATCCACTCCACTTCCTATATTTGTTGGAATTTTTCTTTCTCCTATAATTGTTTGGATTGGGAATGTGAAGCCTGGTGCTTCAATGTCTTTCCACTGAGCCGAATAATTACTACTGCACCAATTCAGGAGTGGACGCACTTGTGCTGCTTGAAAATATTCTCTTAAATTTGGAAGCGCCATTCTCCCCTTCTTTTTGGTCAGCTGTAAAGTACTGTATCTTATTCTCGGTCATTTTCCTTCCCATATAAATCTCGATAACAGTTTATCCCATTTAGAAAACTGTCCTAAGAGTACAGGCACCAGAAAGGAAAGGAACAGGTATAAGGCGTGGTAATATCTTCATTTTTACAGTATGCATTCTATCACTAAACCCCATCGGATAAATAGACCACCTTTCAATTTCTCCATGATTACTTTTATACAATTTTTGGTGATGTTAATACCTAAGTATTTAATTGATTTTGCCTCCCAATTTAATCCTCTCTCCTTGAGCCTTTGGCTTGGTTTACAGTTAAGCATTATAATTTGAGTTTTAGTTTTATTTCATTTGTATCCAGAGTATAAACCAAACTGATCTAAAGTCTGCATAAGCAGTTCAAATGTGTCTGATGGATTTTTTAGATAGATCAATACATCATCAGCAAATACACTTATTACCTGTTGACTATTATTAATTTCTATTCCTGTTATTGCTTCATTTTGTCTTATCATCTGAGCCAGAGGCTCTATAAAAATCGCAAACAATGTTGGACTCAGATTGCAACCCTGTCTTGTCCCCTGCTCTAGCTCCAACCTATCCGTCAGAGAACCATTTACTTTCATTCTGGCTGTAGGATTAGTATATAGTGATTTAATACAACGAATTGCCTTCTCCTCAAACCCCAACCTTTCCAGTGTGAGAAACAAGAAGTCCCAGGAGACCCGATCAAACGCAGAAGCTGTATCAAATGAGACTGACGCTGCTGGCGACTTATTCCTATCTATTCTATGCATGACATGTAATGTTCTTCTAATGTTGTCCTGCGTCATCCTACCAGTGACAAAACCACATTGATCTTCGTCCACCAGATCGACCATGAACGACTGAAGTTTTTGTTTTTGATTTCTCTATCGCTTCACTAATTTCCTCCATAGTTATACTCTTCACCATTTCCTTGTTTTGCTCACTGCCAATAGTGGGTAAGTCCAGGCTGTCAAGAAACATTCTATTGCCCTCCACATCAGAGGCGGATGTTCAAGCATACAATTTTTTATAGTAGTTACCAAATATATTCTCAATTTTGCCATTTTTGTATTTTTACTTGGTTTGTTTTGGGATCCACAAGTTTATGTACTGCCATGTCTGCTTGTTGCTTACGCAGGCTCCTAGCTAGTAACCTTGCAGCTTTAGGACCTGATTCATAGTAATTATGTTTCAAATATCTTGCCTTAATTTCCACCTCGTGTTGTAGAAGTTTATCAATTTTCTTCCTTGTCTCACTGATCAATTCTTGAGTCTGGTGGTTAGCCTTCAATTTATGTTTTTGTTCCATTATTTTCAGTTCACTCAGCAACTGCTTATATTTTGCTAATTTTTCCTTTTTTAGTCTGCTCGAGATTGCGATCAATTTACCTCCAACAACTGCCTTTAGGGCATCCCATAAGATTGTCAGGTTGGTTTCTCCATTATCATTTTCCATTAAATAATTCCCAATATCTGTTCTGATCTGTTCTACCACCTCAATATTATTCAGCAGTCCAATCTCCATATTGTATTTCTGTTTATCAGAAAGACAAACTCTCATATAGACAGCACTATGATCAGATACATCAGCCACTCCAATTTGGCAGTCCCTTATTAATTCAATATTTTCCTTTTGCGTATAGAAGTAGTCTATTCTACTGTACACTGAGTGTGAATGTGAATAATGAGTATAATCCTTCTGAAGAGGATGCAAATCTCTCCAAACATCAACATAGCCCATTTCTTCCAATGTATTCTTACTAGCTTCGAAATAAATTTCTTACTTCTATTTTTACTGGTGGTATCCAGATCATAATTAATAACTACATCTGCTTCTAATGCTATAGTATCATGCAACATTTTAAAGAATTTTTTATCACTCTCTGGTAGCGCGTATATATTCACTAATGTTACTTTTGTTTCATCTATAGTTCCCTTTACTCTTACAAATCTCCCCTCATTATCCCCTTATTCTTTATGGTGCTCAAGCCTTATCTGATTGGAAAGACAATAACTATGTACAAGCTCAATGAAAATAAAAATAAAGACTTCCAAAGAGAGACGCCAACCCGGCCCCCATCTAGTATTAAAGTCTAGCATGAAAGGTGTCTTCATACCAGAGTAGTTGCATAGCATCCCCTTATCCAACCATTCTTGTCATTTAAAGTCCCCAGTAGCAAAACGTCTGAACTTACGCCCCAATTATTAACACACTAAATTTAGATCTATAGTTTTACAGTAGAGTTCCAAATTGTTCATGTTCACAAATTCCACGTCTTCAACAAGATATACATTGAGAAAATAACATACATGCGCGCACAAACACACACACACACACACACACACACAGCCAGCACACGCGGATCACATCCTCGTCCAGCAGTCCCCAGTTAGAGTCACTCCAGTGGATTACGCATCTGTTAAGCACTCCTGCTTGCCTCCGAGGTCCGGCTCTTTTTCCTATCCACTCGTCTCCAGGTAGAAAGTTTAGCTGCACGAAGACTCCCCAGAAGGGCAGCGCTTACTCCGCTGCACGTTGCAGACGAATCACCTCCTCTGGTGTCGTCCTCCTCTTCCTTGGCCGGCTCCTCGTCTCCAAGCTCCAGACCTCTTTTACGCATATCCTTGGCTGCTTCCATGGCGCTTTGGTACACCACCTTACCGGTGTCCCAGTGAATGCATATCTTGGTGAAAGGTGTGTTGAATTTGATCTTTTCTGTGTTCAAGATGCTTTATATTTTGTCATACGATCTTCTTTGTTTCAGCACTCTGTCCGAGTAGTCATGATCAAAGTACACTCTGTTTTCGCCGTATTTCACCGGTGGTTTCATTCCCCAGGCTTTGGCCAAAACCATCTCCTTCACATCAAACTGCTGGAAATTGATGATCACTGATCTTGGTGGTTCACCCGGCTTCCTCTCCAGCCCCAACGCTCTATGTGCCCGCTGGATACATAGGTCTGTGTCAATGGCCAGTTCTTTACGCAGCCAGTTATTCATAAACTGAACCATCATTTCACCTTCTGCCGGCATTGCGTCCTCAGGCAGTTGGAACACTCGAACGTTATTTCTCTTTGATCTTTGAATAACATCGTCCAACTTATCCATCATCCTTTGTCTTTCATCCAGCAGCTCCAGCAGTGTTTTATTCACCTCCACACTCCACTGTTCCACCTCTTCCGTGCGCGTTAGTGCGCTCGCCAGTTTGGTGTTAGTTAGTTAGTTAGTAGCCTTTATTTAACCAGGAAATAAACCCATTGAGATTCAGAATCTGTTCTTCCACCTCTGTTGTAACCTTGTCAAATTTCGGATTAATCTCCACACTAAACGCCGCCCTTTTATTATCCAGTTGTGCCGTAATTTCTTCTTTCAAAGCTCTCATGTCACTTTTCATTTCTTTACATGGGTCACCGATTTGTTTACTGATGCCATCCAAGCTAGCCTGTAGGTGTTGAGCTCGTTAGCCTCAGGCAGGCGTTAGCGTTAGCATGTCCACCTCTTCGTCGATTTTTTGAAGCGTATTTTTGTTCTGCTTACTTTGGCATCAAGTATTTCTTCTTGCGCTGCCTTCCCTTAACATTTATGATTTTCTTTTGAATTTCTCAAGCTTTTAGCGCAGTTTAGATAAGTTGGCTACGGGAGCTCACAACTCAAACGACCGTCCTGTTCACCGCCATTACAGGAAGTCACCCCCCCAGGGGTCAATTTTAGGTCCAACTCTTTTTAATCTTTACATGCTTCCCCTGGGGGACATTATCAGGAGGCATCAACTTCCTATGCTGATGATACTGATGCAACTGTACATGGCCGTGTCTCCTGATGATAGCGGGACAATTGATGCCCTTTTAAATTGCATTTTAGGCATCAAATCCTGGATGGCAGCCAACTTCCTGCTGCTCAACCAGGACAAAACTGAGGTTTTAGTCATTGGTCCTGAAGGCCTGAGAGAGACACTTTTACAAAAACTACAAGATTTTAAAGTATCAACGCCTGTAAAAAACCTGGCAAAGGTAGGTTTTTACCACCTAAAAATATAGCCAGAGTCCGCCCGTTTCTCTCTCAGGCCAGCACAGATGTGCTGATGCATGCTTTTATCTCCTCTCATTTAGATTATTGTAACACCCTGCTCTCTGGCCTCCCAAAGAAGTACTTACATACACTTCAGCTATTACAGAATTCAGCTGCAGGAGTGCTGACGAGGGTCAGAGGGCGGGAGCATATAACGCCAGTTTTAGCATCGCTGCATAGGCTCCCTGTTCATTTCAGAATTGATTTTAAGGTTATTTAATTTAGATGTATATGTTTTTAGATGTATAAATGGTCTTGGCCCCTCCTATCTATCTGATTTACTTTTACCGTATTAACCCTCGCGGACCCTGAGGTCCTCCGGCACAGGCCTTTTAACCTTACCCAAAGTCAAAACAAAAACACATGGGGAGGCGGCGTTCAGTTTTTATGGTCCCCGGTTGTGGAACAGCCTGTCGGAGAACTTCAGGGCCGCAGAGATTGTTGTTATTTTTAAGAAGAGGCTCAAGACTCACTTTTTTAAACAGGCTTTTTACTAATTGCCATTTTAGATTTCCCTTATTGCAAATGTTCATTTTACTTCTTTTACCCTTTTTATTTATTTGTTCATTTAATATTATTATTGTCTTATTTTAGTCCATCAGGTTTTACGCTTTTCACCGTTTTTATCTCTATTTTTATCTCCAGTGTTTCCTAAAGGTAGCTCTTTCCTCATGTAATGTCTCGGTGTCAGGCCATGTCTCATATTGTAAATTCTCACACTGTGTGCGGTTGTGTGTGTGTGTATGTATGGGTGAGTGAGGCTGGGTGTGTGTCTTTGTGTGTGTGTGGGTCTTTATTGTGTTTTTTAGCCTCTGTGAGGCACTTTGAATTGCATTTCCTTTTGTATGAAAAGTGCTGTATAAATAAAGTTGAATTGAATTGAATAAGGCTTTAAACTCAGGCTGAAACTACTGTGAGAGGACGTCTACAATAAACATGCTCATAAATCTACACTTATCACTTTATACATCTATTTTTGTTCTGTCTTTGTGCAGATTATTAATCCTGGTTTACCTCTTTGCTCATATTTTGATCATCTTCTACATTCGTTCTTGGAAATGTGTGTAAGGAGAGTGTGGGCCTCTTATGAGACACAGATTTTTTACTTTATTGAGAATTTTAAAAAGCAGTTGTACTCAGCATGATGTCATCAAAAACAACCAAAGATCAGGTAACAAACAAAAGTCAGGCATTATCTCAAAGACATTCAATGATTTTTAAATGTTGATACTAAACAAATGATTAAAGCTGAGAAAATACAGAGCTGGGATAGAGCTGAGACCCTAAAACTCTGAGGGCAAAGTCAGGGCAGTTTCATATCAAGTCATGATTGAAGTGTAATACTGATAATCAAAGAGATCTATGAGATGAACTGATGAGCTGATGAGCTGATGAAGAGAAACAGTGAGTAGAAAATAGTCCACCAGCATGTGTGCAGTTTGTGGACGGTCACTTGTCTCTGAAGATGGTCATCAGAAAGAGTCCACAGCAGTACACCAGACTCTTCACTATCAGCAGTGAGTACAGCAGAGAGAGCAGCTTCACCTGGTGCTGAGACAGGACAGAAAGGGATGCTGGGAGAGGAGGTGACGGTGATGATGAAGGTGATGGTGACGGTGACGGTGGTGGTGTTGGTGCTGTTGAGGGTGACAGTGTTGGTGCTGGAGTCACAGGACCTTCAAAAACAGAGTAAAGGAGTTAAAACAGTGTCAGTCCTCTGGTCCCCTGGCGTCTCTTTAAGTCTCACCATAAGAAGCGCGCTCATCAAGCCTTCATTACCTGTTGGTGCTGGGACCTCCCTGGTTCCTCCCTGGTGCTGCACGTTGCAGAGGTATTGATCAGAGCTGATCTCTTGCTGATTGATGTGTAAGACAGAGGCTGAACATCCAGTCTCTTGGAGCTTCTGCTGCCGACTGTCAGCAGAGGGCAGCACCTCCACACCATCACGCTCCTTTTGTCTTTTCCAGGAAAATTTCACCAGAGGAGGAAACATGCCTGAGGCCACACACAGCAGCTGGCCTCTGGATGCAGCCGGGTACACTCTCACCACAGGCTCCACTACCTGCTCACCTGAAGAGAAATAAGCAGCACACACACATTCACACAGTCAGCAGCTTCCAGTTCTGCATTCAGTCTAATCCTGAACAACAAACCAGCTCTGAGCTCCTAAACACTCAGCAACACGAACTTAAGTTCAATATACTGAAACTAGATCTCTTACCAAAGACATTAGATCAGATATTAAGTTTATGACAACTATAAAAATATTGTTAAGTCTAACATCATATTAGCATTTTGTATAGTTATCTCCAAGCACACAAAGAAATAAATATGCATGAATATTTTTATAAAACTTCAAAGTTTGTGTATGAAAAATTAGGTTTATAAAAAAGTGAATTATGTTGTATTATATCATATACTTTTTAAAGTCATTACATAGTTACATTAATTTACATTCACTGATTCATTTCAAATACGTTAAAAATATCTTTTTAAACAAGGGTATCTCATCCACATTAGTTTGAATTATATTTGTCTGGAAAATAACAACATCATCAGTGTAAATAATGAAAATGTAAAAACCTCAGACTAATTCATACATTTTAACCCTTTAACATAGTTAACTCAAATACCAATAAACACATCAGTTATTTATTCTCCTTTTTATTATTCAGGACTGTTAAGAGTTACAGTTAGAAAAAAATAGGATTCCAGATGCTTTTTAAAGTGTTTCTAAAATCATGAGCCCAGAAAGATTTTGTGATATGTTTAGATTAACTTTCCTCAGTGTAAGCTGACCTTTTTAAATAAAATAAAAAAGTAAGAAAAATTTCATTTTAATTTTTAAAATATCATTTGAAAAATAAAAATACAAAAAATTACTTTGTTAATACCTCAGTGGAAATAATCTGTTTGATATTTTAAATATGTCGTACCTGTATGGTTATCTAATCATTTAAATTTTATAAAGCAGTTTTAATGATACTCATTTTCTATTACTTTAAGTAATAATATCCATAATACTTATAATACTAGTAATACTGATACTAATACTACAACTAGTAATGATAATAATAATTATTTTTATTATTATTATTGGTATTAGTAGTAGTAATATTAATGTTATTATTATTGTTTGTAGCAGTGTAATTGTTATCGTTATTATCATCATTATTAAAACTTTATTATTTACTGACAATATATTAATGTATCAGCACAGACGAACGTACAGTTTCAAACATTTCATAATATCATGAATAGCTTTTTACTGTATATAAGTTAATTTTATATCGAATTAGAGAGTGAAAAAATGACACCAGAGTAACCTATATTCCTGTATTATTTCAACATACTGTAACAGAGAAAAAATTACTACAGTAGTGTTACATGTTTTGTATTAATTTGATACTTAATTGTATTTTGACATAAAATATGAATGAAGCCTCTTGTGCTACAGAGTAATGACTAAGGTTTATATTGTTAGACAGTACAAATGAAAACATCTTTATAATAATAAATCAAAAATGTATTGATTCAATTATTGGTTTGTAAAATGTTCTTTATAGTCCCATGTGTCATATTAAATTTATATCAAATATAGAAGAAGAAATGAAAATATTGTAATTTTCTTTCTGAAAATAATTTCAGAAATGCAGCCAGATGGTTTGTTAGTCTCTCAAGGGAAATGAGATAGTAAAAGATTATCATATAAAATGAAATCATATAAGATGTAGACTTTTGTCTGGTAGAAGTGCTTCTGTTGCCAACATCGACAAGTACTGTAATATAAACTTCCACAACCGTGGTTCATTGAAACGTATTTGAAGACAAATATGCTTCATTTGTCAGAACATATTTGATTGAAAGGACATTACAGCTGATCTGATTATTGTAAAATATTTTTAAATGAAAAAAATAGAGAGGATCAAATACAGAGAGAGAAATGAAACTCTTTTGTGTCTCAGGAGCCGCTCGGCAGCAAATTTCTCTCTGATAATCGAAATAAACTCACAGTTATCTTTGTTAACAGAGAAAAAATGATCAAACCTGCTTTGGACTGGTTCAATAAATCAACTAAAGAAATAAAATGTTATTCTTACCTGAAACAAACAGTGTTGTTCCAGAGCCAAAGATGTAGTAGTAAGTGTTAAGCCACACAGTGAGAAGAGCTCGTACAAAAACCTGTCTGCTGCAGAAGAACCAAACCACAAACCCCAATCATGTTTCAGATCCATGTTCCCTGATGTTTATGATAATAATAATAAAAATAAAAATAGTAATAATACTAATAATAACTAGATAATTCCAGGGAAATTTTGATATAATGCCTGCCCACTTGCCGATTCACTGCTGCTTGCCGCCAATTTACTCACATTAAAGTTCCTTACACACCAGGAATGACGCAAAATTAGGAAATATTTGGAGGCCAATTTTGGCGCGCCTGACTATACACATCAAACCCGATGCAGTTTTGCGACTTTCTGGGGGAAAAAAGACGCGTCCCAGGTGGAAGCGAGAAGACTGACTCAACACCAGACTGACTGTTTTTCAGTTCTGATTAGACACTAGTGTTGAGGCTGTCTGTCATGATAGCATGTACTGAGTCGGGGCCAACACCAGATAAGCACATTAAACTATAATCCATAAACATAAGGTAACAACCGAGACCTAACGGTGCTGTGACAGCAACGCGATTGAGTTGAAGACAGTGAAAATACATATGGTATGTTGTATCTGAACAGGTTAGCTTACGAGCTAAAGTTACTTAGCACAGATGAAAGTTAAAACAAAGACGTTTAGCAAACTGTTAAAGCACACAAACCATCATCATATGAGAGTTGTTGTCTTTGTAATGTGTGTGTCTTTTATCAAAAAGCACTCTTTTCTCCGACACGTAAACAATCAGCCGGTCGGCTATACTGAATATATCAGTGAATCAGACATCGCAACAACACACAATCTGATTGATCAGAAGTGGACACACAGTATGCAAAACTTTAGAAAAATTGTGCTACAAAAAAATGAATGCGGCAATATTGCAGGACGGGAAACTGTACGGGAAACTCAACGCTTGTATTGACAGGATGCGGGTTCAAAAAAAATATTGACATCCGAAATAATCGCACGAAAAAACGCTCCCGGTGTGTAAGGACCTTTAGGCCATGTTTTGCGTGTAAGGCATGAATGCATTAAGGGCCACTTCCTGTTTCGGAATGGTGGGGTCATCCAAGATGGCCACTGGTGGGACATGTCTTCAGAGTGGGGTCACGAAGGGACATGTCAAACATTGTGCTGATATGTCAAGGCGTTGATGATTTTGGGTCTTTGTCATGAATCTGACTTGAAACTCAAGGCAGTCTGGCTGTCTCTGTGTTGTGGTGTCTGGAAGATAGCTGTCAATCAAGACCAGGTGGGCGGGCCCTGTGCTCTCAGTGGGAATTGTCTCCATGTTGACAGTGCACCTTTTCGTGCCCGCCGGTGGTGCGGCGGACATTGGCAGACCCCGCACAGTGGTATTTTCACCTGGCAGAGTCCGGCGCACAGCCAGTTTTATATTTTCGTGAACTGAGGCACACCGAGGGCCACCAAGCTGGGCGTGGTGGCATGGCAGGGGGAGGTGTTGACGGAATCAGCTGGCACAGTGACATTTTTGTGCTCGCTGGCAGCGTGGAAAGTGCGCTGAAAGCTCGCCGATTCAAACCTGGTCAGCTTTCAGCGCAGGCGGAGCGCAGCTGGTCTAGAGGTATTTTAGTAGACCAGCGGCGTAGTCACCAATGCCTCACAGGCAGGTTTAGACAGTATCAGGCACATTTTAGTGGAATAAATAATCAACAACAGCCAATATTCTGAGTCAGCAAATAAATTTGGATCTATAGATATATTCTGATCTATATCTGATCTGATGAGCGCGTTTGGCACGCGTTTGGACACTTAACCGGACCAAATCAACACAGCTGAAATCACATTAAATTAAATATCCAGTAAAGAGTCACACATGATGAAGTTAACAAAATATTGAATGTGTTCCCCTTTCTCTCAGGCCCACATCGGAATATTTTAACATTCAGTTTTGTGAGCCAAATTTATTTTTTATGGCAACATCTATGAAAGAAGGAGCGTGATGCGTCATTTACGCACAGGGGGTTCCGATTTTAATGCCATTATTGGAATTCATGTCGTGGTCTGTGCGCACAACCTACCTTTGTCACGTGAGGTTTGAATATATGCAACTTGGTGTGAGTGTCTTTATTTGTGAAAACAAGTGTTTGTCTTATCGGTGGGTACAATCTTACACACATCAAATCTCTCTGTGCTTATTTGAGAAAGTGTGCAGGACGCTCTCTGCAGCGCTTACAACAACACTTGTTGAGGGGCTGCCTTCTGTCGACATCGTGTGGCATTGCTGTCTTCAGCCATGTCTTGATCTCTTTGACTACTGCACGAAAATTGTAATACGCCTTGCCGGTGGCGGATTTAAAGGTGAGGAGAGGAACTGATATGATTGGCGAAAACAGGTCTTGGCTGTGTTAAAACCACTCCACGCCTTCTACTCTACCTCTCTACGGCTTGCCGCTGGGAGGAGCTGAGTTGGGGAGGGGGGATACTTACGCCAGGCTGCGCTGCTCACCAAAATACCGAAGTGTGCTTGGGCACACCTTGTCGGTGGACCTGACTTACACTGTGCCTGCACACGCCGCTGGCGAGGCACAAAAATAGAGCCCAAGATGTTTTGAGGATCGTTGTAGATGTTGTATAAAACCTCACCTATGTAGCAGTGTTCACTGGACTTTGTGACTGAGAAATGCAGCCTAAGCTCCTCCTACTGATCCAAAATGCATGAAACTGCAGGTTCAATGAGAGCCATTGTGTGGCACACACCTTAGTTATCTGTAAGGGTTTCTCACCACAGTTGATAGTCTCATAGATGGCCTTGTAGGCCTCCCTGTGCTTTGGAGACACTGAAAACTAATTGTAAGTCTCTTGTACCAAGTATTCCACACTATGAAGGATGGTGTCATTTGAAGCATGACTAACAGCAAACTGCAGAGAGTGACACACACAACAAATAAGCACAAGATCTTTGAGGCCATTTTCCTCCTTCAGCACTTTATGGACCCCATTGTTTATCTCCGTCATAACAGAGGCATTATCAATCCGTATCCCCAGGAGTTATTCTTTTTTAAGCCTACACTCCTCGCAAGGCAAGCCACAACAGCATGGGCTATAGATCTGGCATCTCTTTCCTCCAAATCAACAAGCCCCAGAAATGCAGACATAGACACCAGCAGACGCTTGGGGTTTCTGAAGTACTTTATTACAACCTCCAGGTACTGACATCCGTGGATTCATCAAGGAGGAGGCTGAAGCGCTGGTCACCCACATCTGCAACCAACTGTTTCAGAAAGTAAGATTCTAGAACACCATTGATCATTTCTGTGCACTTTGTCCTGTGCATTTTGAAGTGGGTAGCAGCAGCTGAGTCTGAGAAAGTCACTCTAGATGCTTCTCCAATGTGGTCACATCCCAGCAATGAACAGTATGCAGTGATAGCTAATGCCATGGTGGCCTCAGCCTTTTCTGCAGAGTCTATTTTTTTAACCATAAATGGCAGCTTGTTTAGTGTGAAAGTGTTATATGGCTTCGCACAGTGAATGAGGTAAATAAGTGACTGAGGCTGTGTGACTGAAATGTAGTGATTTATTCTACTGCAGTGATTTGTTTTACACTAAGAAAGTTTTACATTTACTTCCCGCCTTGGTTCAACCTACGGGTTCAACCAGTGGCAGTCTGGATGCGAAGGAGTGCACACGTCTCCTCTGACTGCAGCTGGGATGGACTGCTGTGACATGTGAGGACTGGGCCGCCTATGAGTGCTGCGGGACGGGGAGAGGCTGCTCACGCTGCTCGTTGAGAAGAGTAGGTGATACGTGCTTTAATGTCAGAGTCTCCAAAAGTCTCCAATGACACCACAAAAAGTCGCTAGATTTGTCGCTTGTCGCTTTTTTGAAAATTAGTCGCTAGAGGGGTCTGAAAACTCGCTAAATATAAAAGTTGGCAACACTGCCTGACCCAGTCACAGTCCTGTGTTTAAACTGATGATACAGGAGTGCTGCTTTTTAAACTGGATTGCAAAAACATTGGTGAGCAAGGTGCATCTCTTCCCTCTGACATGTAGGAAAGGAGCCACAGGTGAACCTAGTGTATATAGAGTGCACTTGGACAGCCAGCTGCACCCGTCCTACTCAGCTGCTGAATAAGATAATCATGAATAATTATAACTGAAAAAAGTAAAATTTAAATTATGTTTTATGATGATTAAAGATGCAATGATTTCATAGTGGTTGTCAGAGTGTGCAGCTACACAGGACACACAGCTACTGTAGCTACAGCAACTACTACTAGTACTAGTACTACTAAAGGAACCCTACAGTAAACCAGCATATTAAATGGTACCATATCATTACTGCTTGGTATCACATACACCAAACTCCCCCAGGTGATTTCACTGATTACCTTACCTCCAAGCAGAGAGCAGGGACTAATCAGTGAAATCACCTGGTGGAGTTTTGGGTTGGAAAGAAAACCTGCAGCCTCTCGGCCCTCCATGGCACATGGTTGTCCACCCCTGACATACACACACAAACACACACACACACACACAAAGGGCATTTTTTAATACGAGACAAAACGGGTGCTTAAACACCTCTAGGCCCTATGTGTGCAAGTGCCAAGTTAACTTACAAGCATCCAAAAGGTCACCTCTGCAGTATTTTTTTTTTCTTCTGGCAGACTGTAGGTCATCAAGGGGACAATCACACCCTCCCTCACCTCACTCCATGAACACACCACTGCCAGTAAAATAAAAGTTAAATGAGAAATCCTCCTTTTTATTTTACTTGTAACCCACAGTTGTTTCATTTGCACTGTGAAGCTTACACCTTCGCTCTGTGGCGTGAGGTGCCTTATTTTGGGCAAAATTATGGTGGATCAAGAGAAGCAATTGCGAAGCCGAAGCAACAAGAATGAGAGCGAATGCTGTAGCGGCAGTGCTGCGATAATGAAAGAGCTGAAGGCGCTGAACACAAGACTGGACCGCATGCAGATCAACTTGGAAAAACAGGTCAATTCTAGAATTGATAGCATGGAAAGGCAAGTTAACTCCAGAGTGGATAAATTGTGTGGATCGATGGAGAAACTGATGGCTGAGAATAAGGACGCTGTGCTGAAAGAGATTGAAAAAACCACAAAAGACATGCGAGCAAATCTGGACACTGAGTAGGGAATTCTGTGTGCAAGAATGGAAAGGATAGAGAAGAAAATATCCGACACAGAGGCTAGGAAGAAGAGTTTTGATCCAGAGATCTTCGTTATTGTGGTGGGGGATTTAATGTCAAAGTGAGGGATCTATTGCATGATGGCCTTGGATGTGATACTGTGGTCTGCCCCGTTGCTGTGAAGTGGATGAGTACGTGAGGAAACCGACCTGGCCTTGTTAAGGTGGAGTTGAGCTCGTGCAGGAGAAAATTGCTGTGTTGCGCAGATAATCAAAGCTGAAGGATAACAAGCGTTTCAATAAAGTCTATGTGTCATCTGCGAAATCACATGCTGAACGACTGTTGGAACTCAACTTTAGATCTTTGATCCGTGAAACCGCAGTCGGGAAGGACTTCTATCTAACTGGGAATGGACGTTTGATGAAGCGGACGCAGTCATCCTGGAGTGTGGCTAGAGAAGCTGGCCTTGGCGGTGACTGAGAGTGGCACGCCCAGCCCGAGGTGTGTGTCATTTGAACATTTTTTGTTAGCACATTGGAATGTTAATGAATGGACGCTGTCAAACTGTGATCTTAGAATATTACTACTGAAATCCTTATGCCCCGATTTCATTTCTTTGAACGAAACTCATTGATGCAGTGATTCTCATTCACTAGACGATGAATTTACCTGGTTTGGTCATAATCGTATTGCTCACAAAAAAGCTGTTAAATCCTCTGGTGGAGTTGGGTTCCTGGTAAAAATTGCAGTGTTACCAAACTTGAGCTTGCAGACCCTCGAACCGTAGTAGGTGGACCACTCTTGGACAGCTCTCTGTTTAACTCGTTGAGGTAACATAAAAATGATCGGGACCACGTTGGAAGAACTGCACTTTTATTTTCTAGCCCTCCTTGCAGAAGGAAAACATAAAGTATCACACTCGTGGCTGCAGAGTCCATCTCACACACACAAGCTCCCTGCATCGCATCACCCGTGAACACCAAGGACACAGTTTCCCAGAATGCCCTGCTGACATAGCCCTGTAAACTCTAACTCCTCCCACATAATAAAGTCACAGTCACAGGCTGAGCCTGTAACAGCAGTCTTGGATCGATATTCAGTTAGTATTGTTGATAAAACATTTGATGGGATTTTTTGTTTACGATTTGAGCCCCGGGAGACGTAGTATTCTGTTATTTTGATTTCATGTTACCTGTCTCCAGAATCAGCTACATGGGGCCGTAATGCTGATTTTTTTTTAGCCATTTACTGGCGGTGCTATATACTATTACAGACAAGGTGGATTCAGTTTAAATCTGTGGTGATTTGAATTGTCGGATTGGGGAGCTTAAGGACTATGCTGAAGCAGATGATACTTTGCCTCATATGATTTTGGACACAAGTGTAAATAAACATGGTCATACCTTCACTGAAGTCTTAAAGGACTCTAATTGTTGTATACTTAACGGCAGGTTAAATCCTGAAAATAACAATTTCACACCAATTTCTGTAAGGGGCAAAGCTGTTGTAGACTACATTGTGACGCCTCATGCTGATTCGAAAACATGTATTGAATTTAATGTTTACACCCCCTCTGATCTCATTGATAAAGTCGGTCCAGAAAGTTTAAATTTCATTGGTGACCACAGTAGACTCCAAGATCACTCTGTTCTTTGTCTTTGTTTTCAAGTGGGAGAGGTATTTAAAAAACAGAATAATGCTGATCGTTTACAGTATGTAAAAAGGAGAAGCAATAATTATCCTGATAATTTCCTCTCCTCGGAAATATGTCGCAGGGCTGTACTAGAGGTAGTAGACCAACTACAGATAGCACAGGAAAATCAAGAAAAGGTGGATCAGTGTTACACCAATCTCTGTAACTTTTTACACGCTGAAATGGAGAAATACTGTCCTGTACAAAAAATGGGTTCTACAAAGAAATATTACAGAGCCAAACAACCATATTGGAATAACAAATTAAATGAGACGTGGTTAAAGTTACGTTCTGCAGAGAGAACATTCCTTAAATGTAGTAACATGGATCCCGGGAAGAGGAGGGTCCTGCATATTGAATTCAAGCAATGCCAAGTTAATTTTGACAGAAAACTCAGGTTTGTTAAGAGGAAGTTTAAAAGAGGTCAAGCTCTTAAGTTTGAACAGCTACAAACCGGTAACCCACAGCAATTTTGGAGAGAAATACATAAGTTAGGTCCAAAAAAGAAATAATTAATACCCTGGGAGGTTTTATTGGAAAATGGTGAATCTTCTTTCGAGTCGGATCAAATATTGAAAAAATGGGAAAAAGACTACAGTAACTTGTTCACCCATAATAGCTCCTCTTCATTTGATGATGATTTTTTAGAGGAAATCTGTAAAATAAAGCTCAAGTTGGAAAGTGGGATGAATATTATTTATCATCAAAATGATATACTGAACAGTGAAATCACAGTAGATGAGGTACTTAAAGTGCTGAATAAAGCTAAAGAAAATAAAGCCATTGGCATTGAAGAGCTCCCTAACGAGGTCCTTAAAAGTCTTAACTTATCTAATGTACTACATTGCCTGTGTTACATATGTTTTCACAATGGTATTACCCCATTAATGTGGAACAGATCAATTATCAAACCCATCCCAAAATCTAAGAAAGATGACCCAAGAGTCCTTTTAAATTATAGAGGCATTAGTTTGATTAGTATGTCTACAAAATATACTCAGGAGTTCTTAATAACAGACTGAATGTTTTTCTGGAGTCTCATGGAGGGTTGGTAGATGAACAGAATGGCTTCAGGAAAAAAAGGGTTTTGAGGAGGTCTCTGATTTTATTTCTGTTCAGAATCATGCTTTGAGATGTTTTCTTGGTGTCCATAAATATGCAGCAAAGGCAGCAATTGAAGGGGATGTAGGATGGGACCCTTGTATTGTAAAACAACATTGTGAAATGGTGTGAATGGTGCAGAATCGTCTGGTCAGTCTGCCAAAGGAAAGACTAACTCGGAAAATTTTTAACTGGGACAGGGCAAATCATCATCCCTGGTCCAGTGAGATTTCAATGATCCTGTTTGCCTCTGACATGCATGTAATGTTTAGAAATAATCTGCGATGTAATATAAATTCTGTAAAACAAAAAATGTTTGAGAAGCACGAGGACCAATGGAAACAGGATATATGGAAGAAACCAAAGCTCAGAAATTATGTTCAGTTCAAAAAGGATTATATTACAGAACCTTATATTTTCCTTAATTTAAAGAGAAGACAGAGATCTCTCTGTGCTCAGTTGAGAACAGGTACCTTACCTCTGGCAGTAGAAGTGAGACGATTTAAAGGTTTACCTGAAGATGAACGTTTGTGTGAATTCTGTGATTTACAGGTTGTTGAGGATGGATTTCATTTTGTTTTCAATTGTCCCTTGTACGATGACTTAAGGAATGTCTTTTTTGAATCAATTCAGTTTAAAAATCCTGATTTATTTTGGAAGAGTGAAGGTGAGATTTTGGGTTGGTTGTTTGAAAAGGATGTTTTTGTTTTGGCAAAATTTGTTGAAAAGGCTTGGTATGTGCAGCAAAGTATTTTGTATCCTGTAGGATGAACTTTTTTTTCTCACTGTATGTGTCCAGTTCTTGGTGGAGTTTTGTTGTTATTATTGTTGTATATTATGTTGCATGGTTGTCTTGGATAAATTGTGTTATGAATCTGTTGATCAGTGTCTAATAAGCCCATGTGGGCTGGGCACCAATTTTGGTGTATGACACTTAAATAAAATTATCAAATCAAATCAAATAAAAAAATGTAACAAAGGTAAAGCCCATGAGTTGTGTTACTGGTGTTTCTCTGACACAAACTTGATCTCACATCTGATCATCTGCTGCTTTTTGTTCATCTGCTGCTTTTTGTACAGCCTGCTAAGATCATCTCTCACTGTGTGGGCCTTTTATCCAACAGGTGCAGTAGTAAGTTGCTGAATGAGACACTTTGACACTCTGGATCTGCAGCTCACAGCCAGTCTTTGTTTTTACTGCAGTGAAATCTTCTTTCTGAGGATGGTTATAGGTTTGTTTCTCTATGGCACCATTTGTCTTATCGATCCTCAGAACTATTTTGAAACTTTCTGTGCCTTTTTTTTGGTACCAGTACACATATTGATTATAACACTGGTCAATGTTTCCACAGCTGATGGAGACTCTTTCTCTAACTTTCCTGGTCAATGATAAAGTGTCCTGCTGGAGCTCTGCTGCCATGACAACCAGCACTGTAGACAAACAGACAGGTGGAGGTGAGTTTGACAGTGATGCTTGATCAAAAATTAAACTTCAGCTATCTCATCAATAGTAGCTAAGAAGTCTCTAAACTTCATTTCAGAATGACAGGTTGCATTTGAGAAAGGTGGAGTTTGCTGGCTCCTGATTGGCTGGAACACTCACCTGAGCACACACAGCACAGAGCTGCAGCTGGGAAGAGAAGCATTTTGTGCTGCAATGTTTCCTCTGCTGAACCTGAGGAGGAGTGAGATCAATCCAGGATGAGCTGAAAGATCAGAGCAAGACCAGCTGCTTTCTAACAGGTCCTCAGAGCTCCCATCAGCCCCTGCTGCAGACAGATAAGATTGACAGCTTGGTTGCACTGTGTGGTTTCCTGCAGAGTCTGAACTTTGAAAGGAGGAGCAACAGTCACATAGTTTTTGCCTCTTTTTTTAGAATTGAGAGCACCAGCAGCAGGAGACAGAAGCTGCAGGTTCAACATAAAGCAGTTCAAACTCATCAAAGTGTTTTTCTGTTTCTGACACTGCTGTGGTCAAAACTTTAACCCGCCGCTTGTTGTTGAGCTGCCTGAGAATAACCGCCATGAGGTAGATCTGCACGCATCTGATGTGTTTTGGGGGGCTGTTAATTTCAAACCCTGATTGCAGGTGTTTGTGTCTGCAGGTGCAGATGTTGTGTTGTCAAAGCACCCTCTCACCTCTGTGTGACCTCTGTTTGACCTCAGTGTGACCCTTGCTCTTATGTGCAGTGTATCTGAGCCTTCCTGTCCAACAAAAACACAGTTTCATTATCTAAAAATTAACCCTAAAACACCATTTCCATAGGGACAAAAAACTTTAAACACCTGAAGCAAATTATAAGATATCTGGATATTTGTGTATTTTGGGCCAGTTATTTTTAAGGCCTTGTGTTTTTGTCTAATAATGAGATTTAGGATGTTTTTACTGCTGACAGATATCTAAACAGTGTGTAAGGGTTAATACGAGCTGATAACTGCAGCAAACAACATCAACATTCATGTTTTCTATTCAGATGTTCTTTGATAACAGCAGATTTTTAAAAAGTTGATGTAAAGTTAGTGTCCTGAAAAAAGGTTAAAAACAGAGAAACTGTCAGATTTCCCTCCCGTCCTCTGACAGAAATAAAAACAAACAATTTATCACAAACAAATCAAGTAAAATAAAACTCACTACTGTCCTTCACTTAATCTCAAACCTCAAATTGAAAATACTTTTTTTATTATTTCACAACAGCTAATATTAAATTACAACAGTAATGCCAATATTGTTGGGAGGGGTCGTGTTTACATTTAAGATTTCTCCTAAAAACTGGCACTTCTTCAGATCCTGCCTACCCCAACTTTAATATAAATATTTTTATATTAGAGCATTAAAAGAATATTTCAAGACTTTAAATATAATGACAGTAAGAAAATACTGCTTTTTTAATTTAAATAAAGTGAGTGAGATAAAATATTTGGAGGTTTTAGGGTTGATGATTTTTGTTTGTTTGTATGTGTGTGTGTGTGTACTTTTTAGAATAAAAAAATGTTTTATCATTAGTATTGATCGTGAGACAAAATTCTTCAACAGGGAAATGAGATGGAGAAAATGATCACTTCAGTCAGTAAACTGAACTATGACACAACCCAAAGAAACACAAAAAAGATGGTATTTTGATGGTTTTGCTTGGAAAGATCTGACCTTTAATTTTTTTTGCAAAGGAGCTCAAATAGAACCTCTCCTTAAGCAAACTCTGCTTTGCAAAAATAAATGCAATCTCTCAGAGGTCTGTAGAGAAGAGATTTCTGTCCTCATGATCATGCTGGCTAATGAAGACCAATTTTTCAGCAGCTGATCCAGGTTTAAATCCTCCACCAAGAGTCAGGTCAGTGCTGATGGTATCTTTCACAGCAGGTCAAAGGTTCAAAGCGCCACTGGACCAGTTTTGACTGAAAGACTCTCAAATGTTACAGAAACAGAAGAAAACCCTTGGTGTGACTTAGTTTCATCTTCAGCTATTTCACTCAGGTCATCAACAAGTAACTCTGGCAGAGAGATGAAGCGAAGAAAACTGAATCAATGTCTGATATTATGAATTCTGTGTGTTTGTTTTGACAGTAACAAAAAGTTCCTGTGTACCTGTGGTGATTTTAGGTCTGTTCATAAGTTGGATGAGAGCAGAGTGTGGTCACATTAACACCTCTTTATTAGCAGCAGCAGACAGGAAACAGTCCTCCATCTCCATGGTAACAGTGCTCTGTCACTCCCCCTTTCAAAGCCCCGACTATGCAGGAAACCACACAGTGTAACCAAGCTGTCAATCATCAGGAGGGCTCTTATCTGTCTGCAGCAGGGGCTGATGGGAGCTCTGAGGACCTGTTAGAAAGCAGCTGGTCTTGCTCTGATCTCTCAGCTCATCCTGGTTTGATCTCACTCCTCCTCAGGTTCAGCAGAGGAAACGTTGCAGCACAAAATGCTTCTCTTCCCAGCTGCAGCTCTGTGCTGTGTGTGCTCAGGTGAGTGTTTCCAGCCAATCAGGAGCCAGCAAACTCCACCATTCCCAAATGCAGCCTGTCTCTGTGAAATAGAGCTTAGAGACTTAGCTATTCCTGATGACATGGCTGTTTTCAAAGTGAGTCAAAGTTTAATTTTTGAACAAGCATCACTGTCAAACTCACCTCCACCTGTCTGTTTGTCTACAGTGCTGGTTGTCATGGCAGCAGAGCTCCAACAGGACACTTTATCATTGACCAGGAAAGTTGGAGAAAATGTCTCCATCAGCTGTGGAAACACTGACAAGTGTAAAGATCGATATGTGTACTGGTACCAAAAAAATGGCACAGAAAGTTTCAAAATAGTTCTGAGGATCGATAAGACAAATGGTGCCATAAAGAAACAGACCTATGACCATCCTCAGAAAGAAGATTTCACTGCAGTAAATACAAAGACTGGCTGTGAGCTGCAGATCCAGAGTGTCAAAGTGTCTCATTCAGCGACCTACTACTGCATCTGTCGGATAACACAGTGATACATTAACTGAGCAAGCTGAACAAAAAACAGCAGATGGTTAGATGTCAGATCATGTTAGAAAAATTGCAGTAGACTTTCAAACTAACAGTATACTAACACACACAGTACTAACACACACACACACACATAGTGTGTGTGTGTGTGTGTGTGTGTGTGTGTGTGTGTGTGTGTGTGTGAGGCCAAACATGGTGCCTGATTCTTATCCATTTTCAATGTAATTTTTTTTTGTCTGAATATTGGTGTTTATACTTTGAGCTATTTGTGAAAGGAGTTTTTATTACAACATGCACATTTTCAGCAACAAAATAACTAAGAAATAACAAAAGAATACATGTCCTCAGTGATGTCTGTATGAGCTATTTTGCTCACCTCACTTAGATGCTGTTCCTTATATTTTGTCTTATACAGATCAGCTGTAGCAGCAGTTTTTGCCGGCTGCCCCAGGAACTTCTTGTTCTTCTTTTAGCAGTCCTGGCCATTTTTTCCTGCCATAAAAGTTGATGGGAAATCTAAACCAGCACTACCCTCCTGTATCTAGCCTCTAGCCATGTGTCTACAGGAGTTTCCTTACCTTGTTTGGAAGTAAGCAAAGTAAGTTGTGTTACTTTAATTTTCATTTATGAGAAGATGTTATCCAGTCCATGCACGCTGTTGTCCCCAGTGGTTGAATGACTAAAACAAACAAACCAACTACTTCTGAGACACTTTACTCAGCTCTGTGTAAATGATTCTGCACTTGGAGAAGCTGATGGTGATGGTTATGATAATGATGATGAAGATGAGGATGATGACAGTGTCATTGTGTCTCAATCTGGTCAGTGATTTACTTTGGTTGATGGGTAGACAGTTATACATTAGTTTGAAAAAAACAACAACATCCCCGTACACACTGCATAAAAGCACTGTGCCCAACTGCACTTTTTGACTATTACTTTTGTTGTTTCCATCTATCGAGATCTTACTTGTGTTGTAATTATTCTCAAATGTTGATCGCTTTGGGAACAGGAGTCTGCTATATGGCACTGTAATATTGTATTGTTGTAAAAGAAAGCATGTGAATCATAAAAGTTACATAATTCGATACATCCTCAGGGGACCAAGAATGTCTGAACAGCCTTACAGACCAGACCATTTATCCATCCTTTGGTTCAAGTCCAAACACGTAGAGGTCTGGAAGTCCAATAATTACCAGCAGATATGTTAATGATCATGATGGTGATTACTATTGCGATGATGATGATGATGATGATGATGATGATGATGATGATGATGATGATGATGACTTTTTTTTTTATGTGAAGAACTTTTTATTGAGGCACAGCAAATACAGCAACATCAGTACAATATTTTAAACATAATACCCCTCACCAGCATCCCTCCCTCCCCTCCCAGGTCTCCCCTGGACCAGTCAAACATCAAGTGTCAACAGTACATTGTAGTGAGTGGTGTCCCTCTGTTCAGAACCCAAGAAGTTTAGCCTTTATCTGCGCAGCTGCATCTAACCACATCTTAAAAGTGGAGGCTTTAGCATTAATTATCTGTGCAGTAGACAACTTAAGTAACTCTATATTGTGAAAATAAATAAACCATTTCCTAGTACTAAGATCATGAGGTGGTAGCCATCTTTGCACTACGAGTTTTTTGGCAGCTGTGAGGCCACTCAGCAATAGTTACGCTGTTTCTTACTTATATGTATTTGAGAGTCAACATTAAGGAGAGGTAAAATTGGATTGCATGTTATAGCAGTACCTAGTAACTCAGACAAGACTTTGGACACCCGGCTCCATGATGACATTCCAACATCATGTGTTTATAACATCCTATTGCGTTAAGTTGGCATGTTACAGTTTGGACTTGATATCAGTTTCACGCAAATCTGGTGACAGGTGTATAATAGAGTCTGTGACACACTTTAAAGTGAATGAACACATTGTTCCAAGAGATGTCATCATCCTTCTGACCGAAGTCTCTCAGCCATGCTCTGATCACTGGTCGAGGCTCTTGTTGTCTGGATAGCTTGGAGTAGACTTTCAATACAAAGCCCCTGCAGGGAAGGGAGTTTATTCAATTTATCAGAGGATGCATTGGAAGCTCAGCCCTCAGTGGCACACCATGTACTCTAAGTGCCGATCTTATTTGCAAATAATACAAAAAGAAGAGTCCTGTAGATCAAAGCGGTTCTTCAAATCCTGGTAGATAAGCATGCCATTGCCATCATACAGGTCCCCAACAACATTAATACCTTTCAAAGACCATGGTTTAAAGTCCAGTGGCTTATTTCCAATCTGCATATTCATGTTGTGCCACAGAGGGGTATAATTGTGCCACTTTAAGTTCCCCTTTTAAGTCTCTCTCAACAATCCTGAAATACATACCTGGTATACTTTGAAATTTGGGAGGGCGAGCCCCCCCTGATCTTTGGGTCTCTGTAGCACAGAAATCTTCAGTTTTGGCCAGTATTCCAATTTTATTAAACAATTTATCAATTTTAACCCAGTAGTCTGGGTGGGAGAGGGAGAGAGTGGAATCATCATACTCAAGAAAGTAACACCAGGTAAGACATTCATTTCAGTTACAGATATATGCATCTGCAATGAGGTAGGTAGCCTGGTCCAGTTAGCAAGATCATGTTCAACTTCCTCAAGAATTCCTTTATAGTTGCTCTTCGCTATTTTCTGGAGGGAGGGGTGTATCTCAAGTATGTGATTTGAGTTACTTTGGGAATCTGGCTTGATATTTTGGCTTTCTGAGCAGTTTCATTTACCAACATCAGAGCTGATTTTGTCCAGTTGTTTTCAAATCCTGACTGCCGTTTGAAATCCTCAAAAGCCACTAATAAAGAGTAAAGAGAGTTTTCTATGTCTGTCGTATAAAAGGACGTTGTCCGCAAAGGCTGACAGATGTCAGTCTGATTTGGATTGGGGACATGGCCCATCATTCAGCTCTTGTCTAACGACCAGCCTCTGTAGCAGATAGAAACAAAATTCAAAAAATATTTGAGAGCTTACACATGTGGCTTTCAAGATAACTATCTTTTATTTTTCTGAAACTTCATCACACTTTTGAAAACCTTGAACAAACAAACTCAAATGAAATAAAGTGGCTGTATAAAAAAAAGTAAAGACTCTGCACAAGAGTCATAATAAAGTGTCCGTTCAATACAAATGTAAAAATAAAAAATAAAGTGTTGAAAGGGTATACAGCTGCCCTAGTACAGTGCCAGTAAAAGACAAGCACTTAAAACAAACAAAAAAAAAAAATAAGTGGCTGACAGTGTGTTCATGTCTGCGCTCACCCAAAGTCATGCAACACTCACAGAAAACGCTGATAGTGTGAGGCAAAGCACTCAATTTGAAGAGGTTGTTCACACTGCTGGATGCTTCTCTTCTGAAGCTGATCTCTGCCTCCGTCATTGTTTACTTTCCTCACGAAACAAGAACCAAGCATAAATCTGACCGCTTTATTCACCTATCAGAGGCAGATGGGTATGATGATTTGATTTGCCATGACTCCAGAAATGATTGAAAAACTACAGAATGTCACAAAATTATGTACCCGCGCTCCCTGTGTAGAAATGCTCAGCAGCGCCGCCAGCTTGGAAGGTTGAAATGCGTACATGCTGTCCCGGTTTAGATGGGTTAAAAGTTATTGATTTCTAACATTGTGGCATGAACATTGTCTGTTTGCTTTCTTTTTAGTCTGGCTTTTATGTAGTGTCTCACATTTGCTGTTCCAGCCATGACTTGCGCTCGAACCAACTCCTGCAAAAACTCTGATTGTAGGATTTATTTTTCTCCTCAGTCTGCTGGCTATTGATAAGGTCGGGCTTGTTCGGTCCAAGATTTTCTCCTCCGTTGTCCGTCTGGCAAATGGATGGACCAATAACGATCACACCGAATTCGGAGGAAGCTGCTCCTCGCTCGTTAAGTTTGCCATCACCGTAACTACTGCACTAGCTTAATTGGGTGCGTGCACATACTCCTCTTCCTCCTTAACCCACCCCTAAAAATCTCGCAACACTTTTGACCGCAAGGGCGATAGACCATAAATTTCTGCTATGCTGATTGGCCAAATATTTATTCATTTTAACCTGGCAACTGTACAAAATTGGTTATTTCGTCGCAGTGCTGGGGCAATCTGACCAGCACCCAGTGAAAGAATCTATACGAATCTGTCAGCGGAAATTCAATGGTAAATAAATTATAGCAGGTGGGAAATGTAGTTTAAATGATTAGTATTGCAAGTGGCCCCACAACAGTTCTTTATTGTAAAAATCTATATTTAGAAACAATTTTTCCCCTCATTTTTTCAGGGAGGGCGGCACCCCAGTGCCCCCTATTGGCTGGCCGCCACTGCGTTTGACATTGTAAAAGCACAGATAAAACTCTTTGTTGCTATCCACACTAACCTAGCATCATCAACAGAGCCTATATTGTCCTGGAGAAATGTGGACAGTTTAGTTCTAAATTTAGAGACAAATACAGTGTCATCTAAAAGAGAGGTGTTGAAACGCCATCTCTGAGACTTTTTGGATTTGAAACTGAGATCAATACTGAGAATTATTGGGTTGTGATCAGCCAATGTGGCTGGGAGAAATTTAACAGGTGTTTCACAATCCTTCAAACCACGCCACAGTAGAAAATAAGCAATCCTTGAGAATAACTTATGATATGCACAGAAACAAGTGTAATCTCTACCGGAGTTTTGAAATCGCCAAACATCAGAAAGGTTCAAGTCATTTATCATTGTATTCAAAGCTGTAGAGGCTGATTGCTGACTATGTGTAAATGAGCTTGCAGATCTGTCTAAATCAAGGTTCCAGACCGCATATAAGAATGTCATACTCTGTGAGTTTCAGTAATTCCTTCGTGAGGTCAGGATAGAAATTATCTTGAAAGACTGCTGGTGCATATACCGATATAAATGCAACCTTTGTACTGTAAATTAATGTACACACATATGCTACTCGCCCAGATTTATCGTTACTAGTCCCTTCAATTTTCGCAGGTAAATTCCTCTTGAACATAATCATTACTCCTTTTGAGCTAGACCCACTGCTGGAGGAGGATACCACCATATACTGACTCACACCAACTGACTGTAAACCAAGTATTCTAGCGTACGATCCACCGAGATAACCCCAAAACCTATGTTTCTGTGTAACTTGACCACTGCATAACGCAGCTCATTGAGACTCCCAAAACTCAGTTGTATCCCACTTAAAAACATAACTGACCTGGCGGGAATATAAGCAGCTGAAACATAAACGTGAGTTGAAACATAGACATGAACATCAGACACTTCCCTGTGCTGATGGGCTGCCGCCCTCGTTGTGGAGACCCCACGCTGAGACCCTCGTAGAAACTCCTCTGCTTCCTCCAGGGTAGAAAAGCTGCGTTGCTCACCGTCCAGGGTGATCCTCAGAGTGGCAGGATTGATCATAAAGGATGGGATGCACTTCTCGCCTAGATACCTCTGTACACCCACAAATGCTTTCCGCCGTTGACTCGTATGGGCACTGTAGTCAGCATAGAAATGCTGCGACCTGCCGGCATCTTGTATGGGGGCATTCTTTGAGGTTTCCCGGGCACCGTTCAGTATAGCGTTGCGGTCTCCGTGCCGAAGCAGCTTCAGGTTAATGGTTTGCGGGATGTTCCCCTTCCCCTGCGGGCTGTAAATACGATGAGCTCTCTCTATCTCAACAACTCTGTTACCGAGCGAGGGTATCCACTTGGAGAAAAGTGGTTGCGTTGTCACCCTCTCGACACTGATACCTGTGATCCAAATGTTGTTTCTCTGGTTGTGGTCCTCTAACAGCGCAAGCTTCTTTTGAAACTTCTCGAGGCTGGTGGTGTTGTCTCATATCTGTCATTTCATAGTCTGCGCATCTGTTTGAGCCCTCTCAACATTAGACCTCAAGCCCCGCACAACATCCATATAAGCATCCAAGTCTTTTTGAAGTTTCCTGACAGAGCCGTCCACACTCCCCACAGCCTTGTCAATAGCACGGGTGACAACCATTTCCAACTGGTAACGCTGTTTGGCAAGGGCTAATGAGATAGCTGCTTCCATGCTAACATTGGTAGCAGCCGAGCTGTTTGGATCCTGTTGCTAACGCTTAGCCAGGGGCGTTTTAGTCGGCAAGTTAACTAATTTCTTTTGGCTTGACATCTGATATGGCTCTCACTACCAAATATAACACTGCCAAGGTCTAAGAGAGCAAATTATCAGTAAAAAATGGGGATATTGTACAGAAGCTCTAGATTCATCCGAACATTGCGCTTGCCGGTCACGTGAACTCCTCCAATGATGATGATTATGATGATGATGATTATTATTATTATCATTATCATTATCATTATCATTATTATTATTATTATTATTATTATTATTGTTATTTTTATTATTGTTACTGACACATGACTGTGGTTCGTGGTTTGGTTCTTCTGCAGCAGACAGGTTTTTGTACCAGCTCTTCTCACTGTGTACCAGTTACTACGGCAGTCCCTGGATCTTTGGCTCAGGAACAACACTGTTTGTTTCAGGTAAGAATAACACTTTATTTAATTTAGTTGATTTATTGAACCAGTCTTAAACAGATTTGATCAAGTTTTCTCTGTTTACAAAGACAACTGTGAGTTTATTTAGATTCTCAAAGAGGAATTTGCTGCAGAGCGGCTCCTGAGACACAAAAGAGCTTCATTACTCTCTCTGTATTTGATCCTCTGTGTTTTTCATTTAAAAATGTTTTACGATAATCAGATCAGGTGTAATGTTCTTGTAATCAAATATGTTCTGACAAATGAAGTGTTTTTGTCTTCAAATATGTTAAATTGCAAGTGTGTAATACTTCAAAAGCAGTAAAATGAACAACAGCTGTGGTAGTTTATATTACAGTACTTGTCTATGTTGGTAACAGACACACTTATACCTGACAAAAGTCTACATCTTAAATGTTTTTATTTTATATAACACATAAAATCTTTTATTATCTCATTTCCCTTGAGGGACAAACAAACCATCTGTCTGCCCTTCTGAAATTTTGTTATGATGTAAATTTAAAATATTTTAGTTTCTACTTCTGTATTTGATATAAATTTAATATGACACACAGGACTATAGACAACATTTTACGAACTAATATTCTAATCAATACATTTTTAATTTATTATTATAAAGATATTTTCATTTGTACTGTCCAACAATATAAACCTGTGTCATTACTCTGTAGCAGAAGAAGCTTCACATTTAATATTAATATATAATCAAAGTATCAAATAATACAAAACATGTTACTCTACTGTAGTAATTGTGTCTCTGTTACAGTACATTAAAATAATCAAGAAATATAGCTTATTCTGATGGTGTCATGTTTTTACTTTCTAATTCAATAAGAAAATTAACTATATAACGTAAAAAGCTTTTCATGATTATATGAATTATTTGAAACTGTACATTAGTCTGTGCTGATATATGAATATATCCTCAGTGAATAATATGATAATAGATGACTTTTTTAAAAACATGAAAACTGAGAGTACAGATTTCCCTTTGGGGAGGACATAAGGTTATTCTAATTCTAATGGTTATACTTTTTATGATAATAATAACCACAATCATAATAATAATTATTATTATCATTATCATTATTCCTTAAACTAATAGAAAATGTGTATCTTTAAAACTGATTTATAAAATGTAAATGATTTAAAAACAGCAACAACTAACCAAAAAAGCACTGCAAATGTAAAATATTAAACATCTAATTTCCACTGAGGGATAAACAAAGTAATTTTTTATGTCTTTATTTCTCAAATGATATTTTAAAAATCAAAGCTCAATTTTTCCTACTTCTGTTTTCATTTAATTTTTTCTATAAACATTCAAAAAGGTCAGCTCACATAGAGAGAAGTTAATCCAGACCTATCACAAAATCTTACTGAACTAATGATTTTGAAAACACTTTTTAAAGCATCTGAAATCATATTACATTTGTACGGCACTGTAAATTAAACCTTTTTCTTCGATATTTGGCAGGATGGGTTTTATTCATATTTGCCTTTTCTAAATGTATCATTACAGTCCTAAATAAAAAAGGAGAAGAAATAACTGGTGTGTTTATTGGTATCTGAGTTAACTATGTTAAAGGGTTCAAAATGTATGGATTAGTCTGAGTTTTTTAAATTTTCATTATTTATGCTGATGATGTTGTTTTTTTCTGGAAAAAATATAATTCAAACTAATGTGAATAAGATATCCTCATTAGAAAAGATATTTTGAACATTTTTTAAATGAAACAGTGAATGTAAATTAATTTAACTGTGTCATGACTTTAAAAAGTATGATATGATATAATACAATACAATTCACTTTTTTATATATAGACATAACTATAACTATACAAAATGCTAATATGATGTTAGACTGAACAGTATTTTTATAGTTATCATAAACTTAATATCTGATCTAATGTCTTTGGTAAGAGATCTAGTTTCAGTATGTTGACCTTGAGTCCGTGTTGCTGAGTGTTTAGGAGCTCAGAGCTGGTGTGTTGTTCAGGATTAGACTGAATGCAGAGCTAGAAGCTGCTGACTGTGTGAATGTGTGTGTGCTGCTTGTTTCTCTTCAGGTGAGCAGGTAGTGGAGCCCGTGGTGAGAGTGTACCCGGCTGCATCCAGAGGCCAGCTGCTGTGTGTGGCCTCAGGTATGTTTCCTCCTCTGGTGAAATTCTCCTGGAAAAGACAAAAGGAGCGTGGTGGTGTGGAGGTGCTGCCCTCTGCTGACAGTCGGCAGCAGAAGCTCCAAGAGACTGGATGTTCAGCCTCCATCTTACACATCAATCAGCAAGAGATCAGCTCTGATCAATACCTCTGCAACGTGCAGCACCAGGGAGGCACCAGGGAGGTCCCAGCACCAACAGGTAATGAAGGCTTGGTGAGCACGCTCAGTGCTGAGTTAGCTTCTTATGGTGAAGCTTTAAGAGATGCCAGAGGACCAGAGGACTTACACAGTTTTCAACTCTTTATCTGTTTCTGAAGGTCGTGTGACTCCAGCACCAACACCGTCACCTTCAACAGCACCAACACTGTCACCTTCAACAGCACCAACACCATCACCATCCGCATCACCATCACCTCCTCTCTCAGCATCCCCTTCTGTCCCGTCTCAGCACCAGGTGAAGCTGCTCTCTCTGCTGTACTCACTGCTGATAGTGAAGAGTCTGGTGTACTGCTGTGGACTCTTTCTGATGACCATCTTCAGAGACAAGTGACCGTCCACAAACTGCACACATGCTGGGGGACTATTTTCTACTCACTGTTTCTCTTCATCAGCTCATCAGTTCATCTCATAGATATCTTTGATTATCAGTATTAAATCCCAGCTCTGTATTTACTCAGTTTTAGTCATTTGTTTTGTATCAAAGTTACATTGAATCTCTGCAAGATAATCCCTGATTTTTGTTTGTTTCACAATCTTTGGTTGTTTTTGATGACATTATGCTGAGTTTGACTGCTTTGTCAAATTCTAAAAAAATAGTAAAGTAAAAAAGTAAAAAAATCTGTGTCTAATACACAGGTGTCAAACTCAAGGCCCGGGGGCCAAATCTGGCCTGTGGGACAATTATAATTGACCCTCAAGATCATATCATATTTGTATTATTATTGGCTCACTGGTATGAAGTCTGCAGATTTCCTCCAGTATAATAATGTGAACTTTAGCACCATTATTTAAAATGTCTTAAATAAGCCACAAATATCTGGGAAATTAAAGAGTAAGGAAGATTTGATAAATAGTCAAGAATGTGGAGGAAAAATATTTGGTATTTATTTCATGTTTTCAATTTTGCATTTCAAGATTACAAGTCGAACATGATTGGATTTTTTATTTCATGCTCTGATTTTGTTCAACTCAGTATTTAGAATTGTGTCATTTTTACACTTTAGATTACAATTTTAAATTATAAGTCATATTTTGACTTTATAAAGCGGATTTCAACATTCTCCTCATGTATTTGCTCTTTAAAAGCATTATTTTTCTGTTTTTTATATCATGCTCTGATCTTTTGAAATAAATCAAAAACTTATCTTTTTAGAATTTCTAAATGATTTATAATCATTGCTGTTTTTGTTACATATTTTTTGAAAAGGAAGTTGACAGTTTTGGTGAAATGTTGACCCTGTTTGGCCCTCAGGAAAGACATAAATCCAGATTATGGCCCTTGCTGTGGTTGAGTTTGACACCCAGGGTCTAATAAGAGGCTCACACTCTCCTTTCACACATTTCCAAGAACAAATGTAGAAGATGATCGAAATATGAGCAAAGAGGTAAACCAGGATTAATAATCTGCCAAAAGACAAGCTCAGCTAATGACAAGGAAGCTGCAGACAGGAAACCCACAGAAACACAGAGAGAGAGAGAGAGAGAGAGAGAGAAAGAGAGAGAGAGGGTTGATTTACCATCATCACTTTATCTGTCTCACTGCTCTGTTCTGTGTTTTATTGTTTTAAAATTCAGCTTTAATGTTGTGATGTCTTTTTTTTTTTTTTTTTACTGCTGTTGATTTTTTTTCCCATTTGTACTTGTTGACTTTTGCCGCAGTATTTTGTTCTTGCATAGTTTTAACTGTCTAGACTCTTCTCTGTTTAGCCTGATGATTAAATGTTTATTCAGCTTTTCTCCTCAGTATTTGCTTTATTTTGTCTAAGCTCTTTGTATTTCTTTTATGAGGTGCCAGTAAATAAACTTATTATCATTAAAGTGTTTATCATCATCATCATTAAATGATAATATTTCCCTTTGACTTCTGAAACTACGCTGATATCTAGTGGATAAAAACAGACCCTACTTTAAGAAAAAAGGAGCGACAAAAATGTCGAGTTAGTGAAAAGACAGAACTCAACCTAAAATTAAATATAAAAAATAGTATCTTATGACAAGAGGATAAATATACCAAAGTTTAATTATGTAAATCAGAGGAGTCTATGTCTAAAGTGTGTGATTAAATGTAAAAAAAAACAAAAAACACTGAAGCTTACCCAGAGCAGCCAGTGACTGTCTGCAAGAAGACAGCAGTCAAACTAAAGACAACATCATTCACCTCAGACATTAAGTAGAATCGAGGAAGGACAGTTCAGACACCAACTATTCTCTTCTGCAGACCCAGACCTCAGAACTTGCTTTCTGTAATTTTTTCAAAGCAGTGAAACAGTCCTTTAAAACGTGATAAGACAAACGGGACCTTGGGGGTGAAGGCATCCCTACAGTTTTTACAACACCAATAAAGCAGTGGAACTGTTTCAACACCAAACAAATGTACATATTTTAAAAATAATTTATTTTCAATCTATTTTCAGTCATGTTAAATCAAATTTATACAGCTTTTTTCAGTAAACATAAATCTAAATCCTAACCTAAGCACCTGACTGTCATTAGACAGACTGTAGGTGCCATATGCAGAAGTGGTTAGGTTTGTGTGTGTTGACATCAACTGTCTGGGCTGCACCTTTCATGCACGTCACGAGGGGGTGTGGTCAAGGCGCGATGATTGAATGATTGAATGAATGGACATATAGTCACCTGGGTGCTGCGGCGGCTGCATGGAGAGGGGGTGAGTAGGGAGAGCGTATTTTTTGTTGACCGCTTGATTTAAACGTCAAACTAAGCCCATAGATCATCTTGCCTTGCCTTGCCCTGTCTGTCTGTTTGTGCGGCGTTGGAAATAAATGTGAACTCAATCGGAAAACACGGAAATGGCTTGTGGTTTGTGTAGCGAGTCACCAATGCGGAAGCTCCCTCACTTAGCCTCTCAGTGACTTTGTTTTCGTTCCTAGTCACTATATTTTGTCAACAAAAAAGGAGTATCAACACCCGAACGGCATATACGGACGCGATCACGCCACACGGTGTCTAACTGCAACGCCAGACTGATCGCAACGTGGACTTCAGACCGGTAGGACTGTATCACTCGCATCCATTCATTCTGTGTATGTTGGACGGAACGCAGTTTGATTACAGCGCATACAGCGCATCCATTGGGGAGCGCTGCGCGTGTGTGAAAGTCCGCTGTGACAGCCTGTCCTGCTCGTTGAGAGTAAATACCTGTGGTGTTTTCCGATGTTAATTGATGTGAAACAAGCTGTGGAAAAATAAAACTATGCTGGGTGTATTGTGGATTCACTGCGCGAACCACTGAACTGCCGAATCTCAAAAGGACAATATGAGTGAAGCCATGGAACAAGTGGAAAACAATGAAACTGTGGTTGCTAAAAGGAATGTGAAACTTACTGCAAAAGCATTGGCATATAAAGTGGTAAATCTACAAAATGAACGTAAAACACATGTGAATAAAATAAAAGGCTTAATACCTGCAATGAAAGAGCTGATGAAACGAAAGGAAAATGTACAGGAAGTGAAATCTCAGTTGCAAACTATTACTCAGCTCCTTGATACTGCTATCAACCTGCATCAAACAATAATTCCACTGTTACCTGAGGATGAAAAACTTAAACAGAATGATTGGTTCTCCAGTATTGAACGTTACAGCAGTACATTCAAGGATGATGTGACTCAGTGGTTGGATGAGAATGAACATGTTCTAAATATCGTGGATAATGATGAGGCCGCAGCAACAAAGCATGTGTGTGACCCTCAAATAGATGATGCTTTACAGGCAGCAGCACAGGACACAGGCCCCATCACACCTTATGAAGGTCCACAGGATGACATGAACCCAAGTGATGGCATATCAAATGTGCAAAGCAAACGATCTGCAAAAAGTGCTGTGAGTGGAAAAAGCTCTGGGAGTGGTAAAAGGTCCAACGTATCAGGAACTTCTTCTGCTCGCATCAAGGCAGAAGCTGATTTAGCTGCACTGATGGCACGGCAAAAACTTTTACAGGACAGACATGCACTGGAAGAGGAGGAGCAGCAAATACGGAAACGCAAGGAAAAGCTCAAGTTGGATGAAGAGATTGCTGCACACTTGGCTAAAGTGAGCGTTCTAAGGGCTGCAAGCATATCTGGTTCGAAAAGTATTACAACAGACAGGTCCAATGCAATGAGTTCCTACGTTAAAAATGAACAAGAAACAACAAAGTTCAATGTCAATGCCACTCCTTTCATTCCTCTGAGGCTGGAAACATCTAAACAGCAATCGAAAATCATGGACAGTGACCCTGTGACAAGGCCTAAATCAGATGGATCGACCCATGCTGTTCACTTTCAGCCTCCCACTTTGAAGAGCCACTTACCTGATTTTAATCCTCTGCTCAATGCTCATAATGATCACTTACATCATGGAATCAGTCTTAATGTTGGGGATTCAGCAAGTCATGGGGAGCAAAACAATGTTCTTGACATCATGAAAAGACAGAATGAAATTACAACACTACTGATACAACAGCAGCAACATGCGCTCTTGCCTAAAAGAGACATCCAGGTGTTTGATGGTGACCCACTGCAGTTCCATACGTTCCTGAGAGCCTTTGAAAACTGTATTGAAAGCAAGTCCAACAGTCATAGTGATTGCCTGTACTTCCTCGAGCAATACACTAGAGGTCGTCCAAGAGATCTTGTGAGAAGCTGCCAGCATATGGACCCAAACAGGGGCTATGCTCAAGCTAAAATCCTATTACAAGAACATTTTGGGGATGAACAAAGGGTTGCTGCTGCTTATATGGACAAGGCGTTGTCATGGGCTCCAATAAAATCAGAGGACGTTAAAGCTCTCCAAGATTATAGCCTATTTCTCAGAGGCTGCGCAAATGCGATGAACGAAGTGCAGTATATGTTTGAGATGGATATGCCTGTTAACATGCTGACAATAATAAAAAAACTGCCTTACAAGCTGAGGGATCGATGGAGGACAACTGCTTGTGAAATACAAGAAAGACGTAACCAAAGGGCTACATTTAATGATATTGTCCATTTCATCGAAAGGCAAGCAAAGATTCTAACAGACCCAGTATTTGGAGACATTCAAGACTCATCACCAGCAGCAAACAGATGCATGAATCGAACCAGCTTAAAACCTAGATCTCGGCCAAAGGGAAGTAGTTTCGCTACAACAGTGACTACTGTACAGCACAATTACACAGCAACAAAAGGAAGGAGGCCAGACACAACCTCATCAGCCAAGAAAGTCTGTCTGTTTTGTGAGGGTGGGCACATGTTGGAGTATTGCTCTCGAATGGAGAAGATGACTCACACTGAAAAGATCACCTTTTTAAGGGAAAAGGGAATATGCTTCGGCTGTTTGTGTATAGGACACATCAGCAAGGACTGTCGAAAGCGTCTATCATGTAAAGTGTGTAGTTTGAAACACCCCACAGTGCTTCACATCCATTCGAAGGAAAAGGACCCAGTGACAGAAGAAGAACCAGGCGCCGCAGTGGGCTGTGCTCTGGTATCTAATGGGCTGACTGGGGCTGGTGGCCATGAGTGCAAGCTTCCTATAGTTCCAGTATTGGTTAAATCCAAGAAAGGTAATCATGTAGTGGCTACTTATGCCTTCCTGGATCAAGGTAGCACGGCTGTTTTCTGCACAGTAAACCTCATGAACAAGCTCAACCTCTCAGGAAAAAGGACAAGAATTCTTTTGCGGACAATGGGTCAGGAGAAGGTCGTTAACAGCTGTGTGGTCACGGGACTGGAGGTGGCCGGTTTGGACGGAGAGACGTACTGTGATTTGCCCAACACCTATACACAGGAGTGCATGCCGGTGCATAGAGGAAATATTCCGTGTCAAAAGGATCTCGAGAGGTGGGCATACTTGAGAGATGTTCACTTACCTGATATCGACTCCGAAGTTGAGCTGTTGATTGGAACAAATGTACCAAGGGCACTGGAACCATTACAAGTCATCCGTAGTGTGGACAATGGACCGTATGCCATCAAGACTATCTTGGGTTGGACTGTTAATGGGCCACTGGGGGGAGACAGTGGCGATGGAATGGATGTTGCGACCGTTAACAGAATTTCAGTCCTGAACTTGGAGGAGCTCTGGCAGCAGCAGTTCAGAACAGATTTCCCAGAATGTGGCTACGATGAGCAACCTGGCCAGTCAAGAGAGGACCAAAAGTTCATGAAGTTGGTCCAGGATTCAGCCAAGCTTGTAGATGGTCATTACCAGATTGCATTGCCCCTGCGAAGCTCCGTGACCATGCCAAATAACAAGAAGGTTGCCGAGCAGCGTGCTCTAAACCTGAAGAGGAGGTTCAAAAGGGACTCGTTATTTCATCAGCAGTACACTGATTTCATGAATGATATGGTCACCAAGGGATACGCAGAGCAAGTACCTTCAGATGAGCTGGCACGTACTGATGGAAGATTGTGGTATATCCCACACCATGGTGTGTATCACCCACAAAAGGGAAAAATCCGTGTGGTTTTTGACTGTGCTGCCACTTTCCAGTCGGCATCTCTCAACGCTCAACTGCTGCAAGGGCCAGATCTCACTAGCTCGCTGATTGGCGTCCTGGCCAGATTCCGGAAAGAACCGGTAGTGATCATGGCAGACATAGAGTCCATGTTTCACCAAGTAAAGGTGCCAAGGGAAGATGCTGATCTACTGAGGTTTCTCTGGTGGCCCAACGGTGACTGCACCCAAGACCTGGTAGACTTTAGAATGATGGTACATCTTTTTGGTGCAACGTCCTCACCAAGTTGTGCTAACTTTGCATTGAGGAAATGTGCTAAGGACAATGAAGAACAGTTCTGCCGAGAGACCATTGAGAGGATTCTGCACTGCTTTTATGTGGACGATTGTCTGGTATCGACGGCCAGTGAGGAAGAAGCAGTGGCACTGTATCATGACCTGGTCTCTGTATGTGCCAAAGGAGGCTTTAAGTTGACCAAATGGATGAGCAATAGCCGTGCAGTGATGGCAGCAATTCCAGGGGACCAAAGAGCTAAGGGCATGAAGGACCTGGATTTGGACCATGACCTGCTACCAGTGGAGAGGGTGCTCGGGGTGCAATGGTGCATCCAGTCTGATGTCTTCAAGTTTAGAATCCTGGTGCAGGACAGGCCCCTGACAAGGAGGGGGATCCTCTCTGTCATCAGTTCAGTATATGATCCTCTAGGAATCTTGAGTCCCATTGTTCTTTCTGCCAAGATCATCCTGCAGGAGCTGTGTAGGCAAAGACTCGGTTGGGATGACCCTATACCACCATCAGCTGCACAGGAATGGACGAGCTGGTTAGAGGAGCTCCATCAGTTAGAGCACTTCCAGGTTTCGCGGTGCCTTAAACCCCCAGACTTTGGTGAGGTCACTGTGGCGCAACTGCACCATTTTACAGATGCAAGTAATAATGGTTATGGTGTAGTGACCTACCTTCTCCTGCGGAATGCATGTTCCCAGATGCACAGCAGCTTTGTCATGGGAAAGTCCAGGGTGTCTCCTTTGAAGCCAGTCTCAATACCCCGCATGGAGCTCACAGCTGCTACAATGGCAAGCCGTCTGGACACCTTTTGGAAAAAGGAGTTGCACATGTCATTAATAGAGTCAACGTTTTGGACTGACAGCACCTCTGTGCTGAAGTACATCAGGAATGAGACTTCCAGGTTCCGTACCTTTGTCGCCAACAGGGTGGCAGAGATACTCAAAGTGTCAGATCCATCGCAGTGGAAGTATGTAAACACCCTAAGCAATCCTGCAGATGTGGCCTCCAGGGGACTGAGGGTTGACATGTTCCTGAGGAACAAGGCGTGGTTGTCAGGACCTGCATATCTCCTGCAACCTGAGCGAGACTGGCCTGTGAGTCCAGATTGCTTGGGCGAACTCCTGCTGAACGATCCAGAAGTCAAGGCCAGTGTGGCAGTGAATGCAGTGCAGGCCTCAGAGGATGTGGATGCAACCACTCAACTAATCCATCATTTTTCCTCTTGGACCCATCTGAGAAGGGCTGTGGCTTGGTTTCTCAGGCTAAAAAACATGCTGCGGGGTCTCAGCCAGAAGAGGACTGACTCTGCGTCCACTCAGTCGGAGTCAGGGAAACAACAAAGACCGTCCTCGGAGCTTGGAAAAGGAGGGTTCAAAGACCTGGCACCGAGAGGTTTCCTCACGGTAGACGAGTTGCAGGTAGCTGAAAAGGAAATCATCAGGTTTTGTCAGAGGAAGAGGTTTCCTGATGAACTCTCTAGTTTGCAGAAGGGCGAAAGTGTGAAAAGGAGAAGTCACATCTTCAAGCTCGCTCCTGTGTTGGAGGATGGTATCCTGAGGGTTGGTGGTCGGTTGAGCCGAGCAGCCTTACCTGAAGACGCAAAACACCCTGCCATTCTGACCAAAGAGCTCCACATTTCAGACGTTCTCCTGAGACACATACATCAACAAGTTGGTCATGGAGGACGCAACTACATGTTGTCCAAACTACGTGAAAGATACTGGATTCCTGGGGTCAGCACAGCCATAAGGAGAATTTTGTCAAAGTGTGTTGTCTGCCGCAGGTTGCAAGCTGCCCCAGGGTGTCAGCTGATGGCTGATCTTCCTGTTGACAGGGTCTGCCCAGACGAACCTCCATTCACCAGAGTCGGTGTGGACTACTTTGGACCATTCGAGGTTAAGAGCCGGAGGAGCATTGTAAAGAGATATGGAGTCATGTTCACCTGTTTGGCAATACGGGCTGTTCATATCGAAGTGGCTCCTTCGCTGGATACAGACGCCTTTATTAATGCACTACGACGATTCATGGCAAGACGTGGCCAAGTCCAAGAAATTCGATCAGACAATGGAACAAACTTTATTGGAGGAGAACGTGAGCTGAGAGAGGCTATCAGAGGTTGGAATCAAGCTCAGATAAATGGTGTTCTTCTTCAGAAGGAGGTGAAATGGATTTTTAACCCCCCAGCTGGATCGCACCATGGTGGTGCCTGGGAAAGGTTGATCAGATCAGTGCGCAAGGTCTTGAACTCCATCTTGAAAGTTCAAAATCTGGACGAGGAGGGACTGCACACTGTCCTCTGTGAGGTGGAAGCAGTCATTAACGGCCGTCCAATTACTAAGGCCTCAACCGACCCTAACGACCTCGAAGCTCTGACGCCTAACCATCTCTTGCTGTTGAAAACCTCTCCTTCCCTGCCACCTGGGCAGTTTCAAAGAGATGACATCTACGCTCATCGACGCTGGAGGCAGGTCCAGTACATGTCTGATTTATTTTGGAAGCGATGGACTAAGGAGTATTTGCCACAGTTGCAGGAACGTCAGAAGTGGACTGGTATCAAGCGCAACTTTGTAGAAGGGGACGTTGTGCTTATTGTGGATGAAACAGCACCACGGAACTCGTGGGTCATGGGAAGGGTTATCCAAACCTTCCCAGACAGAAGAGGATTTGTGCGACGGCTGCAGATCAAGACCAAGACCAGCTCCTTGGAAAGGCCCATAACCAAAGTCTGTCTTCTGCAGGAATCGGATGCCTGACTCTTCCGTTCTGGAAGGATAGTTTGATTGACTTTACTGACCGACAGCACGACATGACTTTCCTCCGTGAAGCTGTGTGTCTGAACTTTTGAACTTGGCTAGACTTGACTTGTGTTCCAGGAAGAAGAGCACATTGATGAACTGTATTGATGGACTATTACAAGAACATTGGTGGATTTCGTGGTTCGTTTATTTGTCATAGTGTAATTATTATAATGGTAATAATTAGGGGCTGGGTTGTAGGTGCCATATGCAGAAGTGGTTAGGTTTGTGTGTGTTGACATCAACTGTCTGGGCTGCACCTTTCATGCACGTCACGAGGGGGTGTGGTCAAGGCGCGATGATTGAATGATTGAATGAATGGACATATAGTCACCTGGGTGCTGCGGCGGCTGCATGGAGAGGGGGTGAGTAGGGAGAGCGTATTTTTTGTTGACCGCTTGATTTAAACGTCAAACTAAGCCCATAGATCATCTTGCCTTGCCTTGCCCTGTCTGTCTGTTTGTGCGGCGTTGGAAATAAATGTGAACTCAATCGGAAAACACGGAAATGGCTTGTGGTTTGTGTAGCGAGTCACCAATGCGGAAGCTCCCTCACTTAGCCTCTCAGTGACTTTGTTTTCGTTCCTAGTCACTATACAGACTGTTCACACTTTCTTACTCTATGCCTGCTGTCAGGTGTTTTTACCGGTCTACTTCAGACGGACACCTCTGATTGTCCTTCAGGTAATAAAAACACTGAAGGCTCACATCTAGACTCAGTTTGAAAGTTTACATCCAAACATGCCTCTGCTTGGCAGCAATGACACAGCCAAAAATCTACAACTTCAGAATGATTGAATCAATAGAAATAATTTTATATTAAAACGTTAAAAGAATATTTCAAGACTTAAAATTAAATGACTGAAAGAAAATGATCTGACTGGACCAAAATATTTAGACCTGTAGAAAATATTATACTTCATTTGTAAAAATAAATGTGTGTCCCAAATGCTTTTTTAATTTAAATAAATTGAGTGAAATAAAATATTTGGAGGTTTTAGGGTTGATAGTGTTTGTGTGTGTGTGTGTGTGTGTGTGTGTGTGTGTGTGTGTGTGTGTGTGTGTGTGTGTGTGTGTGTGTGTGTGTGTGTGTGTGTGTGTGTGATATAACATTTTATCATTAATTTTATTAGTGAGACAAAAATCTTCAACACAAAAATGAGATGGAGAGAAAGTTCACAAAACCTTCAGTGTGACTGAGTTTCATCTTTAACTATTTCACTCAGGTCATCATCAAGTAACTCTGGCAGAGAGATGAAGCAAAGAAAACTGAATCAATGTCTGACATTATGAATTCTGTGTTTGTTTTCACAGTAATAAAAGGTTCCAGTGTACCTGTATTTATTTTAGGTCTGTTCATTAGTTGGATGAGAGCAGAGTGTGGTCACATTAACACCTTTTTACGAGCAGCAGCAGACAGGAAACAGTCCTCCATCTCCATGGTAACAGTGCTCTGTCACTCCCCCTTTCAAAGCCCCGACTCTGCAGGAAACCACACAGTGTAACCAAGCTGTCAGTCATCCCCATACCATGGAACTACCACCTCCATGCTGAATTGTGGGTGTACCACATGGTGGTACTCATGTCTCTATATTTCTTGTTCTGTGGACAAAGTAGTGTTTTTTTGCAGATACACAACCCTTCAGACCAGCCTTTCTCAAACGTCATTTCACGGTTGTCAGAGATACGGGTTGCGACCTTGTAATGTTGATTTCCTCCCTTATTTGTGGTGCTGTCTTTGCTGATCTCTCTTACTGGTGACAATGATATGTTTATCCTCCCCTTTTGTAGTAACTCTCTTTCATCCAGGTCTTTTTCTATCATCATAACTTCCAGGTTCCTCTAGTCTCTTCAGAGTGTAGTGGACTCCTTTGTTAAACACCTTTAGGTGTTTTGCAGTTTCTTTTTCTGTGTACCCTTCTTTCCTCAATGTACAATTTTGCACTTTTGTTTCTTTACTCAGTTGCTTCTTTCTAGCCATTTTTGGGGTAGTTTGAACGCAGTTGAGATTTATTAGGATTTTTGTATGCAGACTCTCAAAAGCCAAAAAGTTGACATGAATAATCCAACTATGATGTTTTTTTTTTTGCTTTTGCACTTAAGTTGTGACTCTTGCAAATGTTTTCGACTCTGAAACTAAGCCCTTATTATCTTTTGCTGACATATATTAAGCAATGGTCTGGAAACATCAATGTATATCTAAAGGTAAGTGGAGTAAAATGGTGTATTTCCATGAAAGCAACATCTGATCATGGAGTAAATACATCTCAAAATACATAAAACTCACGCTGGATTTTAAAAAAAGCATTGTGAACAAATTGGCAAACTTTCTACACCGCCACAGTGGGGTCTGTGCTTTCTGCGAGCATCACTGCCTGGTACTGGTCTCTGCATCGAGTCATCCATTGTGCTGAACGCATCACCCGAGTCGACTACTGCAACTCCCTCCTGTTTGGACTTCTGCAAAAAACTCTGGTACAGAATTCAGAAGTCCATATTATCAAAAGGACCCCATTCAGTCACCACATCACACCAATCCTCCAGCAGCTCTACTGGCTCCCAATCACACACCGTGTTTTTACATACACCTGTACATGCAGCTTAGACACATCATCAGTGATGTAAACCAAGGTCATTGGGTGTTCCAGGTCTTTCAACAGTCAGACACCCTCGTCCAGATGACCCAGCCAGGGTTAATCAAGCCCCAGCTTGTGTCCATGGAGTGCCGTGTTTGATCCAAAGCCATCTTGACCTCTTCTCTGCAGCATCCATGATGTTCTTGATGGCTTTCCTATCGTGCAGTCCCTTAACCACATGCACCCTGTGCTATTTAGGGGTTATTTCCACCTGAAATGACATACCCAAAGTAAATCAGTAATAGCTCATCAACTGTATGGCCTAGGGCCTAGGGCCTCCAACAATCTTGTTGAATCTAAATCAAGTGAAAGATTGGCGGTGGCCTTTATAATGCTAGAATGGTATCAGACAAATTACAAATCAAAAATTTTATCTCCGCCTAGAAAAAGAAGTAATTTTATAGTCAAAAGTAAAAGTAAACCCAATGTGAGTAGGCATTTTATTCATTGGATCTGCTCTACAACATCTAACCTGCAATCCCTCCAAGTTTGATGTCACAGATATGATGTACCACAATTCAGTCAGGATCACTTTGTCAAAATTCAGCTTTATTTTGCAAAGTTAAATTTGGCGGGATAGTTCTGTTGCATGGAAGCCAGAGGCAGGAAGAGCCTCTTCCTGCCCTTCACGAGCCATCATGAAAAGGCCATAGCAGGGAGCGCACGCAAGGTTCTGTTTGGGGCCCCCCGTTCTCCACACAAGCATGTGTGAAAGGCCATTGGCAGGAAGAGCACCTTCCCGCCCTTCATGAGGCATCATAAACAATGGGAGGTAGAGCAGTGATGAACAGAACCACCCCAAAACGACCATGCCAGGCAGAGTAGGTAGGAGAAGCAGTTTAATTAGGGCGCCATTTTGACATTTGCCAATAGGATGTGTGGAGGGCGATCAGCTGAGCTGTCATCTGACTGAAGGCTGGCTTAAGATCAGCTGACTGTAACCTTTAGCTTTACTGTAACCTATGTGTCCTACCTGAACTACGAGTATGCTTCATTTCAGTCAGGACTACTTTAGTCAAAATTAATTATTATGAGCAAACATTTTTACATTGGCGGTATGGCTCTGTTCTGAGAGTTCCCTGCTCTTTTATGTGCTTGCATGGAATGCCACGGCTATGAGAGGGAATGCCCTCCCCTCCCTTTTATGTGCATATATGAAAAGCCAAGGCAGAAAAAGCAGCAGCAAATAAATAAAATTAAGGAAAATTAAAATCCCCCAAAACAGCCATACCAGACAACCTTTCGGCTTTCATGTGCTACATTAAAGCCGAGGCAGGGGGAGCAGTGACAAATACATTAAAAGTCCCCCAGAACAACCATACTAGGAAACCCTCCCCAGCTTTCATGAGCTACATGAAAGCATCTACAGGGGAGGGAGGGCAGCCAGCAGCGAGAAACTATGAAGCAACTTACCCAACTTCATAGCTCGCATAGTATTGGTTACCCTCAAAACATGATCATGGATCAGGATTAATTTAATTCATACACATATCTATAATTGGGAATATGCTTAAGAATACAATAAATATGGGACAGAATTATGGGGCAGCAGCATTTTTTTAAAGCACTCGTAGCTAATTGAGCACAGGAATCTTCTTTAGCCTTGGGCCTGAGGAATCATTCAAAGGCTGATGAGGACCATCAACCCGTAGTCTTTAGTGTCGAGACGGGAACAGCGTAAGATGCAGTTGTAGCTGCACCTATGTGTGGTGAATGTGTAGAGTTGCACTCTGGTGGGAGCCAGCAGGATTGGCAGAGCAGGCAGAGGTGAGCAGAAAACCACAACCTGTATATAGGTTTCCCTTCTTCGGTGGCAAAGAGAGGCTCTTGCTGGCTGGCCAGTGGCTGGCCTCTCAGGCAGCAGGACATGGAGGATAAAGAACAAAGACAGAGTTCGAGAAATAACAAAAGGTGCGAGATTCAAAACAGGGGACTATTGAAGCACATACAATGGACATATATACGGGTATCGGAGCTACAGAGAAGGTGGTACAAAAGAGGTAAAGTGAGACCATGCAGAATCATAAACTTTAATGCTGATTTTGCTTAACCAGCTCTCATGTAGCTGGCAGCAGAGAGCACTTAAATTCGCAAGGCTGCACTTAGACTAACACAGTCTGAATGAATGGCTTCATAAACAGCGGTTGGGATGCTTTGCCAGTGCCTTCCCCAGCTCAGGGACATTTGACAGAGTAGACAGCTTTATTCTCTTTCCTGTTTTACTGGGTGGGTGCGTCTTGGGCATGCTGATTTCAGATGCCCATCCCTGGAGTAACCCCTGGCTTTTCCAAGTAGTAGGCTTAGAAGAGGCTTGGGTGGTTGGCCTGTAGCCATAGTTTTAAGGCACAGATTAGAGGTGTGAGCAGGGGTGAAAGTAAACAGAAAAGTTTTCTCAAAAGTGTTGAACACAGACAAAAAGGGCCATAGAGGAGAGACTAGAGTACAGTAAGTAGTCTATATCTATCTATCTATCTATCTATCTAGATAGATAGATAGATAGATAGATGCTTTTTCTTTTTCTTTTCCTTCTTACCCTCAGGCTTTTAAATCAAGGGGATCACTGTGATAGCTCCGTATCCCCTCAGCCACATTTCTCTCTCTTCTTTGCAGGCCTGAGTGAAATGGATGTCTCGTCAAAAATATGGGGAGGGTGACACTTCTTGCTCTTTGGCTCAATTATCCCCTCACACTCTGCTACCACTGAATTGTGCAGTCGTTTGGTCTGTCTCTGTGCCGTGAATTTGCTCTGCTCTTACACCGAGTTGCATTCAATCATTCGTTAGCTCACCTTCCTGACTGAACCATTTGCATCGATTGGACTTTTGTTTGTTTAATCATAAGAGCATAACAAATACATGACACAGAAATGAGTCTTTGAATCCACACACACCCCACCTGTGATGCACAAAAAGCGCGGCGGAGGGTTGAGGACGTGGGGACTGCAGGCGCTCAAGAGACAAAAAGGTCAACTCGCCCGCAGCTCCTTCGGCTTGTAAAAATGGTTATCTAAAAACTCACCTCTGCTACGCTGTCGTGAAAACATTTGACTGAAAACCTCTGCTGTATTCCTCTGTTGCACAGACTCTTTTCACAGTATGGGCACTGGATCCGCAGAGCGAAGAAAGAGGAAATTCGTCTGTGAATCAACGAAGAGGAAAAAAAGCGCTCTCCTGATCCGGCTAGCCTCTGCGGCTACAGCCGAAGACGATCTCAACGAGGGAAAATAGGAGTGGACTGCAGCTGAGCGAGTAGCGCATGGATGGAAACACAGGATCGAGGATTCGTCTGTGAATCAACTGCGGACTGCAGCTGAGCGAGGACGACGAGGGAAACACTGATGGTGAGTATAAAAACCAAACCAAAAAAGAAACACAGGTTCGAGGATTCGTCGGAGGAAGGTCTGACGACAGGAGTGAGTATGAAGAAAACCAAAAACACAGGATGGAGGGTTCACAAGGAGAGGAAAACAAAAACGCTCTCCTGAGCCGGCTGGCCTCTGCTGCTACAGCCGAAGACGATCTCGACGAGGGGAAACACTGAAGGTGAGTATAAAAAACAAAAACACAGGATCGAGGATACGTCTGTGAATCAACGGAAAGGAAAAAAAGCACTCTCCTGATCCGGCTAGCCTCTGCTGCTACAGCCGTAGACGATCTCGACGAGGGAAAAAGGAGTGGACTGCGGCTGGATGGAAACTTAGGATCGAGGATTCGTCTGTGAATCAACAGAGAGGAAAAAAAAGAAGGGCTCTCCTGATCTGGCTAGCTAGCGGCTACAGCCGAAGATGATCTTGATGAGGGAAACACTGAAGGCATTGGCGTCGTTTGGCCTATTTTATTTTTTAAAAAATTGGCCTATTTGTCGTTTGGCCTATTTTTTTTGGCCACCTAAAATATTCTTAAGCCCCCCTAGATAATTTGGTGTTTTCTTTTTTTTAAAATACATATATTTATATTTTTTTTTACAAAAAAGTGCAGAAATATTCAGTACAAAGACACAGGAATATGAGTTTAAATAAATAATAATATAATATGTCATTATTCACTTAAATATGATGACAAATCATTTGGTTTCCCCTGACTTCACTGTGTAAGGTGGAGAGCCTTCGTCAGTGCTTAATTATTCAATCTGTTCCACTTGTTGATATAGAGATCGCCCACATTACTACAAATCCAGTCCGCGTTTTCACTGCTGCCAGCAGCAGCACCTACATGCCCCCTGCACACAGTGACAGCTAGACGATCACGTCACGAGCCAGGCAGAGAGCAGCATCATGGATATTCACAAGTTTTTCAAAAAAGTAAGTCTGTATAGCTGCTGGTAGTAACAATAAGCTCCAGCTAACAGCAAATAGTCCCATGTAATTTATAAACCAGGTTCTCCTCATTTTGATAAATAAAAACCTGGCTATCACACCAAGTTAAATTGTTAGCACGATGTTGATTTCAGTCACATGTTTTAGCTCTGAAAAAAGCGAGCTGAGCTCATTCATGTATGATTATCATCAGTGGATAATAATAATGCACTAATAATACTCACCCCACCATCCCCACTGACCTGTAGGAGTCAGGACAGAGGAGCACAGCAAATGAGTGGGGAGACACCTCTACTGAAGAGGTGAGTCTAAAAGAACTCACAGGAGTGATGCAGACAGTCTGATCAGAATTTTATGGAACTCAATATGGATATGAAATATGAAATTTCAGTCATGGTGCAGGTGCACCATATAAGACTTATTTCATTTGAGTTTTTATTTAAGAGAGTCAAGATTAAAGAGTGGAGAGAGCCAAGAGATAAATTAGCCTGACCCAAATATTTTTGGGGGTTCTATTTTAATATTACTTTAATTCAAGTAATTTAGTAATATTTTTCAGGGCTTTAAATTGCAACCATTTTAGTCACATATGGGCCCAAAATGTAATTTGTGTAACATCTTACTATTTGGGAGCAAAAAATTACTGTGGTGTGTGAGCTTAAGTCATGACATTAGCCTCTATGTTGGATTAGTTATCAATTCAATGTGTTTCAGTGTATCTTGGAGGGTCAGACAGAAGGAGAGGCTGAGGAGCTGCAGCAAATGGCAGAGGAGGCTGAGAGAGGAGAGCAAACAGGCCAAGAGAGGGATAATAATGAAGCAGCTGCAGCAACTCATTCCACTACAGGGTTTGATTTAGGTGACAAAGACACAGGGCCCAGACAGGTCAAGCTGAAGAGCTACCCACAAGATAATTTTGGGACACAGAAGCGAGCATTTCACCACATCTGGTTTGACAAGCACAACTGGTTAGAATATTCAGTCAACCAGAATACAGCTTTCTGTTTCCCGTGTAGAGTGTTTGGCAAAAACATCAACCATGACAGTTTGGTCAGTAGTGGTTGCAAGAACCGGAAGAAAGCTTTAGTCATCTTTGGTGAGCATGAGATGGCACTAACACATAAGGACAGTGTTGTTGCATGGAAAAGCTACCAGGCAACCAGTAAACAGGGGAACGTTGCACAGATGATAGCATCAGCAAATGTGAGTGAGATAGTAGAGAGAAGAGAGTATCTCAGGCGAATTGTTGCAGTCACCTCTATAGCTGCGTTTCCATTACCCATAGATTTGCGCAAAACCTAAATATCGCAATAGAAAACTGGTAATGGAAACACCTAAATTTCGAAAAACCTCTCAAATATCGCTAAAAAGTCTTTACGCTCTCAAGAGGTGGTTTTTCAGATGTGTCGATATCGAAGTATATCGCAAAAGTGTAATGGAAACACTATTCTCGCAATTCTCTGTCACCGGACGTGACATAGCGGGTCATGTGACCAGTTCATTTCAAGCAAAGATGGCACGGTATGTGTGGACGGAGGAGGAGACGGAGTTATTTCTGAAGTTTTGAATCCACAATTCGTCTGTGAATTCCTCATTAACGATCCTCTCCCAGAAATCCCTCATCCGTGTCCGCTCCCATACATACGGGCTTTGCCTTTGAATTATCACCCGCCACCTTCGTCTTCTGATTACAGCAGCGGCAACAGCAGTAATGGTCACAGAAATAGCTGCTCCAAAACGCAAAATGTTTAGTGTCTCGTCCATGTTGGTGTGAAAAAAGGCTTAAGGAATACGAGGTCGCACAGGCAGGAAGTTTACCTTGTTGCTAGGCAACAGCCATTTAAACACGGCTCGTGAGAGGCAGATGGCTCGCTTATGCACTGAACACGATTCAATGGAAACACCCGCAAAACGCAATTGTACTTTGTCGAAATTTGATAAATATCGCTTTTATTTTGCGAAAAAATGTAATGGAAACGCAGCTTGTGTTAGGGAGACAGGGACTCCCTTTTCGTGGCCATGGTGAAGGTGAAGACAGCACAAACAGGGAATTTTCTTGCATGCATGGAGCTTTTGAAGGAGTTTGATCCTTTTCTTCAAAAACATAATCCCCCATCAAATGCGTCATTGTATCTGAATTGATAAAGTCTAAAATCTATGCCATCATGACAGGTAAGGCAAGGGATGAAAAGTCAGAGCTTTGTTACTTTGTTAACACATATACTTAAATTGGATATCTTACATAGAAGATTAGCATTGCTGGCGCAAGGATGCCACGCATATTCGTGAAGTGTTACCAATTTTTCAGCCCCATATAACATTTCTAAACTTCCACGATAAAAAAGGAAAAGGCAGCAGCCCTAAGGCGAGAGCAGAGTACCGCGCGAGCAACAGGTCACTCAGTGCCGTCTGATACTTAACAAGGATGACATGAATCGTTACAAACCGAGAGCGGAGTACCACGCGAGCAGCAGGTCACTCAGTGCCGTCTGACACTTAACAAGGATGACATGAATCGTTACAAACATGAGTTTTATTTTTGAAAACAGTCCCCCTGATCTCAATTTTTAAGCTGCACTTCCCAAGATCCAGAGCTCAGTCGTGTGTTTTCCCTATGTCACCTAAAGAATTTTCATTGTTTCGACTGCCTGTAAGACGTGGGAAACCTGCAACATGACTGCAGGGGGTCATCGTATCGAGTCGTTCATATCAATGCAAACCGTCCCTGTCGGACTGGTTAGTTCGCTAACACATATACTAAAATTGAATATTATACAGAGAAGATTAGCATGTCCCCCGGCGCAAGGATGACACGCAAATTTGTGAAGCGTTACCAATTTTTCAGCCCCATATAACATTTCTAAACTTCCACGATAAAGAAGGAAAAGGCAGCAGCCCTAAGGCGAGAGCAGACTACCACGCGAGCAGAGGTCACTCAGTGCCGTCTGACACTTAACAAGGATGACATGAATTGTTACAAACCGAGAGTGGAGTACCACGCGAGCAGCAGGTCACTCAGTGCCGTCTGACACTTAACAAGGATGACATGAATCGTTACAAACCCCTACGGCGAGAGCAGAGTACCACGCGAGCAGCAGGTCACTCAGTGCCGTCTGACATTTAACAAGGATGACATGAATCGTTACAAACCGAGAGCGGAGTACCACGCGAGCAGCAGGTCACTCAGTGCCGTCTGACACTTAACAAGGATGACATGAATCGTTACAAACATTTTATTTTTGAAAACAGTCCCCCTGATCTCAATTTTTAAGCTGCACTTCCCAAGATCCAGACCTCAGTCTTGTGTTTCCCGAAGTCACCTGAAGCATTTTCATTGTTTCGACTGCCTGTAAGACGTGGGAAACCTGCACCATGACTGCAGGGGGTCATCGTATCGAGTCGTTCATTTCAATGCTAACCGTCCTGTAGGGATTGTGTTAGTTCGCTAACACATATACTAAAATCAGATACGATACAGAGAAGATTAGCATGGCCCCTGGCGCAAGGATAACACGCAAATTCGTGAAGCGTTATCAGTTTTTCAGCCCCATATAACATTTCTAAACTTCCACGATAAAAAAGGAAAAGGCAGCAGCCCTAAGGCGAGAGCAGAGTACCACGCGAGCAGCAGGTCACTCAGTGCCGTCTGACACTTAACAAGGATGACATGAATCGTTACAAACCCCTACGGCGAGAGCAGAGTACCACGCTAGCAGCAGGTCACTCAGTGCCGTCTGACACTTAACAAGGATGACATGAATCGTTACAATCCGAGAGCGGAGTACCACGCGAGCAGCAGGTCACTCAGTGCCGTCTGACACTTAACAAGGATGACATGAATCGTTACAAACATGAGTTTTATTTTTGAAAACAGTCCCCCTGATCTCAATTTTTAAGCTGCACTTCCCAAGATCCAGACCTCAGTCTTGTGTTTTCCCTAAGTCACCTAAAGAATTTTCATTATTTCGACTGCCTGTAAGATGTGGGAAACCTGCACCATGACTGCAGGGGGTCATCGTATCGAGTCGATCATATCAATGCTAACCGTCCTGGTAGATAGTGTTAGTTCGCTAACACATATACTAAAATTGGATACGATACATAGAAGATTAGCACGGCCCCTGGCGCAAGGATGACATGCAAATTCGTGAAGCGTTACCAATTTTTCAGCCCCATATAACATTTCTAAACTTCCACGATAAAAAAGGAAAAGGCAGCAGCCTCTAAGGCGAGAGCAGTGTACCACGCGAGCAGCAGGTCACTCAGTGCCGTCTGATACTTAACAAGGATGACATGAATCGTTACAAACCGACAGCAGAGTACCACGCGAGCAGCAGGTCACTCAGTGCTGTCTGACACTTAACAAGGATGACATGAATCATTACAAACATGAGTTTTATTTTTGAAAACAGTCCCCCTGATCTCAATTTTTAAGCTGCACTTCCCAAGATCCAGACCTCAGTCTTGTGTTTCCCTAAGTCACCAGAAGCATTTTCATTGTTTCGACTGCCTGTAAGACGTGGGAAACCTGCACCATGACTGCAGGGGGTCATCGTATCGAGTCGTTCATTTCAATGCAAACCGTCCTGTAGGGATTGTGTTAGTTCGCTAACACATATACTAAAATTGGATACGATACAGAGAAGATTAGCATGGCCCCTGGCGCAAGCATGACACGCAAATTCGTGAAGCGTTATCATTTTTTCAGCCCCATATAACATTTCTAAACTTACACGATAAAAAAGGAAAAGGCAGCAGCCCTAAGGCAAGAGCAGAGTACAACGCGAGCAGCAGGTCACTCAGTGCCGTCTGACACTTAACAAGGATGACATGAATCGTTACAAACCGAGAGCGGAGTACCACGCGAGCAGCAGGTCACTCAGTGCTGTCTGACACTTAACAAGCATGACATGAATCGTTACAAACCGAGAGCGGAGTACCACGCAAGCAGCAGGTCACTCAGTGCCGTCTGACACTTAACAAGGATGACATGAATCGTTACAAACATGAGTTTTATTTTTGAAAACAGTCCCCCTGATCTCAATTTTATAAGCTGCACTTCCCAAGATGCAGACCTCAGTCTTGTGTTTTCCCTAAGTCACCTAAAGCATTTTCATTGTTTCGACTGACTGTAAGACATGGGAAACCTGCACCATGACTGCAGGGGGTCATCGTATCGAGTCGATCATATCAATGCTAACCGTCCTTGTAGGACTGGTTAGTTCGCTAACACATATACTAAAATTGGATATAATACAGAGAAGATTAGCATGGCCCCTGGCGCAAAGATGACACGCAAATTTGTAAAGCGTTACCAATTTTTCAGCCCCATATAACATTTCTAAACTTCCACGATAAGGAAGGAAAAGGCAGCAGCCCTAAGGCGAGAGCAGAGTACCACGCAAGCAGCAGGTCACTCAGTGCTGTCTGACACTTAACAAGGATGACATGAATCGTTACAAACCGAGAGCGGAGTACCACGCGATCAGCAGGTCACTCAGTGCTGTCTGACACTTAACAAGGATGACATGAATCGTTACAAACATGAGTTTTATTTTTGAAAACAGTCACCCTGATCTCAATTTTTAAGCTGCACTTCCCAGGATCCAGACCTCAGTCGTGTGTTTTCCCTATGTCACCTAAAGAATTTTCATTGTTTCGACTGCCTGTAAGACGTGGGAAACCTGCAACATGACTGCAGGGGGTCATCGTATCGAGTCGTTCATATCAATGCAAACCATCCTTGTTGGACTGGTTAGTTCGCTAAGACATATACTAAAATTGGATATTATACAGAGAAGATTAGCATGGCCCCTGGCGCAAGGATGACACGCAAATTCGTAAAGCGTTACCAATTTTTCAGCCCCATATAACATTTCTAAACTTCCACGATAAGGAAGGAAAAGGCAGCAGCCCTAAGGCGAGAGCAGAGTACCACGCAAGCAGCAGGTCACTCAGTGCCGTCTGACACTTAACAAGGATGACATGAATCGTTACAAACCGAGAGCGGAGTACCACGCGAGCAGCAGGTCACTCAGTGCCGTCTGACACTTAACAAGGATGACATGAATCGTTACAAACATGAGTTTTATTTTTGAAAACAGTCCCCTGATCTAAATATTATAAGCTGCACTTCCCAAGATGCAGACCTCAGTCTTGTGTTTTCCCTAAGTCACCTAAAGCATTTTCATTGTTTCGACTGACTGTAAGACATGGGAAACCTGCACCATGACTGCAGGGTGTCATCGTATCGAGTTGTTCATTTCAATGCTAACCGTGCTGGTAGGATAGTGTTACTTTGCTAACACATATACCAAAATTGAATACGATACAGAGAAGATTAGCATGGCCCCTGGCGCAAGCATGACACACAAATTCGTGAAGCGTTATCAGTTTTTTTAGCCCCATATAACATTTCTAAACTTCCACGATAAAAAAGGAAAAGGCAGCAGCCCTAAGGCGAGAGCAGAGTACCACGCAAGCAGCAGGTCACTCAGTGCTGTCTGACACTTAACAAGGATGACATGAATCGTTACAAACCGAGAGCGGAGTACCACGCGATCAGCAGGTCACTCAGTGCTGTCTGACACTTAACAAGGATGACATGAATCGTTACAAACATGAGTTTTATTTTTGAAAACAGTCACCCTGATCTCAATTTTTAAGCTGCACTTCCCAGGATCCAGACCTCAGTCGTGTGTTTTCCCTATGTCACCTAAAGAATTTTCATTGTTTCGACTGCCTGTAAGACGTGGGAAACCTGCAACATGACTGCAGGGGGTCATCGTATCGAGTCGTTCATATCAATGCAAACCATCCTTGTTGGACTGGTTAGTTCGCTAAGACATATACTAAAATTGGATATTATACAGAGAAGATTAGCATGGCCCCTGGCGCAAGGATGACACGCAAATTCGTAAAGCGTTACCAATTTTTCAGCCCCATATAACATTTCTAAACTTCCACGATAAGGAAGGAAAAGGCAGCAGCCCTAAGGCGAGAGCAGAGTACCACGCGAGCAGCAGGTCACTCAGTGCCGTCTGACACTTAACAAGGATGACATGAATCGTTACAAACCGAGAGCGGAGTACCACGCGAGCAGCAGGTCACTCAGTGCCGTCTGACACTTAACAAGGATGACATGAATCGTTACAAACATGAGTTTTATTTTTGAAAACAGTCCCCTGATCTAAATATTATAAGCTGCACTTCCCAAGATGCAGACCTCAGTCTTGTGTTTTCCCTAAGTCACCTAAAGCATTTTCATTGTTTCGACTGACTGTAAGACATGGGAAACCTGCACCATGACTGCAGGGTGTCATCGTATCGAGTTGTTCATTTCAATGCTAACCGTGCTGGTAGGATAGTGTTACTTTGCTAACACATATACCAAAATTGAATACGATACAGAGAAGATTAGCATGGCCCCTGGCGCAAGCATGACACACAAATTCGTGAAGCGTTATCAGTTTTTTTAGCCCCATATAACATTTCTAAACTTCCACGATAAAAAAGGAAAAGGCAGCAGCCCTAAGGCGAGAGCAGAGTACCACGCGAGCAGCAGGTCACTCAGTGCCGTCTGACACTTAACAAGGATGACATGAATCGTTACAAACATGAGTTTTATTTTTGAAAACAGTCACCCTGATCTCAATTTTTAAGCTGCACTTCCCAGGATCGAGACCTCAGTCGTGTGTTTTCCCTATGTCACCTAAAGAATTTTCATTGTTTCGACTGCCTGTAAGACGTGGGAAACCTGCAACATGACTGCAGGGGGTCATCGTATCGAGTCGTTCATATCAATGCAAACCATCCTTGTTGGACTGGTTAGTTCGCTAAGACATATACTAAAATTGGATACGATACAGAGAAGATTAGCATGGCCCCTGGCGCAAGGATGACACGCAAATTCGTGAAGCCTTACCAATTTTTCAGCCCCATATAACATTTCTAAACTTCCACGATAAAAAAGGAAAAGGCAGCACCCCTAAGGCGAGAGCAGAGTACCACGCGAGCAGCAGGTCACTCAGTGCCGTCTGACACTTAACAAGGATGACATGAATCGTTACAAACCGAGAGCGGAGTACCACGCGAGCAGCAGGTCACTCAGTGCCGTCTGACACTTAACAAGGATGACATGAATCGTTACAAACATGAGTTTTATTTTTGAAAACAGTCCCCCTGATCTCAATTTTATAAGCTGCACTTCCCAAGATGCAGACCTCAGTCTTGTGTTTTCCCTAAGTCACCTAAAGCATTTTCATTGTTTCGACTGACTGTAAGACATGGGAAACCTGCACCATGACTGCAGGGTGTCATCGTATCGAGTTGTTCATTTCAATGCTAACCGTGCTGGTAGGATAGTGTTACTTTGCTAACACATATACCAAAATTGAATACGATACAGAGAAGATTAGCATGGCCCCTGGCGCAAGCATGACACACAAATTCGTGAAGCGTTATCAGTTTTTTTAGCCCCATATAACATTTCTAAACTTCCACGATAAAAAAGGAAAAGGCAGCAGCCCTAAGGCGAGAGCAGAGTACCACGCGAGCAGCAGGTCACTCAGTGCCGTCTGACACTTAACAAGGATGACATGAATCGTTACAAACATGAGTTTTATTTTTGAAAACAGTCACCCTGATCTCAATTTTTAAGCTGCACTTCCCAGGATCGAGACCTCAGTCGTGTGTTTTCCCTATGTCACCTAAAGAATTTTCATTGTTTCGACTGCCTGTAAGACGTGGGAAACCTGCAACATGACTGCAGGGGGTCATCGTATCGAGTCGTTCATATCAATGCAAACCATCCTTGTTGGACTGGTTAGTTCGCTAAGACATATACTAAAATTGGATATTATACAGAGAAGATTAGCATGGCCCCTGGCGCAAGGATGACACGCAAATTCGTAAAGCGTTACCAATTTTTCAGCCCCATATAACATTTCTAAACTTCCACGATAAGGAAGGAAAAGGCAGCAGCCCTAAGGCGAGAGCAGAGTACCACGCGAGCAGCAGGTCACTCAGTGCCGTCTGACACTTAACAAGGATGACATGAATCGTTACAAACCGAGAGCGGAGTACCACGCGAGCAGCAGGTCACTCAGTGCCGTCTGACACTTAACAAGGATGACATGAATCGTTACAAACATGAGTTTTATTTTTGAAAACAGTCCCCTGATCTAAATATTATAAGCTGCACTTCCCAAGATGCAGACCTCAGTCTTGTGTTTTCCCTAAGTCACCTAAAGCATTTTCATTGTTTCGACTGACTGTAAGACATGGGAAACCTGCACCATGACTGCAGGGTGTCATCGTATCGAGTTGTTCATTTCAATGCTAACCGTGCTGGTAGGATAGTGTTACTTTGCTAACACATATACCAAAATTGAATACGATACAGAGAAGATTAGCATGGCCCCTGGCGCAAGCATGACACACAAATTCGTGAAGCGTTATCAGTTTTTTTAGCCCCATATAACATTTCTAAACTTCCACGATAAAAAAGGAAAAGGCAGCAGCCCTAAGGCGAGAGCAGAGTACCACGCGAGCAGCAGGTCACTCAGTGCCGTCTGACACTTAACAAGGATGACATGAATCGTTACAAACCCCTACGGCGAGAGCAGAGTACCACGCGAGCAGCAGGTCACTCAGTGCTGTCTGACACTTAACAAGGATGACATGAATCGTTACAAACCGAGAGCGGAGTACCACGCGAGCAGCAGGTCACTCAGTGCCGTCTGACACTTAACAAGGATGACATGAATCGTTACAAACATGAGTTTTATTTTTGAAAACAGTCCCCCTGATCTCAATTTTTAAGCTGCACTTCCCAAGATCCAGACCTCAGTCTTGTGTTTTCCCTAAGTCACCTAAAGAATTTTCATTGTTTCGACTGCCTGTAAGACGTGGGAAACCTGCACCATGACTGCAGGGGGTCATCTTATCGAGTCGATCAAATCAATGCTAACCGTCTTTGTAGGACTGGTTAGTTCGCTAACACATATACTAAAATTGGATATTAAACAGAGAAGATTAGCATGGCCCCTGGCGCAAGGATGACACGCAAATTCGTAAAGCGTTACCAATTTTTCAGCCCCATATAACATTTCTAAACTTCCACGATAAAAAAGGAAAAGGCAGCACCCCTGAGGGGAGAGCAGAGTACCACGCGAGCAGCAGGTCACTCAGTGCCGTCTGACACTTAACAAGGATGACATGAATCGTTACAAACCCCTACAGCGAGAGCGGAGTACCATGCAAGCAGCAGGTCACTCAGTGCCGTCTGACACTTAACAAGGATGACATGAATCATTACAAACATGAGTTTAATTTTTGAAAACAGTCCCCCTGATCTCAATTTTTAAGCTGCACTTCCCAAGATCCAGACCTCAGTCTCGTGTTTTCCCTAAGTCACCTAAAGCATTTTCATTGTTTCGACTGCCTGTAAGACGTGGGAAACCTGAACCATGACTGGAGGGGGTCATTGTAGCGAGTCGTTCATATGAATGCTAACCGTGCTGGTAAATTGTGTTAGTTCGCTAACACATATACTAAAATTGGATACGATACATAGAAGATTAGCATGGCCCCTGCGCAAGGATGACAGGCAAATTCGTGAAGCGTTACCAATTTTTCAGCCCCATATAACATCTCTAAACTTCCACGATAAAAAAGGAAAAGGCAGCACCCCTAAGGCGAGAGCAGAGTACCACGCGAGCAGCAGGTCACTCAGTGCCGTCTGACACTTAACAAGGATGACGTGAATCGTTACAAACATGAGTTTTATTTTTGAAAACAGTCCCCTGATCTAAATATTATAAGCTGCACTTCCCAAGATGCAGACCTCAGTCTTGTGTTTTCCCTAAGTCACCTAAAGCATTTTCATTGTTTCGACTGACTGTAAGACATGGGAAACCTGCACCATGACTGCAGGGTGTCATCGTATCGAGTTGTTCATTTCAATGCTAACCGTGCTGGTAGGATAGTGTTACTTTGCTAACACATATACCAAAATTGAATACGATACAGAGAAGATTAGCATGGCCCCTGGCGCAAGCATGACACACAAATTCGTGAAGCGTTATCAGTTTTTTAGCCCCATATAACATTTCTAAACTTCCACGATAAAAAAGGAAAAGGCAGCAGCCCTAAGGCGAGAGCAGAGTACCACGCGAGCAGCAGGTCACTCAGTGCCGTCTGACACTTAACAAGGATGACATGAATCGTTACAAACATGAGTTTTATTTTTGAAAACAGTCACCCTGATCTCAATTTTTAAGCTGCACTTCCCAAGATCCAGACCTCAGTCTTGTGTTTTCCCTAAGTCCCCTAAAGCATTTTCATTGTTTCGACTGCCTGTAAGACGTGGGAAACCTGCAACATGACTGCAGGGGGTCATCGTATCGAGTCGTTCATATCAATGCAAACCATCCTTGTTGGACTGGTTAGTTCGCTAAGACATATACTAAAATTGGATATTATACAGAGAAGATTAGCATGGCCCCTGGCGCAAGGATGACACGCAAATTTGTGAAGCGTTACCAATTTTTCAGCCCCATATAACATTTCTAAACTTCCACGATAAAAAAGGAAAAGGCAGCAGCCCTAAGGCGAGAGCAGAGTACCACGCGAGCAGCAGGTCACTCAGTGCCGTCTGACACTTAACAAGGATGACATGAATCGTTACAAACCCCTACTGCGAGAGCGGAGTACCACGCGAGCAGCAGGTCACTCAGTGCCGTCTGACACTTAACAAGGATGACATGAATCGTTACAAACATGAGTTTTATTTTTGAAAACAGTCCCCCTGATCTCAATTTTTAAGCTGCACTTCCCAAGATCCAGACCTCAGTCTTGTGTTTTCCCTAAGTCACCTAAAGCATTTTCATTGTTTCGACTGCCTGTAAGACGTGGGAAACCTGCACCATGACTGCAGGGGGTCATCGTATCGAGTTGTTCATTTCAATGCTAACCGTGCTGGTAGGATAGTGTTACTTTGCTAACACATATACCAAAATTGAATACGATACAGAGAAGATTAGCATGGCCCCTGGCGCAAGCATGACACACAAATTCGTGAAGCGTTATCAGTTTTTTAGCCCCATATAACATTTCTAAACTTCCACGATAAAAAAGGAAAAGGCAGCACCCCTAAGGCGAGAGCAGAGTACCACGCGAGCAGCAGGTCACTCAGTGCCGTCTGACACTTAACAAGGATGACATGAATCGTTACAAACCCCTACGGCGAGAGCAGAGTACCACGCGAGCAGCAGGTCACTCAGTGCTGTCTGACACTTAACAAGGATGACATGAATCGTTACAAACCGAGAGCGGAGTACCACGCGAGCAGCAGGTCACTCAGTGCCGTCTGACACTTAACAAGGATGACATGAATCGTTACAAACATGAGTTTTATTTTTGAAAACAGTCCCCCTGATCTCAATTTTTAAGCTGCACTTCCCAAGATCCAGACCTCAGTCTTGTGTTTTCCCTAAGTCACCTAAAGAATTTTCATTGTTTCGACTGCCTGTAAGACGTGGGAAACCTGCACCATGACTGCAGGGGGTCATCTTATCGAGTCGATCAAATCAATGCTAACCGTCTTTGTAGGACTGGTTAGTTCGCTAACACATATACTAAAATTGGATATTAAACAGAGAAGATTAGCATGGCCCCTGGCGCAAGGATGACACGCAAATTCGTAAAGCGTTACCAATTTTTCAGCCCCATATAACATTTCTAAACTTCCACGATAAAAAAGGAAAAGGCAGCACCCCTGAGGGGAGAGCAGAGTACCACGCGAGCAGCAGGTCACTCAGTGCCGTCTGACACTTAACAAGGATGACATGAATCGTTACAAACCCCTACAGCGAGAGCGGAGTACCATGCAAGCAGCAGGTCACTCAGTGCCGTCTGACACTTAACAAGGATGACATGAATCATTACAAACATGAGTTTTATTTTTGAAAACAGTCCCCCTGATCTCAATTTTTAAGCTGCACTTCCCAAGATCCAGACCTCAGTCTCGTGTTTTCCCTAAGTCACCTAAAGCATTTTCATTGTTTCGACTGCCTGTAAGACGTGGGAAACCTGAACCATGACTGGAGGGGGTCATTGTAGCGAGTCGTTCATATGAATGCTAACCGTGCTGGTAAATTGTGTTAGTTCGCTAACACATATACTAAAATTGGATACGATACATGGAAGATTAGCATGGCCCCTGCGCAAGGATGACACGCAAATTCGTGAAGCGTTACCAATTTTTCAGCCCCATATAACATTTCTAAACTTCCACGATAAAAAAGGAAAAGGCAGCACCCCTAAGGCGAGAGCAGAGTACCACGCGAGCAGCAGGTCACTCAGTGCCGTCTGACACTTAACAAGGATGACGTGAATCGTTACAAACATGAGTTTTATTTTTGAAAACAGTCCCCCTGATCTCAATTTTTAAGCTGCACTTCCCAAGATCCAGACCTCAGTCTTGTGTTTTCCCTAAGTCACCTAAAGCATTTTCATTGTTTCGACTGCCTGTAAGACGTGGGAAACCTGCACCATGAATGCAGGGGGTCATCTTATTGAGTCGTTCATATCAAAGCTAACCGGCCGTGGCAGGATTGTGTTAGTTCGCTAACACATATACGAAAATTGGATACGACACAGAGAAGATTAGCATGGCCCCTGGCGCAAGGATAACACGCAAATTCGTGAAGCGTTACCAATTTTTCAGCCCCATATAACATTTCTAAACTTCCACGATAAAAAAGGAAAAGGCAGCACCCCTAAGGCGAGAGCAGAGTACCACGCGAGCAGCAGGTCACTCAGTGCCGTCTGACACTTAACAAGGATGACATGAATCGTTACAAACCCCTACTGCGAGAGCGGAGTACCACGCAAGCGGCAGGTCACTCAGTGCTGTCTGACACTTAACAAGGATGACATGAATCATTACAAACATGAGTTTTATTTTTGAAAACAGTCCCCCTGATCTCAATTTTTAAGCTGCACTTCCCAAGATCCAGACCTCAGTCTTGTGTTTTCCCTAAGTCCCCTAAAGCATTTTCATTGTTTCGACTGCCTGTAAGACGTGGGAAACCTGAACCATGAATGCAGGGGGTCATCTTATCGAGTCGTTCATATCAAAGCTAACCGGCCTTGCCAGGATTGTGTTAGTTCGCTAACACATATACTAAAATTGGATACGATACAGAGAAGATGAGCATGGCCCCTGGCGCAAGGATAACGCGCATTCGTGAAGCGTTACCAATTTTTCAGCCCCATATAACATTTCTAAACTTCCACGATAAAAAAGGAAAAGGCAGCACCCCTGAGGCGAGAGCAGAGTACCACGCGAGCAGCAGGTCACTCAGTGCCGTCTGACACTTAACAAGGATGACATGAATCGTTACAAACCCCTACTGCGAGAGCGGAGTACCACGCAAGCAGCAGGTCACTCAGTGCTGTCTGACACTTAACAAGGATGACATGAATCATTACAAACATGAGTTTTATTTTTGAAAACAGTCCCCCTGATCTCAATTTTTAAGCTGCACTTCCTAAGATCCAGACCTCAGTCTTGTGTTTTCCCTAAGTCACCTAAAGCATTTTCATTGTTTCGACTGCCTGTAAGACGTGGGAAACCTGCACCATGACTGCAGGGGGTCATCGTAGCTAGTCGTTCGTATGAATGCTAACCGTGCAGGTAAGATTGTGTTAGTACGCTAACACATATACTAAAATTGGATACGATACAGAGAAGATTAGCATGGCCCCTGCGCAAGGATGACACGCAAATTCGTGAAGCGTTACCAATTTTTCAGCCCCATATAACATTTCTAAACTTCCACGATAAAAAAGGAAAAGGCAGCACCCCTTAGGCGAGAGCAGAGTACCACGCGAGCAGCAGGTCACTCAGTGCCGTCTGACACTTAACAAGGATGACGTGAATCGTTACAAACATGAGTTTTATTTTTGAAAACAGTCCCCCTGATCTCAATTTTTAAGCTGCACTTCCCCAAGATCCAGACCTCAGTCTCGTGTTTTCCCTAAGTCCCCTAAAGCATTTTCATTGTTTCGACTGCCTGTAAGACGTGGGAAACCTGAACCATGAATGCAGGGGGTCATCTTATCGAGTCGTTCATATCAAAGCTAACCGGCCTTGCCAGGATTGTGTTAGTTCGCTAACACATATACTAAAATTGGATACGATACAGAGAAGATGAGCATGGCCCCTGGCGCAAGGATAACGCGCATTCGTGAAGCGTTACCAATTTTTCAGCCCCATATAACATTTCTAAACTTCCACGATAAAAAAGGAAAAGGCAGCACCCCTGAGGCGAGAGCAGAGTACCACGCGAGCAGCAGGTCACTCAGTGCCGTCTGACACTTAACAAGGATGACATGAATCGTTACAAACCCCTACTGCGAGAGCGGAGTACCACGCAAGCAGCAGGTCACTCAGTGCTGTCTGACACTTAACAAGGATGACATGAATCATTACAAACATGAGTTTTATTTTTGAAAACAGTCCCCCTGATCTCAATTTTTAAGCTGCACTTCCCAAGATCCAGACCTCAGTCTCGTGTTTTCCCTAAGTCACCTAAAGCATTTTCATTGTTTCGACTGCCTGTAAGACGTGGGAAACCTGCACCATGACTGCAGGGGGTCATCGTAGCTAGTCGTTCATATCAATGCTAACTGTGCTGGTAGGATTGTGTTAGTACGCTAACACATATACTAAAATTGGATACGATACAGAGAAGATTAGCATGGCCCCTGCGCAAGGATGACACGCAAATTCGTGAAGCGTTACCAATTTTTCAGCCCCATATAACATTTCTAAACTTCCACGATAAAAAAGGAAAAGGCAGCACCCCTAAGGCGAGAGCAGAGTACCACGCGAGCAGCAGGTCACTCAGTGCCGTCTGACACTTAACAAGGATGACGTGAATCGTTACAAACATGAGTTTTATTTTTGAAAACAGTCCCCCTGATCTCAATTTTTAAGCTGCACTTCCCAAGATCCAGACCTCAGTCTTGTGTTTTCCCTAAGTCCCCTAAAGCATTTTCATTGTTTCGACTGCCTGTAAGACGTGGGAAACCTGCACCATGAATGCAGGGGGTCATCTTATCGAGTCGTTCATATCAAAGCTAACCGGCCTTGCCAGGATTGTGTTAGTTCGCTAACACATATACTAAAATTGGATATGATACAGAGAAGATGAGCATGGCCCCGGCGCAAGGATAATGCGCATTCGTGAAGCGTTACCAATTTTTCAGCTCCATATAACATTTCTAAACTTCCACGATAAAAAAGGAAAAGGCAGCACCCCTGAGGCGAGAGCAGAGTACCACGCGAGCAGCAGGTCACTCAGTGCCGTCTGACACTTAACAAGGATGACATGAATCGTTACAAACCCCTACTGCGAGAGCGGAGTACCACGCAAGCAGCAGGTCACTCAGTGCTGTCTGACACTTAACAAGGATGACATGAATCATTACAAACATGAGTTTTATTTTTGAAAACAGTCCCCCTGATCTCAATTTTTAAGCTGCACTTCCCAAGATCCAGACCTCAGTCTCGTGTTTTCCCTAAGTCACCTAAAGCATTTTCATTGTTTCGACTGCCTGTAAGACATGGGAAACCTGCACCATGACTGCAGGGGGTCATCGTATCGAGTCGTTCATATCGATGCTAACCGTCCTGGTAGGATTGTGTTAGTTCGCTAACACATATACTAAAATTGGATACGATACAGAGAAGATTAGCATGGCCCCTGCGCAAGGATGACACGCAAATTCGTGAAGCGTTACCAATTTTTCAGCCCCATATAACATTTCTAAACTTCCACGATAAAAAAGGAAAAGGCAGCACCCCTAAGGCGAGAGCAGAGTACCACGCGAGCAGCAGGTCACTCAGTGCCGTCTGACACTTAACAAGGATGACATGAATCGTTACAAACATGAGTTTTATTTTTGAAAACAGTCCCCCTGATCTCAATTTTTAAGCTGCACTTCCCAAGATCCAGACCTCAGTCTTGTGTTTTCCCTAAGTCACCTAAAGCATTTTCATTGTTTCGACTGCCTGTAAGACGTGGGAAACCTGCACCATGAATGCAGGGGGTCATCTTATCGAGTCGTTCATATCAAAGCTAACCGGCCTTGCCAGGATTGTGTTAGTTCGAAACACATATACTAAAATTGGATATGATACAGAGAAGATGAGCATGGCCCCGGCGCAAGGATAATGCGCATTCGTGAAGCGTTACCAATTTTTCAGCTCCATATAACATTTCTAAACTTCCACGATAAAAAAGGAAAAGGCAGCACCCCTGAGGCGAGAGTAGAGTACCACGCGAGCAGCAGGTCACTCAGTGCCGTCTGACACTTAACAAGGATGACATGAATCGTTACAAACCCCTACTGCGAGAGCAGAGTACCACGCGAGCAGCAGGTCACTCAGTGCCGTCTGACACTTAACAAGGATGACATGAATCGTTACAAACATGAGTTTTATTTTTGAAAACAGTCCCCCTGATCTCAATTTTTAAGCTGCACTTCCCAAGATCCAGACCTCAGTCTTGTGTTTTCCCTAAGTCCCCTAAAGCATTTTCATTGTTTCGACTGCCTGTAAGACGTGGGAAACCTGCACCATGAATGCAGGGGGTCATCTTATCGAGTCGTTCATATCAAAGCTAACCGGCCTTGCCAGGATTGTGTTAGTTCGCTAACACATATACTAAAATTGGATATGATACAGAGAAGATGAGCATGGCCCCGGCGCAAGGATAATGCGCATTCGTGAAGCGTTACCAATTTTTCAGCTCCATATAACATTTCTAAACTTCCACGATAAAAAAGGAAAAGGCAGCACCCCTGAGGCGAGAGCAGAGTACCACGCGAGCAGCAGGTCACTCAGTGCCGTCTGACACTTAACAAGGATGACATGAATCGTTACAAACCCCTACTGCGAGAGCGGAGTACCACGCAAGCAGCAGGTCACTCAGTGCTGTCTGACACTTAACAAGGATGACATGAATCATTACAAACATGAGTTTTATTTTTGAAAACAGTCCCCCTGATCTCAATTTTTAAGCTGCACTTCCCAAGATCCAGACCTCAGTCTCGTGTTTTCCCTAAGTCACCTAAAGCATTTTCATTGTTTCGACTGCCTGTAAGACGTGGGAAACCTGCACCATGACTGCAGGGGGTCATCGTAGCTAGTCGTTCATATCAATGCTAACCGTGCTGGTAGGATTGTGTTAGTACGCTAACACATATACTAAAATTGGATACGATACAGAGAAGATTAGCATGGCCCCTGCGCAAGAATGACACGCAAATTCGTGAAGCGTTACCAATTTTTCAGCCCCATATAACATTTCTAAACTTCCACGATAAAAAAGGAAAAGGCAGCACCCCTAAGG